GGACCTCCCCGGATTGCTGCGAGAACCAAATGAGCACATCCCCGTGAGGGTCCTGTATAAACGGTAAGGCACTGGTCAATTATCGGTAGTTATTAATCTGCTTACGGTTTAACTTACAAAATTCCACTTTTCTTGCTGCGGAGGAAAAGGGGGGACCGGCTCCGCTCGGCCTGGTGAGCCCGCCCTCTGGACCCGCTGCCGGAGCAGAGTCAGGCCCGGCCAGAGCCACGCAGCCTCCTGCCTGCGACACTCCCCAGGGCAGGCGTGTACCGTAGCCGCCAAGGACTTCGGCACTTCGTGGAGGAGGAAGAAGAGAAACAACATTTCCTGAGCACCTACCAGGTGGCGAGTCCTGCACGATCGGCGGGCCCAGAGAGAGATGGGTGAGGACAGCCTCTGCCACTTTTCGGTTTTAACTCTCACGTCTACCGGGATCATGAGGCCCACAGGGGTCCAACATGCGCCCCGGGCCAGAGGACGTTCACCCGCACGGACTACGCTCCCACGCGTGGGCAGAGCTGCGTGCCAGTTGCACGGGAGAGACTGTGACGGGCAAGTTGGGTGGGGTCCCTGGAACACTTGGGAAATGGTTAAAAAGTTGAGCTGCCTCAGAGCTGTTTTTGCCCTCAGGAGGACTTCAGGGCTCTTCGGAGGAAGCCTCGCCTTCCACCCCGTTTTGTTTCCTGGAGTCTGCGTCTCTCTTATCCCCTCCCTTGAGCAGGGCTTTTCTCCTGGGCTCAGATCCCAGCTTCTCCGCGGGACATTTTTTTAAGCAGTTTTTATTTCTCATCGAAAAAAAAAAAAAAATCAGACGCGTAGTTTTAAACATTCCAACGGCACAAAAGATTATATGACAAAACTTAAATCATCCTTCCCACCTTGGGGTAGCCACTGTCCTTTTTGTCTTCCAGAACGTTCTCCTGCAGCAATAGGGCAGCAGCGGAGCCCATCGGAGAGACGCTCCACGCAAGAACAGGCGCCCCGGCAGTTCCTGGCTTTTACCTGGAAGTTAGTGCGTGAAAGCTGCACTTTGAAACCCAGTTTAAAAAACCTTTCCGTCAAAACTAGTTTGAAAAGTTTAAACACCTCCTTAAAAAGACTAAATTCAAATTCAAAGTGTTATCGTATGTACAAATTGAATACTGTTGGCATAAAAATCAGAATTATTTTCCCTTGTGGTTTGATTATTTTTAAATATGTTAAATTATATTTACAAATATAACACATCTGATCTCATCAACCCCTCCCAACATGGCTCAGTCTAAGAAAACTACCTGAGCGCTTGCAAAACTCCTGCAAACCTAGGAAATAAACATACATGTCACCAGCCCAGTAATCTTAAAACTATCATCATGACTTATACATTTAACTTTTTACATATTTCAAGTTAATACGTCCAATATAAAACACCTGGGCGGGCGCAGCCGGGCCACTTGGCAGGCTGACCGCGGCGCTGCCACGATCACTGTGCGTTCCAGCCCTCTTTATATCTTTTCTTCTGAAAAGGCCATCAAATTTAACGAGAACGCTTCTAAGAACTGGTTTTAAAAACAAAACCCCACCTTTTTCAGGTTGATTTTTCAAGTTTCTTTTATCTCCTCCCACGCGCAGAAGAATTTCTACCTGGTTACAGTTTTAACTAGGGACACATCGCTCCTTTCTTCCCAGCTGTAGGCAGACAAGAAACTGCTGTTGTGGCTGCAAGAAGGCAACCGAGTGCTCGCTGAGGCTTCGTGTGACCTAGCCCCCCACCCCAGCCTGGGGAGAGAGAGAGCCGGACAGACAGACATCACAGCGCACTCCCCTTCTCCCAAATGGCCGCCGCCCTTCCTGTCACCTTTTCCTTCGACCTGTCCAAGGCAGGGAGGACAGAAGAGGCTCCATCAGCCCGGGGCCGTGGCCCCCTAAAAGTCCGAGCACGCCTTCCTTCTCCCCAACCCTGACAGCTGCCTGGAAACATTTCTTTTTTCCTGATCTCAGAGCCTCCACCCTCTCTGTAAAGTAAATATTTCCCTTAGCCTTCCTTTCCCTTTTCCACATTCTGGCCTCTCTCTCCCTGGCAGGCCTTCTTTCCCATGGTGAGCCCCTGGGAACGGACTGTGACTTTTTCCCTCCAGAATGGGGTTCAGAAGTGACATCCAACTGCCTCCAGGGGCCAGCCAGCACAGATGGTTCCTTTCAACTCTGTTTGCATATCAAGAACATGGGAACATTCTTTACTTTTACAAAGAACTAGTGCTTTATCTTATTCCTCCCTGAAATGCATGGCCCTCAGGTATCTTTTCATTTTTGCAATTTTGAGCAAGATAAGGATATGCTGGGATAGGATTCTTTCTTCTCCTAATTCTAGTCTAATAAAAACTGTAGTGCAAGTGTGGAGCTAAAATGACAGTCACCAATGTCAGCAAGTGTTCGGGAACTTTCTGAACAGGGAACGTGCAAGTCTAAGGTGGCTACTCTCTAGCCAGTGTTTGCCAAGTGGAACATCGGCCCAGCGTGGCTGGGTCTTCTGACATTTTAGGAGACAAGCATCCAGATATTTTTGTGAAAAAAATCCTGTTTTTAAATGTTGACGGCTAATTCAGAAGAATTGAAAATGCTGCAAAGATTAGACGAGTTTTCAAGATGCAAGAGGATTGCCGGGCTGCGGTTCCTGCTCCTGTGAAGTCTAACACACTCTTATTTTATTGTACTTGCTTAATTTACAACAGACACTTCGATAATTACGCCCTTTACAGACATCAATAATCGATTTCTATATTCATTCTCCATATTTGTGGTATGTCTGTGCTTTCTAGTCTAGCTCCACAACTCTCTTAACAGTTTTTTAAGGTCAAATTATTCTCCTTCTCTTTTCTTTCTCCCCCACAAAAGGAGCAAAGACATCATGCTTTTAGAACCGAAGCTTGGTGTCAAGTCCATTTAGAGGTCAAATTAGAGAAGCTTCACAGTTTTCTCGAGTGGCTAGAAATTCTCGCAGTAATCGTATTGCAAGTCATTGTTCAGAGGAGAACTGATTAAATATGATTAGCACGCACCCACGCGCATGAAAACACCGCTGTGATGAAAACTGAAATCGCAAAATGTGAGTCACTTCTTCTAACACCGTCGCGTGCCTTCCTTGGGTCTGAGGCCCTCCTTCCAGAGGATTTTTCCCGCTACCGAACTCCAACCATTTAGAGCCCTCCCCCATCCACGTTTACTCCGTATTTGCATATAACCACTTACGTGCAGCCTTCCCTGGAAGAGCAGGGACCGCGCCTCTCCATTGCGTCACAAGGCCTGGCGTCGTGCCTAGCCTATGGCTGGCAAAGCAAGCGTTATTGTGTAAGCCGTTATCGTCATCCCCAATCATAGCTACCGTTTCCAGAGCACGTACTACATGCTGAGTAGTTCACCTACGTTATCCTGGAAGCTTTCCCAGATCAGACCACCAATCCAAAGCTGCATCCCAGTCACCTCTAGCATACCTGATTTTATTTCCCTGAAGAGGAAATAACATCTCTATGTATAACATCTAATATATATACTGTTACATCTATAGATCTAATATAGATACAGATTAGACCTACAGATCTAATATCAATAGATACATGTATATATTTACTTTTATTAGAATTTATTTGATGCTGAATTTACTCCTGGGCCACCAGTTCTTGTTCCTTCCGTTTCTTCTGGGATAGCTTTTTCCTCTGTGCAGCCACCTCCCCTGGTCTCGGAACCATCTGTTCTTTCTCAGCAGGACCGTCTCGGGGGCAGGGAGAGCTCACGGGTGCGTGAATTGCCTGTAGCTCTGGAAGTTCTGTGCTGAGTGAGCCTTGGGAGCTTTGTACACTGGATGGGCCCCATGACCAGAGACTCCACCTCTACACCCTCAAGCTCAGCATTGCTCTCTGCGTCTCTAAGCATGTGCAGCAAAAATTCTGCACTCTTTTTGGGGCCCCAACTCTGCATCCAGCCCCACTGTTTGGACAGGCACACCCACCAGCTCCACCGTTTTAACGACAGAAGGGCACACACTGCATCTATAAGGTGACATCCTTCAGACCCTTCGTGGCTTTTTGAATAAGCGTACTCTTGATGGCCCAGGCAGGCAGTTTCATGAGTCTTTTAAAGTGAACGCAAAGAGGCTGAACCTCTTGATTTGCATGGTTTTGTGGGGGTTTCTGGGTCAAGTGAATAGTGAAATGTTTTCAGGTCCCTTCTGGCTGCTGTCGGCCAGAGAAGTCTAATATGTTTTTTAAAAGACGTCTCCCCCACTAGAATGATCTCCAAGAAAATGGTCATCTCGTCTACGTCGTGCTTATAACAAAGAAAACAAATAAATGAATCTAAGCTTCCCACATCCTTGGGTGGCAGAGTTGACTTGCACACAGAAGATCACATGTTTTAAAATTTACATTTAGATTTCAGAATTATTGTGTGGATTATTTGATGGCCCATCGTGAGCCCTGGGAGTGGAAAGTGGAATAAAAATTAAAAGTTTGGTCACATTCCCCTAAGCACTGACTAACATGGGTGCGAGAATTTTTGCTGCAATAGGAAAGCCACTTTCTCTGACATGAGGTCCTCCACACGTCTATACCTTGCCACATCCTCCGATATGACACAGGTCATGATGGCCAGGCAGGCTGGCGTGCCAGATTCCAGGCACTCACCCGATCAGAGCAGGAGTGGAGAGTCACCCTGGTGGGTGTGCAGGAGGCTCTGCGCGGGTTCTGCTGTTCCTGGGGTGGCTGTGGTATTCTCCACGTTGGGGCCCCGTTCCTAGTGTGTTGCGCTTTTTTTTCCACCTCCAAAGCCGGCACACACTGCAGGGCCCAACCCTGTGCGCCCCCAGATTCCAGGGGCATGGTCAAGAGCTTGGTGGATTCTGGAGAGCATCAGGGCAGCTTTGCCCGGCCCCGCCCCGCCCCGCCCCGCCCCCGCCCCCGCCCCGCCCCGCCCCCGCCCCCGCCGCGCCGGCTAGGCCCCGCCCACCCCGCAGCTCCAGGCCCCTCTTATTTCGTACTAGCACCTCCTTCTTCTGCCGCCGCTGCGCCTTCTCATCCTCCCGCGTCACCGCTGCCGCCATGCCTGGAGGTCTCCTTCTCGGGGACGAGGCTCCCAACTTCGAAGCCAATACTACCGTCGGCCGCATCCGTTTCCACGACTATCTGGGAGACTCGTAAGTGGCCACCTTGTCGCCCTGCCCTGGCGTTGGGCTACGCGCCCGGACCTGGAGGTGCCTTCCCGGTTTCTTCTCCCTTCGCGCTCCCGCCGCCGGGTCCGCCGCCCACCGCCCGCCTCTTCCCCGCCTGCACCGGTTCCTGCACGTGCCTCTCAGCGTGTGTCTCCTGCCCCACGTTGGGCGTTTGATCCCCTCGGCCCGGCATGGCCGGCCGGCTGTGAGCGGGGAAGGGGGAGGGGAGCGTGGTTGGATTTCCGCGGGTCTCAGGAACCAGAGGTCGGTGTGGAGCAGGGTTTGTTGTCTGTTTAACTCGGTTTGGTAAACTGTGCAAGCGGCACGGTCCAGCCGAGGCCCCGTGGGGGCACAGACCGGGCGGCCTCGGCGGTCACCTCCCGGGACTCGTGCCCAGGATCGTGTCCCCTCCCTCCCACGGTTCTGGAATGTGCTCCCGGGGGAAGGTAGGTGTCTAAGGCCAGAGTCCAAGGACGCTCACCTGAGAGAGTTCTGTGGGCTGCCTGGCATTTGCAGGCTTCTCGGTACAAAATGTGAAATGTAAAACCGCCAGCTGCCAGATACGTGGCCGAAAGACCTTCTGACCAGGGCCTCCTTTAGCAGCCGGCGGGGGCGGGGGGGGGGCAAGATTTGATAACAGCCAAGGGAGGAACCGAGAACAGTCCGTATGTAGGTGTGTCCTTCATTCCAGAACTTGCAACACTTTGAGGGGAGGACTTTCTGAGGTTGTAGAGTCGCTGTGACCTGCTCTTCCCAGGGAAAGCCTAGGAGGGGACCAGGACACGTGCGCCTGGGCTCTCTGAGACCCTTTGTTTCCCAGGGGTATGACCTCCGGGGGCCGCCTCCCCTCTGCCTTGCTTCCAGCAGCACGTGGCCTGGCAATTATACCAATACGTCTAGGAGTCTGTTGATTTCGTATGTGGTGCCCAGGCATCTATGTGTATAGACAGAGAGAAAGGAATTGATGAGATTCATCAGTGATTGGACAGGCTGTGCAGAGAACCAAGGAGAGATTCTATGTATTAGGCCTACCCTTAGAACCCGTCAAGTCCATCTCCAGCCTGTGGTTAAGGGAAGAGCTAACCTTTGTGAGAGGACTCTGCTAGGAAAAGGAGGCGAGATGGAACGTTCAGACCGTGCAGGCAGGAGAAGGGCTTCAGAGATACAGACCAAGGCCAGTCTCACACTTGGATCTAGGTATTAGTGCCTCCCCAAAGCCCCGTGGCGTTTTCCGGGCGTGTTCCTTCCCATTTCCCTCCACAGTCCTCACCCCCATAAAACGAAGCTTACCAGAACTCTTCGGCTGTTTGCAGTAAAGATAAATATTAACACAGAGCATAATTCCTAGAGCACCAATGATCAGCGCTGTCACTATTTCAGCTAACTCTGCTTTCTGAGGTGTTTTTGTTGTTGTCATAGCTCACTGGCCTCTGAGTCTACCTTGGATTGATTAAAAGTGGTACCATCTCAGCTCCCCACCAGTGGGAAGATGGGAAAAACACCCGCATCTATAAAATGCTGTACAAGTCTGCCCCCCCCCCAAAAGTCCTCTGAGCCCTTTCTGTCCTTAGGATACATGGATTTTTGCCTAATATACAGGGTCCGGCACAAATAACACCCCTTTTTAATTACAAAATCATAAGCATGTAATTCTGTAACACAACAATATCACACTGAAACACACTGTATGACGTTTTAGGTGAAATGTTCAAATTAAAACTATAAATTATCGCAGCCATTTTATTACCCTACCAACTACACTCAAACAGATGTTGTTTCTGCCGGGCCCTGTATTTTCCAAACTCCATTCTGTATGTGATCTCAAGTCAAGCTTTTTTTGTTTGTTTGTTTGGGTTTCTTTTTTGTTTTGGGGTTTGTTTGTTTTTTTGAGAGAGAGTGAGTGGCAGGGAGAGAAGGAGGGCAGGAAGGAAGAGAGAGAGAGAGGGAGAAACATCAACTTGTTGTTCCACTTACTTATGCTTTCATTGGTCCTCGTGTGCGGACTGGGGACCCAAACCACAGCCTGGCCTGCCCAGAGGATGCTCTAACCAACTGACCCACCTGCCAGGGCCACGCAGGCAATGCTCGATTCAGACTTTTCTTTTTTTTAATGGGGGCATAACAAAATAAAAATAATTTTTAACTTTACAAACACCCACCCCTGCGATTGGAGACAACTAAGGGGCTTAGGAGCTGCGTGGGTGAGTTTACTGAGGATTAATCACTGTTTCTTTACGCAGGCAGTAGAAGCAGCTTCTTTACAGTACATCTTCCCAGAACAGAACGTGTGTTCCTCGGGCGTTTTGGGGGTTAGTGAGTAGGAACTGTTCCCTTCAAGGAGGAAACCCTTAGTCTTTTGAAAATCAGGAAGGAAGGAAATGGGATCGTGTAATTAACTGCGCTCCAGGGCGGCCGGAGGGAGACGGGGGAGGGCAGGCCATAGTCAAACTGTCTCGGAGTTTATTCCCATTCCTGGCCTGCCGGTGAACTGGAGTTTGGCTGTTCAGGGAGGAGAGGGTGTGAAGATGCTTAAAACAAGTTCCTGAGCGAGACTGGAAATGGAAGGAGGACACCTGGCTCTCTCAAGTCATCGCCCCTTGAACAGGAAGAAACGCCCAGTTCCATTTCTTCTCAAAAGTCTCCTCTGAGCCTTGGACAGATCTGGTTCCATAGGCTCTAAGGCCTGGATTTTACTCAGAGGTAGCTTATTTATTTCAAAAGATATAGGCCCCTCTTATTGCCCTTTATAACAAGTAAACATACGACATACCTCCATAGCCTCAGAAAGATGACCTCCTTCTTCCCAGGTTTTCCCTAGGCCCCCCGCCGCCACCCACCCTTTTTGTAAGAAGGTCTTTTCCTTTCCTGAAGCCTTGGAAGTTGAGTGGCAGATGTAAGTGGCAAAGGGGCACCCTTGTCTCCGCTTTGTTCATTGTGCTTCAGGAAACTTGGCAGACTCCGAGAGGCCAGCCTGGCCTGATTCAGTAATCTAGGTTCGGGTCCTGCTTTAATGTCCCACGTCCCTGGGAGTGTGGAAAACGGAGCATTGAATTGTCTTCAGCAGAGAGAGGTGTTTCTGTCGCCAAGGAGCCTGAGCCGGTCCTCCAAAGGTTTTTGGGGCTCAGCCTGAAAAGTGCTTAAAATCTCTACACTCAGGCAAAGATGACCTCGATAATAGTGTTTACCTAAGAATCTGCAGTTCTAGAAATCGACCTTGTAAGTTGTTAGTCTTCCACCTGCTTGGTCTGAAGCAAGAAGAAAAGGAAACCCCAATAAAGACACAGGCACAGCTCTCAAGAGGTCTCTTGTCAAAGCGCAGCTGTTGGGTGTCCTGTTTGGCAGGTTAGATCGGGAAGGTAGTTTCATAAAAGATTTTATGTCCATTCGCTTCAAAGAAGCCATATGTCAACTTTAATTTTCAATATAAATAGAGGGTACAAGCCTATTGATTTCAGATTATATAATCTGTTTATTATTGCAGTCAGGCATTTATTTGGATTCAGGGCCTAAGGGAACACCCATTATTGGAGCCAAATGCCAGGGCCTGTGTGCTCAGAAAAAAAATTGAGAAGAGGGTAAGGGAAAAAAAAGTTCAGTAAAGCCACTTGGTTTGAGTCACACAGGCTGTCTTAGCTGAGGAGGAGTCAGGGCGCTCTGCAGTGATTAAAAGAGACGACGCCCTTAAATTAATCTTTTAAAATATTTGTCATCTTGAATGTCCTGTCTTTGAACTGAGCTTGAAACATTGATTTTTCTGTAGGTAAGAAGATTAAAAAGCATTCCTCAACAGAAAGGCTTAAAAGTAATTGTCTTCATAAGCATTCATTAGAAAAAAACAAAAAACAAAAAAACTCCATCCTTGTCAGTCTCAGGTTTGTGGCTTACTCTGTTGTGCATGCTGTCGGTGACCGCGTCATTCAGTTGTGACTTTTCCCTCACTGCAGATGGGGCATCCTCTTCTCCCACCCTCGGGACTTCACCCCCGTGTGCACCACGGAGCTTGGCAGGGCTGCAAAGCTGGCGCCAGAGTTTGCCAAGAGGAACGTTAAGCTGATCGCCCTGTCAATAGACAGTGTTGAAGACCATCTTGCCTGGAGCAAGGTATCGTATCCATGGGCGTGTGCTTTGTGGTAGTAAATCACGCTGTAAATTATAGAGTAGCTCCGTCTTTTAGGCAGGAAGGCACGCGTAAACCTCAGGTTCAGACTTCACTGGTCGTTGGAAAATCCGCCTTGGGTTGCACAGGGACCATTGCTTTGCGCGGGCCAAGGGCCACTTCCAGCCCTCCTTTCTTGGCCGGTCAGCATACCACACACTTTCCCCCTTTCGCTTGCATCACACCCCATGTCTAGCTGGTCCTTCCCGACTCAGACTGAGCTTCGTCATCTCCCAGGCTCCTAATTTAGGCTGGAGCTGCCCGGGGTCATGCCTTGGACCTCTCCTCTTTCATGGACTCTTTGCCTGCGGGAGCCCATCCGCCCACGTCTGTATGCTGATTCCCCAGCTTCCACCTCGAGGCCAGCTCCTGGCTTCCAGACACCCTACCTCCCCGGTGTCCCATCTCCTGAAATCTCACCTGTCTGGGGCTGACACTCTCCTTCATCCGGGGCCCTGTTCACCTCAGCCAGTGGTAACTGCATTTTCGTGGTTGCTCCAGCCCCAGACCCAGCCACATCATCTTGAATCCCTCAGGTTGGCCACATCACATGCCCGACTCACCAGCAGCTTGGCTGCCAGGCCTTCAAGCTGTAGCCAGAATCCTTTTTGGAAGTCTCTCTCCCCAGGTATCTCTGACTCACCATCATTTCTTTTCAGGTCTCAACTCAAATGACACCTTCAAGGCTGCCCTTGGCTTCCTTCTCTGAAATCGTAACTCCCTTCCGTGCTCCCCACTGCCCTCTGGGTTTTCCCTGGGCACTTGTCACCACCTGAGGGGCTGCATGTTGCCGATCTCACTTGTGTGTTTCTCCCCGCTGAGCGGAGGACCCCTGCTCTGAGCCCTGCCGGGCTGGGTTGTCATAAATGGATCACCTGAGGGAACTGTCCACCTGCAACAGAAGCAGGGGACAGTGGTCTAAACGTAACCTGAGCACATTTTAACGACGGGGCCACAGTGTGCGTCTACCTGATGATACTGGTTACTTTTGAGGGGTGCGTACTGTGTGCAAGGCCCTGGCCAAGCACTTCACATGCGTCTGACGAAGAGATGCAGCGCTGCCTTGCGAGCTGGGCCCTGGGGGCTGTAACCCTTGGCCATTTCGTACCCATCAGTCCCGAGTGTCTGAGGTTACAAGAGTCACGTAGAAAAGGGGGGGGCGTTTCACTCGGAGACTTGGTGGGACTCGCTCAAGACTGCCCTGCTGCAAAATGGTGGCATTGCGCCTTGACCCTCGAAGCAACGCTCTTTTTGATATCCGATGACAGAGATGAGGAATTAGCCTGATTTAGGGTAGACTCAAGCCAGAGCACGTGGTTCTTTGGTTTCGTGGGTGTAACACCTGTAACGCAAGTGGCAGGGTAGAGCATTGTCGCCCAGCGGTAGTTAAAGCAGCAGGTGGCCGAAGGAAGAGGTTCACGGCCCGCTGCGTAACACCTTTCAGGTGCAGGAGCACACCCAGGCTCGTTTTACAGCTGGTGAGCTGCTGCCTTCGAATCGTCAAAACTGTGATTGCACTGACTGGGAAACAGGCCCCGCCTATCAGCAGCAGCGCCCAAACTGTGGCTACAACCAGTCCTGTGGGAAACCTCAGTGAGCCCCTGGAACTAAATTGATTATTCAGCCAAATGGATTGTGGTGACTTGATAGGCAGCCAGTGGCTGCAGAAGGGAAGATGATAAAATTCCGGAACATGTTAAAATGTGTCGTTATCCACTTCAAAGTTCGTTAATGCCACGTTTGTCCTTCGGCGTCTCTGTTGAGAGATGCGTGCAGGTTCTGTCTGCCGTCTGTGGAATCGTCTAACCAAAGAGCGAGCTCCTGGGAAGGCAGGCACTGTGTCGCGTGCGTGTGCAGTCGCTTGTGCGCGCCACGGTGCTGAGCCCGCCTTCAGCGCTGTATCAGTGCCCGATCAGATCAGATAATAAAGCCAGATTATTTTTTTCCCAAAAATAATCTCCCAGGGATAGGAAAAGTAGAAACGAATGAAGATTTGCTAGGGGAGGAGGGAGGAAAGAGAGAGGACAAGTACACCGTTTTCCTTTAGTTCCGACCTGAAATGCGTTGTTTTCTGTGTGCCCGTCACCCCAGTATAAATTTTCCTCTGCCTTTTCGCCCTTAAGAGGTTTATCTTGCGCTTGTCCTTGAAGTATAGGTTCAACTCTCCATTCTTATATCTGCTTTAAGTTTGTCTTTTTTTTTTTTCCATTTCTTAATATCTGTCTTACAATAGTCTAACGTCTGAGTCAGGGTGCGCCCAGATGTATAGAATGATCTTTGCATGTGGCATTGCTTCTAGATGGGATGAACTTAAGGGACCCATTACTCTGGAGGGTTTTTACAGTCTTTGGGAACTCAGAGGTACCTTGGATTGGGATCTGATGCCACACTACTCAGCTTTTAAAGAGGTTGCTGCTGTTTCTGAAAGCAGTGAAAGCAAGCTGTATTTTAAGAGACGTGGGCATGGAAAGGGTCTCTGTTTATAACAACGTGTGATTCCCTACTGCTACTCCTGTCGATGAGTAATTGGGGTGGGGAGTTTTCCTTCCTTCATTTGCTTATTAAACTTGCTTAGAGAAATTACTGTGCCTGGGGTCCACTTCCCTGCCCTGCGGTGTGATGGCTGTGCCAGGCCGAATTCAGAGGGGGAGCCTGGCTTAGATTTTTCTCTTCCTTCTTCCGCCTGCATTTTAGGACATCAATGCTTACAACTGCGAGGAGCCCACAGAAAAGTTACCTTTTCCCATCATTGATGACAGGAACCGGGACCTCGCCATCCTCTTGGGCATGCTGGACCCGGCCGAGAAGGACGAGAAGGGCATGCCCGTGACGGCGCGCGTGGTGAGTGGTCCAGGCCCGGCCTGTCGTCCTCACGGCTGGCCAGGTGGCACGTCCAAGGAAACACTTGGACCAAGGAGAGGAGACAGGAGAGTGTCTATTAATATCCATGTACGTCCTCTAGGAAGGAACCGTGTGGAGTGGCCACGTCGCAGATTGTCTGCAATGCTCGTGCAGAATTTCCAGCTACATTTTTACTGGTTAATTCGTAGCTTTTGGAAGTCTACATAAAAGAAGTAATCAGGATGAGGAGCCATCTAGGATGGGGTAACCTTTCCTGTAGCTGTCCTGACTGACAGACCTCTTTCGAGTGGCGGGTCCTGTCCTTCCTAAGGCAGCTCTGGGTTTCAGTTCTAGTTTGTTCTGCCCTTCCTGACTAGAGAACAGACTCGGTCCCTGGTCTGCAAAAAGGACAGTTCCATGAAGACCAGTATCCACTCCCATTAGTGCAATTTTTATGCTAATCGTCCCTCCTTAACATAGTACCCTCCCGAGGCCTTGCCTAGCCTCAGTGTGCAGGTCGGTTTTTCTTCCTGGGAGAGCCAGAACCGAACAGAATTCCCTTCTAAGTGCACAAAAATAACATGAACACTGGTCTGTGCGCCTGCAACGAACATAATACTGAATGTCGCCTCCAGTCGAAAAGTTTTCTCTTAATTTTTTAAAAATAAAAATAACATGGAGAACAAAAGGAGCTAGATTCCAGCCCCCCAGATTAAGATTGGCGTGTCATGCCAGATGGGTGGGGGTGTTTTGTTTTGTTTTGCTTTGTTTTTTTATACCCTTGGACATTTGCAACAACAGAGGAGCATTCTGAGAGGTTTTAAGGTCAAAGACCTTCCAAGGACTCAACCTGGTGCCACGCCTGTGTGCTCTGCAGGTGTTCATCTTTGGCCCTGACAAGAAACTGAAGCTGTCCATCCTCTACCCAGCAACCACGGGCAGGAACTTTGATGAGATCCTCAGAGTAGTTCTCTCTCTCCAGCTGACAGCGGAGAAGAGGGTCGCCACCCCCGTTGACTGGAAGGTAAAGACGCCAAAAGGGCCAGTCCCCCGCATGCGGGCAAGGTTGTGGGGCTGGCGTCCGAGCGGCCGCCCACAGGCTCCCTCCTCCCTGGGCTTGGTGTCCAGCGAGCACGTCCACTGCGGGGGTGTTTCCTTGTGCCGGAGTTTAAACTCTGCTTGGAGGCTGTGTTCAAGGTCTTCAACACTTCGATATAAAAGTCTGTGGACTTCCTGTATTGCTTTCTAACTTCTAGTTTCTTTGGACAAATGAATTGGGCGGAATGATTTCCTTTTCTAGTAAAAAGGATTTTTCTTAAACCTTAATCCTTCCTCAATGGCAAAATATTTACAACAGAACTTAGATTGGCCACTGACGTCCTGACTGACCCTTCCTGTCTTACTGCCCTGAAGTATCTCCTCCTCTTAATCTTCACAGAATTGGCTGACACTTCAACTTTTAATCTCTAGGGTTTCTGCAGTATGTAAGACATGGATAGTAATACCACACGAGTATCTTAATGTTGCTACATTTTAAAAATATGCTAACCTGTATAGCAGGTTCTCTTTTGTTTTTTTCTGATCAAATCAGTTAAAATGCTGTGTCCATTCACTGAACACACTTTGGTGGAGCCCAGATACAGCCGTGAACACTAGAATTCCAGCCCTTAGACTCACCTTCCAGAGGGTAGAACCAGACAGTAAACCAAGTTTACAGTGTATGAGGTGGCGGTAAGCGCCACAGAGTAATCGAGAGGGGAGGGGACAAGGGGGGCACAGAGGCAAGAAGGTTGGAAGCCATACACATGGCCGCCGCCGAGGGAGGCCCAGTACAGGAGGCCTTACCTGAGAGCGAGCTTACGCCTCGGAGGACCAGGGCGGCTGGCGAGTCTGGGGCTCCTGAAGCTCGTTCCTGCCTCCAGGCGTGAACATTGAACTTCACCGTTCTTGATGTCGTTCACTAGGTCGGAGACAGCGTGATGGTCCTTCCCACCATCCCAGAAGAGGAAGCCAAGAAACTTTTCCCTAAAGGAGTCTTCACCAAAGAGCTCCCGTCTGGCAAGAAATACCTGCGCTACACGCCCCAGCCGTAGGTTTCCAGGAGCGGGCGCTGGAGCCCGAGGGTACCAGCCGCCCATCCTGTGTCCCGCGGCCTTTAGGTTACTGGCTTAATTAAATGAAAATGTCACTAGAAACCCTGCGGGATTCTCTGCTTCGTGCCTTCCCCCGCATTCTGTTCTGTTCACGGTCCTCAGCGCGCTCTCCTGGCTCTCTCCGAAATACAGTCTGTGTGTGAGGCTCAGGTCGTGTTGGATCCTTGCGGGGTTTGTGATTGACAAGGTAGGATCCATCCTGGAATGACCAACTGTTTTGGGTTTTTTTTAGCTGTTCTAATCAAATCCTGTCTTCCTTTACACATGCTGGGGAGCTGCTCAACCTGAGGTCCCATTTCCTCTGTCGATCTCAAGTATATAACCCTGCAAGTTAGAGTAACCAGATTTCTTCAATATTCAGGGTTTTGGTCACGGCTTAGAGAAAAAACTTTCCAATTCTGTACTTTTTCAGTAGATAACTGACGTGGGGTCAGCAGGGGGAGGGATCCGTAAGTATTTTGCTAAGAAACTTCCTATCAAAAGAGGGAAGCGATGGAAAAGGCTCCACTTACCTGCACGGCTGTTACAGGTGTGTGAACAGAGCGGTAGTGCCACGTGCCTTTCACAGCAAGTGTTCCCGGGGGTCAGTCGCTCCGCTCTGTGGACGCAGAAGGGGCTCGCCCTTGGAAGGGAGGAGAGGATGACCGAAAATATTTGTTCCTAGAACGCTTCCTGATGGGTGTGGAGTGGTACATTGTGAATTTCGCTTTTTGGGGATCTAGCAAATAAATCCTTTGTAAAAACTGGATCAGAGAATTCTGTTGTCACATTTTGAAACACTCGCTTAGCCTTGTTTCCTCCCTGGGCTTGGCCTTGATGCTTCTCTCTGAAGGCAGAGCCATGAAATTTCTGACACAAGGGAGGCGCAGCGGACCCCAGTGACGTCGCCACGGCTCCTGGCCCACTTCCCTCCTTTGCGGCACTTGCCTGGGTCCTGTAGTCCCTTGAGGGTGTGACCCCTTCTGTCACAAGCTCTCCAAATGCCTTAACGGGATTGCTGAACTTGAGAATATGCATCTTGAGCATAATGGTACCCACGGGCTTTTTACTCCAAACTCACGGTCTCTTGGACTCTGCTGCGCTAGGTCCTAAGTTTAGAAAGAAGTGCCACCCACCTGGTACCGGCTGTTGCATGTGGCCCTCCCTCTTTTTATTGAGTAAAATAATACAAACCATGACCCCCGGGGCCTGGTGTCGAGAAGTCAGTAGGTGTTTAGTTTCACAGTGGGTGACACCGAGGGTTGAGGACGGAGGGGAACACGCCAGGTTCTCACAGTGCCCTGGGGATGTCGGACGGCCTGCCCTCACCTCGTCCGGTCACAGTGCATTTGCCCTCACAGAACTGACGCTGTCCGGTCCTCTGAAAGCATCTCTCTCCTGACGGCCCCTGGCTCCCTCTCTGGCCACCTTCCTGTTCGGTTCCTCACTGCTCACTTCTGTCGGGGGTTGGCCACATTTATTCCTTGTCATAGTGAGAGTTCAAAGTCTGAATCTCCAACATTAATTATTCAAACTTGAGTCTTTACTGACAGGACATGGGCCATTGAATTTGCAAAATGGAATTCTTCCTCTTTTCCCCCATAAATGGTTTCCCCTCCGTTCCCTCACTCAGGCACCAGCCTTGGTGTTTTGTTTGCCTGTATCCACTCTACCCACGTAGATGTCAGCATAAAAATGCTTTAAAAGCTCAAAGAAAAGGTTCGTGTACCGTCAGATTGAGGTCTGGTGTACACTACGCAGCCAGGAGGTTTCCTGAACGACTTCTTTCCAACTATAAAATATTACATAATGCATGTGCACTTCCAGGTAGAAGTGATCCTGAGCATATTTTTAACACATTGGGCAATGGGGAGCCGAGGTCCCCTGTTGAGAGTGCTGCGCTCAGTTTTCACAAGACAGTGGATTGCATATGCGTATGAAGGTGTGTTAACTGCACGTGAATGGATCTGTGACCAGGGCGGCTGCAGAGAAGCGTAAGGGATGCGAGAGGCCGTCCAAGTGGCTTTTCAAAGCAGCAGGACAGGCTCTGGCTGCAACAGCTCATCTTCTAAGATGAGCAAAGCCATTAACGTGTGGCTCCCGCGTGGACCAGCCACCCAGCTGAGCTCACCGCCCACCTCTCACCTCCGGGCAGGGATTTGCATTGAGAAGCTCCGCCAAGGGTTAAGGAGACAGAACGGCTGTGTCTAAAGGACCAGGTCAAGGTGCCAATTGGGGTGCAGTGAACTGGCCTTAGTGATTTACTCCGTGAGGCCCTACCCCTTCGGGGCCTTGTGGACTAAGGAAATAGAGCTGCTTCGAGCTTCAGGGGTGCATTAACGGGGTGAAAAGGTCATTACCACTTTCTTGTCGTGATTGGTCCAGAAATGGGCCTGTGATTTAGTTCTTGGGGAGGAGACAAACAGGATCATGGGAGTTTCTAGCAGAATTCTTTGTTGCTCTTGAAAGTAATTGGAAGCCATTCTTTTTTGTCTAGTATTGAATATGAACAAGAAAACGCGATGCCCCCATCGCCACTTGGAGCGAGGAGGCAGCCACAGAGGGAGACTAAAGGTCAGCAGCAGAGTGGAGAGAAAAATAAAACCTGATCAACTTCACTGGGGCTACCGACCGCAAACTGTCCTACCTCTTGATTTAGGTGACATAAAATGATACATTTCTGGGGTGGTTAAGGCGTCCTGAGTCGGGTTCTCTGGTCCCTGCAGCCTAAAGCATCCTTGTGGGGGTGTGTGCGGCGTTGTCCTTCAGTTGTTTCAGACACATGGTGACGGGCCTCCCAAGGGAGACTGGCGAGCAGACGTCTGTTTTCTGCCCCTTCATTGCCCGAACTGCAGATCTCAAGCATCAAAATGCATTAAATCACGTGAGGAACATGTTAAAATGCAGAGCCCACCCCAGAAACTGATGGTTTCAGTGGCCAGGAGTCCTCGTTTGTGACACCCCAGTGACCGTGATGCCGCGCACAGTGGACATTGCAGCCAGTATCCATTTCCCCTGCTTTACGAAAACCACCCAGGTTGCACTGGCCTTGGCAAGGTGAGGTGCCAGGTACAGCTCATGGAAAGGTAACAGGTGCGGGCATGGGGCAGAGCTGCCCTGCGCGGCGTTACCGACGCCGGCTGGCCGGCCTGAGGGTCCAGGTCACCGGCCGAGGGCGAGGGCGCGGGCGGGGCGGCTGCAGCACCCCGGTCCGCGATCGCCCTGCAAGCCGCGGCGCCAGCCCTCCCCTGCCTGTTTCCAGACACCTGGGTGCCGCAGGAGAATGAGGCCACACGGGGCGTCTGGGGTGTGCGGCCACGCCCGATGGTGCTGACACGGGGGCACGCCACAGCCACTCCCGAAAACTGCCCTGCATGCAAGGAGTCCAGAAGGTTCTTCATAAATAGCTGGGCTTGGCTTTATCTCTTGTTCTTTCCTTCTATTGTGGCTTTCCCTAGAGTGGAGAGTCTTGTATTCATTCAAAGTTTTGTTGCAATGAAACAGTGAATTCTAGTAAACAGACCACAACATTCTACTTTATTTGCCTTTTAAAAATAAAATAGTATCAAACAGTACTATGCAATGTAAGGTGGTTAAGGTCTCCACTTTGCTTTCAGTAACTAAGATTACAGAACATTGTTCCTTTTTTTTTTTTTTTTTTTTGAAAGTGACTAAATTGGAGAGAGGGGAAGTAACTTTGGAAAATGTTAGGGAGGCACTAATTATCGCAATATCACAAAATTATAGATGCTGTGCTTTAGAGGGCACTATATTGTGTGACGCTTTTAATAGCCTGCGTTTCCCCGTAACCTGCTGGCAGCTGGACGCAGGGTCCCGCTGGGCAGGCCACGCGTTTGGGCTGCTCATCCTGAAGGATTTCTAATCAGCTCAGGCCCGATGCAGCGACTTAGAACCAGAACTTCGGTAGCGGCCCAGCAATTGCTTATAAAATAAACGCAGCAGTCAACTGTTTCAGCAACTTCTAAGTAAACTTTCTAACGCGATAACCCGGCAGCCCTTGGGCCAGGACGCCGGCTCGGCCTTGACCAGACCGCAGGTATCACATCGGTGCCATTAATGTCCTTTCCGATGATGGAATCCAGTTTCCAACTAGAAAGCAAAGTCAAAAGTAAAACAATTAGACTAAAGGCATTTGAGAAAAAACTTGCTAACTTAAGTACAACCAGAAAACTTAACGAAAAGTTTCCATTTTATTATCTGGAACATCCCCTCTAAAAGATCTCACGCCTTAAGGACTTTGAGTGATACGTCATCAGTAAACAAATGTGCGTCTCTCCGCCGTGTAATGTCAACTTGTGGGGATACTACATTAATTCAATTAGAGTAGTCTATCTCTTAAGGAAAGGAGACGTGGTAGGAGAATTTAATTCTAGTGAACTTTGTGACTGATTACAGGGTAACCAGAAACTTTTTTCCTAAATCGGAATGAGAATTCTTAGAAAGAACGGGGCCTGGAAAACACAGAGGCCAATGAGAAACCCAGTGACTTGACGCCCAAGTCGGTTTCCATTTATGAAATGGGGTTTCTGTAAGAAAGAGGAGACGATGACTAAAAAGAACAAAGTCACTTCGTTTAAAGGGACCATTAACCACAAGTCTGGTCAGTGCCACTTTCCTTCCCCCGAGAAAGACACGGCAGACCACCTGGGTTGCCAGCGGTGACCACGCAGGCCCAGAATGGGGGCGCGGCAGGCCTGAGGCTCACCGCACTCAGAGGGCAGGTTCAGCTGGGGCCCCTTGGCAACTGGGGGAGGCCGGTGCTGCCGGCCCTCGAAGCCCGTCCACGACACCGTTTCAGCGGCCTGGCCGACCTCGGCCTTGCCGGGCGCCCGCGGGGCAGGCAGTCCGAGCAGCCCTCTTCTCCGCTCCGCGGGGGGGCTCGGGCCGTGCGCTGCGTCTGGGTGCCTCGCAGGCTTCCTCCCTCCCGCCAGGCCGGCCCCGCCTGCCCCGGCCCCGCCTGCCCCGGCCCCGCTCCCTCGCCAGCTCCAGGCATGGCTCCCGGCGCGTCTGAGGCTTTTCTAAATCGGCCCTGGTTGCTGAGGAAAGCAGGGAGAGACGTTGGGGCCGAACCTAAGTGACTCCGCCATAAAATGTTTCGGGGTCTCTTATCCTAACAGTCCGTGCAAGTTCGTCATCCTACTCTAAAATACATTTGTTTTCATATGAAATGCTTTAAATAACCTAGCAGTTAAATGAGTTAACTTCTTCCTTCAAAGATCATCAAGTGAAACTGATTCTGTAGGAAGGTGCCCGCGGTGAGCCGTGGCCCCACGTGCCCCCAGCATAGGACCCACACGTCCAAGGGGGATGCAGACTCCCACGGGAGAGCATCGGTGCTTGGACGTTCATGGCCCTCCGCATCGTCCCCAATCCCGGGGAGCCCTGCTTTTGAACTAAACATCAGGGGAGGGGGGAAGGGGAGAAGGTGGGAGAGGGGGGAGATGGGGCAAAATTATGTCTTTGAAAAATATTCTGTAATTTTAATTTTTGAATAATTCAAGCGAGCTTGGTTCTGGTTTTTCCAAATCCATGAGTTGCCGCTAATCGTCTCTTGTCACCACGGCATCTCGCTGTTTAGCTTCACAGCTGTGCGGTTTAATTCAGTTGTGCAGTTTAGTATCCGCAATGGGAAAAAATCTAATCCAAGTGTCACGTTTATTACCTCATCTTTTCTCTTCCAGTTATAGTTTCTGTTGGTCATTTGAGGACTGGTGTTGACTGGGCCTATTCAAATACATGCATCAAACAGAAAAACTGAGTTAGGAGTTTAAGAATAAAAGGAGCCGAATATTTTGAAATATCAGTTTGCTTTCTCCCTGCAGGTCTCCCTTTCTTTTCCGTTCAAATGGGTTCCTAACTCTCCCCCTGCAGGGAGTTTGTAAATAAGCTCCCGAGAGTCCAGCACGTGGCTGAGGGGGTGGAGCACCAGCAGGCGGTGAGCCCCGGGGGCCCCAGGGGGCTGGACCAAGGAACAGGCGGGGGGACAGGAGGGCGCCTGCTTCCCCGCGGGGCTGGGGGGCGGGGAACGGCGCGGGGAGGGGGTGGCGCCGCTGGCTCTCAGCTCTGACTGCTGCCACTTTCAGGAACAAGGACCGGGTGTTGGCAGACTTTCTGATTTTTTTTCAAGAAAAGCTCAAAATCTGGATTTTTTTAAAATGCGAAATTTCTGGATGTTTATACTTGGCAACTAGTTTTAAAACTGTGACAGGAAACATGCATGTGGGTCAAACCCAATGTGCTGGCTGGATCCAGTCCATGGGCCTACCATGTGTGACTTCAGGCCCAGACTCCCTGGGGAGTTCAGAGTGATCTATGTCCCACAGCATCCAGGGTCACTCAGGGAAGCAGAGGGGCCTCCGGACCCAGCCAGTAGGGGCTGTGGCCCGTCTCCACTTATGGTCTCTAGTCCCTCAGCGGTGCCGGCCTTGCCGTGGGCTGCTGCACCCCCGAGCACTGTGGGACGGCAGCGTGGCAGACCCAAAGAGACCGTGAGGGCGGGACAGCAGCCAGCTCGCGGTGGCTGGCTTGGAGAGGGGCTCCCCCAGGACAGATGCTGCGTACTGCCCAGAGCGGGGCATGGACAGCGAGCCCTAAGGATGTCTGAGCTTTACCTCCTTCCAGGGGAGGAGTCAAAGCACACACTGAACGTCTGTCTCCCCTCCCCACACGGGCAGAGGCCTGGTTCGGCTCCCTCGCCAGCTAGTGCTTGGTCCAGTGCCCAGCACACGATGGGGCTGCATTTTGTAAGAATCATGCAAATGAGAAAGAGTGACATAGGAACTCTTAATACAACGTCACTTTAAGGCTCACAATTTGAAACCGTGCCCACACCCCAATTAACTATTCATTAAGAACTGCGCCCTGTCGAAGCCAGCAGGCCACATGAATTGTAGCCACCGGGGACGGTGCTGGTTAGAGGACTCAGTCAAGGGCAACCGCTCTCAGGCTGGGGCAGCCGGGAGAATAATGACGACGCGCTCCCTACGGCGGGGCTGCTGGGCTCGAGGGCAAGGCTTGGAACGCTTTTGCTCCAGAGCAAGGCCTCCCGCCTGGTCGTCTTTGCGTGCTGCTCAGTGCTGCGCTATGTGCCGTTTCGTGCTGATGCACATTCAGGGACTGTAACTACTTAGTGACTATTGAAGGTCACCTCAAAGCAAGTCCTCTGAGTTGTGGCGCTGGCCGCCGTTGGGGTCAGTTTCCATACTCCCTTGGATTGCTGGGCTCAAACCAGCTCCCCACGCCTGGGCCCACCGTGTGAGTCCGTCCCCTCCCCACCCCCGCCGTACCCCAACAATGCTCTGTGGCTCCAGCCTACAAGAGCAGGAACATAGTAAAACATAGAAGTGCCCCCCCGCCGACCCTAGCAAGGGTATGGAGGGAGGGTCACAGAGCTGAGGGACGGTCACAGAGCAGAAGGAGCCGCCGGAATCGCAGCACCTGGAACTCTCTGATATGCCACCTCCCAGCAGCGGTGTGGCCGCCAGGGTGGGCCCGGGAATGGGGACTGATGATAGACCCACGCAATGCCCTCAAATCGCTTTCTTCAAATTGAATGAATTTTGCATTTATCGAAATTCCTTCCCAATGGTTTTCCTACCACCAAAGGGCTCCCCCTTACCCATGACCTTGGAGCTACTGTGCTTGACAGTTTCAGATGGTTGGACAACCAGAAGCTTGCTTAAGTCTGAAGTTCCCTGAATCTGAAGGAGAAAAGTCACATTAGTCGGAAGAGCACTCTTTGATCTCTCAGCTGGCTGCGTCCTAACCTTCCCGAAGAATACAAGAAATTAGCCAAAACCTAGAACCGGGCCTCCAACCCGAGCTCTGTCTTTTTCATTTCAAATCCTCTGTAACGTTGCTTCAAAAAGCCTGGTACCCGCGAATTACCTTTTGCATGTTTACAGACATCAGAAAGGAACTTTCTGCACCTTCCTTTTCTGCCCCTGCCCGGACAGAGTGTCCAGCAGCCACTGAGTTTGACTCCCACGCTGACGGTCCAGGGCTCAGGGCGCAGCATCCCCACGGGGCAGAAGGGCCTTCTTTCCGTAGCCTTTTCGCCCGCCAAGTCTGCCCTCCCAGAACGCCAGCGGCAGATACGCAACAGCAACTAGCATTTCCGGATACCTCGTGTTACCTCGCTGAACCCTCACCACAGCCTTGTGAGGGGACAGCTGCTGTCACCCTCATCTCACTGGGGTGGAAACAGCATCCGAAGGCGGCCGGCCAGCCGGCCGGCGCTCACACACCCTGCGGGCCCAGCGGTTGGGCCCTGACCCAGGACGCCCGGCTCCAAACCCCGGTGTCTCCACAAACCGCCGCGGGGGTTTTCCTGTGGTCCCCACCCCCGCCCCTTCTTTCAAAGTTAAGGAGGTTTTCATTTTCCATTAAAAAAAACAAAACGCTTGCATTGCCTTCATCTTCTGAATTGTTGAGAGGGACACAAAAGGGTGTTATAAATGGGGCAAATGCACTTTTCAGGAGGTTTATCACCGTTTCCAGGACACAAACTTCCATTGACGGATGGCCTTTCCCGGCCTGAACGGGCTCCCAAAGGCAGGACCTCGCTGCCAGCCCGGTCTCGGGCCTCTTGGGCCGCCCCCTCCCGGGCTTCCCCTGCCGGCCTCCTGCGGTCCGTTAGCGGGTGACCTGCTTGGGACCCTGCTTCTGCTTGGCCTGTGCCCACCGGCTCTCGGCTGTCCAACCTGCGGCCCAACCCAAAGTCATAAACTTACTTAAAACATGAGTTTTTTTTTGTGTGATTACATGTCACAATGTATCTAACGTGTGGCCAGAGACAATGCTTCCTCTTCCTGTGTGGCCCAGAGACGCCCAAAGGTTGGACACGTACGCTAGGTGCTCACACGGCCACGCCCTTACAGAGGTGCGGATGAGGTGCAGGGCCCGCCCCAAGGTGTGCCCACAGCCACCCCCCTCCGGGTGGCAACACAGTGACGGGGCCCCGACTCTGCTCCCCTGTTATCAGTCAATCAGAGCAGACGCGCCTGGAGCCACGCTGGCCCTCGGTGTCATTGCCTTGGTGCGAACTAGGGAAAGGCAGCCGGGCATCCTTCCTCTGGGGAGGCACAGCCCCACGGCAGGGCCCGCAGCGCAGCGGCGCAGGCCGATCCCACCCCTCGGCCACACCCCAGAGCTCGGCACAGCCTGCGCGCACACACGGATGCCCTGGGTACCTGCCGGCCCCTGTGTGAGGGGCAGGAGAGAACGGCAGGTTTTCAGGGTGCTCAGCGTTTTAAAGTCACCGTGGGGCACTGTGGAACACAAAGACTCTGTAGAAATGACGCCCCTTGCTCACCTGCTCACAGGTTTTAGGTAAGATGCAAGGTGCGAGATACTGCACCTCTGTCTTTGTGTCGATCACACTGCCGTACACGACGATCACGAACTTCATGGTGGCATAGTCAATGGCCATTTCGTTACAGCTGGATAAAGTCTCCACGTACGCCACATTGAGCGCCACACATTTTTGAAATGTTAAGTCCTACAATAAAAGTACATTTTTCCTGTAAATCGTACACAATGCTACATGGTGTCCAGAAGAAGAAAGACTCACGATTTGGCTGAGTTCTGTGAAGGTGTCCAAAGGCACACGCACCCGGGGCCGAGAGGCAGAATCTGCTGAGCTCCGACGAGATTCTGAACTCAGGGTTGCGCTGCCTCTGTTGCGCGGTCCTGGCCGGGGTGGCCCAGGCTGCTATGTGGCCTGGGTGAGCCTCACTCGGCCACAGCAGGGCAGGCAGGCAGGCAGCCAGGCCTCCCGGATTTCTCTTTGCCCAAGAACCAGCGTCTTAAAGACACACGGGTTTGCTCAGCAGCAAGTCATCGTCTTGCTGGACAAAAGGACAAGTGGGACCAAGAGCCAAAACGAACACAGCAAGGCGGCAAGTCTGCAGCACATGGCAAGGCTCAGAATCCACGGCCTCAGAGCGGGAAGGGAGCTCTTACGGGGGCACTGCGTCCCCCTGCCATCCCTGTGCTGAAGTTCTAACCCCCAGGACCTCCGAGCGGGACCTTATTTGAAAGTAGGTTGTTGCAGATATAACTGTTGAAGTTAAGAGGAGGGTGGCCCCTAATCCAACATGACTGGAGTCTATGAAAAAGGGAAATGTAGGCGCAGACAAGCACCAAGGGAGAACTCTGAGGGGGGATGAAGGCGTACCCACGGGCCAAGGAGGGAGGCGTTCTCCCCACGGCCCTCAGAAGGAAGCAGCCCTGCCGACACCCCAGCTTCGGTTCTCAGCCCCAGGAACGGCGAGACAATAAACTGCTGTCGTGTGAGCCACTCAGTGTGTAGTGCTTTGTTACAGCAGCCTCAGCAAACTAACACAGAGGCTTAGGTTATTTTAATTAAAGTAAGTAAACAAACAAACAAATAAATTCTGGAATCTCAGTGTAGAAGATCAGACACACCCTGGCTGGCGTGGCTCAGTGGATTGAGCGTCAGTCTGTGAACTGAAAGGTTGCCGGTTCGATTCCCAGTCAGGGCATATGCCTGGGTTGCAGACCAGGTCCCCGTTAAGGGGCGTGTGAGAGGTAACCTATCAATGATTCTCTCTCACATTGATATTTCTCTCCCTTTCTTTCTCCCCACTTTTCCCTCTCTCTAAACATAAATAAATAAAATCTTTAACAACAACAACAAAAAAAGAATAAGAAGATCAGACACAACCTTCTTTGCTGTTTTTGTTACAAAAATATGAAGTGCATTTTGTAAAAAACACAGTACATGAAAGTTCACTGATGTTTTAATCATGTAACTTACCTCATCGATGAGAGCGGATTCAAAATACTGCTCGGCAGTACTGAGAGCAAGCTTTAGCCATATTTTGTACTCCAGGGATGGCCAGAAGACATCGAAGCCTTCGTATAAGTCCTCCAGGGAGATGAAGCAGGCCTGAAACGACAGGGTGTCGTGCGGCGAGCCTGATCCGGGACGAAGGGGCGAGGCCGTGGAAAACAAGGCGCCTGTAGACCTAAGCTTCAGCTCTGGTGTAATTATGATACTCTGCCACTCAAAAGCATTGTATGGTTGGAGAGGCTGTTCCCTACGTACAAGGTGATACAATTCACAGTCCAGTTTAAGCTGCAGAGCTCCTAACCGGCCGGGAAAGTCCGTACTCGTCGATAGCTATGATAAGGACACGGCTCACGAGCCCGGGCTCCAGGAACGAACTGAGCCCATAACTGACCTGCTTTTACCCCCGCAGCAGGTAAAGTGGGCTCGTGTACAATCTTTGTTTCCAGAGGTGAACCGCTTCCCTGAATAAGGAAGACTACGCTTCCGGAATGCACACTGCATGAACTTCAGTGAACTCAGTCCAGCCACGTGACTAAAGTCATGCCTTCCGTCCTCTTCCAGAAATGAGACGGTCTGGAGCTGATAGGGCAGCACCCCCTCTGTGCCACACACCCCTAAGGCTCGGGTCCCACTCTGTCACTCCTGCGAGTCCCCGAAAGCTGGAGAATACTTTGTAAGCAGCAACTTGGACTCATTTCTACTTGAATCCCCCACAGCTAGGAGAATGTCAGGCTACTTGTTCAATAAATAACATCCTACGAAGCAAGTGAAAAACGGAAGAAAGAGAGTTTAAAAACACGTGTCCTCTAAAAACATGGCTCTTGCAATGGTGGCCGTTTGCTAGGCGCCTCCACACGTCAGGCATCAGACAGGCGTCTTCCTAACCCTCAAAACATCAGCAGTTAGATAGCCTCTCCTCTGTGAACAAGGTCATGAAGACGCTAAGGACTTCAAAACCCCTCGCTCCGGACCCCACAGCCAGGACGTCAGACACTAGATCCGCCTTCACAGTCGCTGCTTGGTAACTAAACACAACACAAGAGCCCCAGGGGGAAATCCCTCCGCTGTTCCTCCTGTCCCCAAGGAAGCGCTAACTCACAACTCACAACATGGGCAGAACCGGGGCCTCACCTGCAAGATAGTTTCACAGATGGCGGTGTATTCAATTTCACGCTTCAGCAGGCAGCTCAGCTCGCCGATGATGTCCCCACAGGTGTAGTACTCTGTGAACAGGGTTTGGGACTCTCGGTGCGACTGAAGGCTACTGTCGATCCCAAAGGTCGGCGGCGAACTGTGCAGCTGCCGAGGGAAACCCGGAGTTAGCCACCCCTGCCCCAGCCGTCGGGGATCCCGCCCTCGTTGGCAGTGCTTACGGTGGAAGGAAAAGATGCTTCATGCATCCCCTCCGGTGGGAATCGGGCTTTGCAAAAATCCGGCCCCTCTCACATCGCGACCCTCTGAGACATGGATGGTTCCCAGCCCTCAGCTTTAGAGCTTTCTGCCTAAAGGCCTTCCTTCTATGAACCCCCACCAAAAGCACTCATTGCCATCTGCAATGAATGTAATTCCCTCTCTGAGTCTATTAGATACTATTATCCTAACAGGCTAGTGGCTCAGATGGGAAAAAAATCCTTTTGATTGCACAAATGCATAAATCAGACATCCACTAATAAACCTCCAGACCAAGCCACCCTCTCAGGAAAAAGCCTTGTTCCCCTTTAAGATGCTAAGAATAGTTGCCATGAGCCCACAAAAGAAAAGGCTTTAGGGTGAACACAGAGGGTTGCGTTTCCTCAGGAAAAGAACTGGAAGGCATAGGTCGTGGGGGAAGGAAGATGTCAGACTTCAGGAGGAAGCTGCAGGGATCAACCAGGATTCCAGAATGTTCCAGAAAGCTTAGCTGCACACATCAAAGAGGAAGGTTATTGTTTAAGACACAGGAAACAGGGAACTGAGGGCCCCCCAAGAGTCGCTGTGAAAAACACGCCCTCTCTAGGGGTTTCCACTTGGGCTTTCTGAGACATGCATGCTTCCAAAGCACTTGGGAGCTTTACATTTAATCTCAAATGCAATTCTAGCAGAGAGAGGCACGTGTCTGCTTTCTGCAAACCCAGGAGAGACGATGATGGGGTCCGTGGAAAGCAGCATTCCAAAGAAGTTCCTCCGAGCCCACCTTGCGTTGTTCCCTTACACCCGAATCCACCTGCTGCTGTGAAGGGATTTTGCAGGGGGCTTTCAGGTTACTAATCCCCTGATCTTAGGGAGGTGGTTCCGCATCACCCTGGTGAGCCCACCAGAAGCACCAGAGCCTTCCAAAGCAGAGAAGGGAGTGGAGTTCCTCAGAGAGACGTGAGGCTGTGGGAAGGACTGAATGTGCTCTGGCTCTGAGATGTGCGTGCGTGCACGCATCTAAGAACCAAAGAGGAGCTCCAGGAGCTAAAGGGGGTCCCAACGGACAGCTGCAAAGACGCAGGGATGTCTGTCCCGCAGTTGGAAGGATCTGGGTTCTACCAACAGCGTCAGTGAAGCTGGAAATGGAGTTGGCACCCCGTTTCCAGAAGGGAACACTGCCGTACTGACCCTCTGACTCTGGCCTTGGAAGACTCAACATCAGTGTCTTAGAAAAACCAGCTAAGCCCACAGGACTTCCGACCTACAGAGCAGTGGCATAGTAAACGAAGCTGCTAAATGTGGTGACTTGCTATGGCACATGCAGAACACTAATATAACGTCTCAGCCAAAGTGTCACTGGGCTTGTGTTTTAAGGAGCCCTGGTTAGTCCTGTCATTGCAGGAAAATTCCGCAAAGAGCACACGTGTGGCAGCTTTTAAGAGTCTGATTTGACGTACTTAATAAATGCTGGTGGCAGGATATTTTTGTCATGGGTTCTAATGGGAGCACAGCGCAGTGGCTCAGCACATGGATTCCAGTGGAAGCAGCACAGAATAATGGCTAAGGACACAGACACGGAGACTGGGGGCAGGGGGCAGGCCCCGTGGGCTTAACGCCCTCCTCGGCTCTCACTATGTGCCCTCGAGGGACGAGTGAATTGGTTCTCTGCACATCAGTTTTCTCGAAAAATAAGGTTGTTGTAAGGACTAAATGTCATAAGATGTTGCCGTCCTCCACTGCGCTTTCAAAAATTACAACCGACCTTATCTTTCCATCACCTCTAACATAGTATCTATTTAACGTACTTATTTTGTTCTGTGTCCTGTGTCCTCCAACGTCTCTGCTAGAAAGTGAACTCTAAGAAGGCAGGGACTTTCGCCTGCTCTGTCAGTTCGTGCCTAGACTCCCCGGTGCCCGCTGCACGGAAGTGAGGAAGTGAATGATGGCCGACGCTTACTAAGTGCCATCCATGTGCTCACACTATGGCAGGCTTATTATAGCAGCTCATTTCCATAGTCAATTTGGGCAGTTTTAGGTCTGAAATACCCATTCCAAAAAACAGAAAGCCAAATACGTTATCTGCTTTACAATAAGGGTCTGTCACTTGGAACTGTCATCTAGGGCCCTGGGTCTAGGACCTGGGAATTACTTGGGCGGGAGCTGGGGCTCCCCCATGCATTCGGCTACTGGCATAGGGATCCCCAAGGATTCCTGTCCCCATCACCCTACTGACATCTTCCTCTGGTCACCAAAAGCTTCCTTTTGGTCAGAGTAAACATTGTATTTTCTGTCCTCATCCTATTCGACCTCCGAGAGGATGGGCTGCTGGGATCTTGACTCATTTTCTCCAGGTGAGGGACTCAGCCGCTCCGAGCACTGGGTTTCTTAGTTGAACATCCTGGAAAAGCCGGCCTCCTCCCAGGACTGTCGTGAGGAGGGAGTAAGACTACAAAAGCCTTTCGTTAAAAGGGAAGCACCTTCCAGATATCGGGTTAACGAGTGTCATCTCTCAGCTCTAGTGCTCCCTCCAAAATGGTTTCACTTAGAAAAGAGATTGTTAAAATTTTGACATTTTCTTGGTTCCTCAATTTCTCCTTATGTTTTAATGACATATTTCAAAAATGTTTTAGATAAAGAATAAATAGCCCCTTACAATCGCCATTCCTGAAATGATTAGGTAGATTCCTTGTGGCATTTCACCTTCTTTACAAATGACATCTCCATAGTCAAAATAGGCAAGTTTGGCTCTTTCCTGAAAGAAAGGGAAAAGAAAAGAAAAAGTCAACACAAAAGGTTCAGAGTCTACTTTTTCTAAATAGAAATAAGATTTGAAAGCAAAAATGGCTTTCAAGTAGCATAAAAACACAAACTAGATTCTTTGGTGTTAATGAAGTATAACAACAGGCTGACGTATCTCATTAACCTTTACAAAGACAGGGACGAGCAAGCAAGCTATAGACTTTGCGGCCCTGACCGGTGTGGCTCAGCTGGTTGGGCATGGTACTGCAGGGCAGGTGCCACAGGGCAGAAGGTCACCGGTTCGATGCCCGCCAGTCAGGTCACATGCCCGGGTTGCGGGTCTGGTCCCAGGTCAGCGCACATGAGAGAGGCAACCTATCACTGATTCTCTCTCACATCGATGTTTCTCTCCCTTTCTCTCTCCCTTCCTCTCTCTCGAAAAGTAAATAAATAAAATCTTAAAAAAACAAACAAAACTATAGACTTTGTGATTAGTACCCAGCACAGTGACTGATAGAAACACCCAGTAAATGCTAGGTTGGGTAGATGTTTCCAATAAAGTGTGATAATTCTGACAACGGAGACTGAGTCAGACGTTCTGGAAAAATCCAGAAAGGCCACAGGACTGCATCTTGGGTGCCCAGGGAAGACTTTACCAAGGGAGGAACAGCTAAGCTGAGGCCTCACGAAGAGTTACGATAACAAAGATTCGAAGAACTGAAGAGAATTCGGGGCAGAGGGCTTGGTGTGTGCAAAGGCCCAGGAGGAAACAGAACACCTGCCCGGGGTGAGCAGAGACCGAGTGCGTCCCACGGACTCTGTGCATCTCGGGGACTCGGTGTGTCCCCGGCAGGGAGCGGCGGACACCAGGACTCAGCTACCCATGGCACCTCCATAGGCACAGTGCCCAGGGTTCACAAGCGTTTCCGGGACTCGCCACAATATGTTAGTTTCTTTTAAAATCAGAAGGAATACAGGAACTTTCAGGTAGGGGAAATGTTTTAGTAGTAAAACAGGACTAGCTAGTTCTGATTTCAAAAGAAAATCTCAAAAACGCCCGGAATGAAGAAAAGAACTCGGGTATGGCATGGAAGGAATCAGAGCCACGGCTCTGCAGGGCCCCACTACAGTGGCTTTCATTCCAGAAGACAAGGCAAGTATCTTGTTATGGTCAAACAAATGCCTCACCTATCTACATGCCTGGATCACAAGACATAGTACAATCAAACTTGTGGTAAAGCAAGTACTATTCTTTCTCACCGTTTTCTTGGTTCCAAAAGTCTAACAGAGATTTTGGCAGGTGATGAGAAGTTTTAGGATCTACTCTCTTAGCAACTTCAAATGGCGCGTGCAGCAGGGTCAGCCGCAGTCACCATGTTGTGCTTCGCACCCGCAGTACTTTCTTATAACGTGGAAGTTTGTATCTTTTGCCCACCTTGGGTAACCTCAAATCTGATCTCTTTTCCTAGCTTCAGTTCTTTTAGCTAATTCTTCCTTATCTCCCCACTTCTAAATGTTGGCTAGCCCAGGACTCAATTTTTGAAGGTCCATCATAATCCCTTAAGTTACCTCACCACGTCTCAAGACCTTAAACATCGTCTCTGTACTGACGACCCCAAAATGTCTGGCTCCAATCTGACCTCCCACCCAGGATCAAGCCATCCACTCAACTGCTTACTCAACATATGTGCTTGGATGTCTAATAGTTTTCCCAAACGTAATGTATTTGGAATCAAACTCTTGTCTCCCCCCACCATCTTCTCTCCCCCATCTAATTAAATGGTAACTCCATTCTGTTCAGACTAAAACTTCTAGATGTTACTCTCTCTCCCTCTCACACTCACTCCGTCGGCATCTGCCGGCTCTCCCTTTAAAACATCAAGAGTCTGACCGCTTCTCACCACGTCCGCAAGTCCAAGCCACCGTCGTCTCTTGCCTCCCTCGCTGGAACTACCTCCTGACTGGTCTCCCTGGCTCGCCCTTGACCCCTTACGGCCCTAACTCAACACAGCAGCAGTGGCCCTTTTTCAGTGTGTTAGACCATGTCACTTCTCCGTCCCAGACCTTCCAGTTGGTTTCCGTTAAATTCACACAAAATGCCAAAGTCCTTGCAATGGCCAGCAAAGCTCTACAAACTCGGGCTCTCCCAGCTGCTCCCACCTCCTCCCCTCCCTCCATCCTTGCTCCCGCCAGCCCAGCGGGGCCTTTGTGACGCCCTTCAGCACTCCAAGCGCACTCCACCTCGGGGCACTGCTCCTGCCTAGGGTGTTCTTCTCCCTTCTACGTGGCTTGCTCCTTCACTTCTTCCAGGCGTCTTTGCAAATGTCACCTAATAGAGCAGTCTTCTCTGACCACTTCATATAAAATAGCTGCCCAACCATATTCCCTTTCTCCACAGTATTTCTCACCGTCTGGCAGACTCTTTATTTATGTGTTGGTGTGTTTATTATCCATCTCCATCCATATAATATAAAGTCCCTGAAAGCAGGGACTTCATTTATTTTGTTCACTGCCATATCCCCAAACCGAGAATAGTCTCTGGCACATAAGGGATATTCAATACATATTTGTTGGAAGAGCCCAACTTCCAGCAGCAATACTCTGGTGACTTTAGACCATGCATGAGCTCTTGGATATGCCACGGTCTTCACTGCTCCCTCTTACACTGCACCCGGATGGTTTTACTTCTATGTTATCTTTCTGGCCTGTATAGTCATTTAAATGCGGGAGCTTGCTCTAAAAAATCTTTTCCAGAGTGTGCACCTGGAAGTCCAGAATTCTTCACCATAAAATAAGATGGGATTAATAACAATCAAGTAACAGAGATAGCTCATCCTAAACAGATAATCCATTCTGGGAAAGACAATCTTTTCCTTTTAGGCTCAAAATGAAATCTGCGCTCCTAGGTTTTGCTTTGACTTACCCTTTACTGACATCCATTACAGGATTCCTGCTTTAGTTTTCTGTTGTTGTTATTGTTGTTAATTTTGCATTAAGGAGTGGAAAAAACGAAAAATAATCAAACCTGAGCCAGAACAGAAGACAGAATCTTTACCTTGAAGAACTTAATGAGAACATCTTTATTTTCCAGCCAAACAATCTTATGAAGATATTTGTCAGGAGTAGGAGGCGGGATTGCCATAGGAAAGTTGTTCAGTGCTTTTATTTTTGAAAGAAGTACCTAAAAACAATCAAAATAATGGTAATCAGATTCTATAACAGAAAAGGAATATTAGGTTAAAACTAAGGAAATCTAAATAAACAACTGTTATGCAAATTTAACTTTGATTTTTGACTCAGAGATTCTCTTTATTTAAATTGTTCTCTGACATTCTTTTTGCTCATATTATCCCCTTATTACTATTTTTACTGACATGTTATCTCATTTTCAATTTATCATCTTTATACTCCAGCTAACACACACAGACATATATGTTCTACCCTGTCTTAACCTCAAACTATCTAAACTTCATAGTTAGTTACTATATGATTTAATGCCATGTTCTCCCAATTTTTTTTTATGTGCATGCTTTGCTTCTTTAAACCTTTCTAATTTTATAGGATATAATTCCAGCTTTGTGAACTCAGAAGCCTTGTCTGGCTTCCCTCACCAGGTAGGAGATGACCATTTATCTGTCTTATTCCTACAGCACCTCCTACAGGTCTCCCTTATGGAACTCATTGAACTGTACTAGTCTTATTTTTAGGCATGTGTTTCACCTTCCGTATTATGTCACTTCCATTGTTGGATGAACAAATGTCTAAATGAAAGAATTAGGAAGAGCTCATAGACTTTGGGGTCAGTGTTGTATCCATTAATTATCCTGAGCCCCACACCATGTAGTAAGTATTCAATACATATGTACTTAATTAAATCAAATAGACTTATCTGCCACCTTATGACCTGGGATTGATAATTATATCTCTTTGGCTAACAATTGGACAATTAGTAGGCATTTCATTACTAACTATGGAATGATTGTTTACCCATTAGCTTTCTAAACAAACCAATAGGAAAAAAATAAGTCTCTCTCCTCCTAAGGGTTATTATTTATGGGTATCAAGCATTCAATTGAATCTTACATAGCCTTTCAAGCAATAAGTGAAAAAAATACAAAACACAGTGTGTGTGCAGGGGGGTCACTTGAAGGGCGCTCTAAAGTGGCCCCTCCTCCCCTCTCACAGGCACACGGGAAAATCATGTCACCCACGCGGTCCTTCATCACGGGGCTGCGGCCACCAAAGAGCGCGCCGCGAAGGAGCGGGCTGGCCTGTCCCCCGCCCCTTCCCTGCCGGGGCGATGGAGCGGGACCCTGTCCAGCAACTGTCCAGAAGCCCAGGGCACGGTGGCCATGGCTGGGAGCTACTGGTGACAAGGAAAAGCCTGTGACACCCAGAAGCCACTCACCAGCTGGCAACACAGAAAGAAGGAAGGCCCAGAACTCCCATTTTTCTGCTTTATGCTCCGAAGCAGACAGATGCTTGTGAGAGACAGGAAGAACCAGCTTATTATGCACAAACACAGAGTGTAGATGGTAAATGCGTGGAATGCTGGAATCAAACATTTTTTCCTCTAGCTTATGGTCCTGATCTTTTTTGCCGATACATTTATAATTTCTCAAAAGTCTGTTTATCAGCCCACTGATTAGGTTGCCGTCCCTGCTCCTCTCCCCTCAGAGCAGCCCCTTCCTGCCCCCCCCCGCCCCCCACTAACAAGTAACACTGTGCGACTCCCAGCTCCCCGACCCCAGCTGGCGGGACCAGGCGGTACAGAGTCCACCGGCGGAGAGAGCAGCAGAAACGTCTGGAGCTGGTAGAGGGAGCCAAAAGGAGATGCCACGGCGGCAAGGTTTCTAGGTCCTTACTCAAGCCCCTTCCTGAGGCCTGGCCACAGGGCCCGGCTCCTGTGGGCTCTGTGAGGTGCTCATACTGTCTCCCACACCCACTTCTGTGCTAAGCCCAGCTCAGGTCAGCGTCTCACTCACAACCAGGTCGTTCTGACCTGGAGAGCACCGGGCAGCGCTGCTGCTGGCTGCCGCTAGTGGTGGCGAAGGCTGCGGGCAAATGAGAGTGGCCACGAGGTCACTGCTCTCCCGACACTCTGCTAAAGCAGCAGTGCAGGCGGGGGTGGCCGGCTGATGGGCTCAAGCCACATGAAAAAGTTGCTTTACTACCTTATGTATCTCGACGCCCTCGTGTTTGTCGATGATGCCTCTTGACCAAAGGAAGGAGAGGTGCTTCAGAGACTTAGCGATCACGGTCCGGATGGCCTGCCTGGTCTTCAGAGCGATGACAACATCGCGCCCCTCGTGCTCTATGAGCCCTGGAGCAAGCAAAGCTCTCAGTAAGCCAACAGCGCAATAACCGCAACAACTCACACTTGTATAACAGGCTGTAATTTCCAAAGTATTTGTGCAATATCCTTCTGTTCCTGTTTCATACAGAACTTGGGAGGCCGGTCGGACCAGAGTTATTTTCAGCTCCGCTCCATGGATGAGAAAACTGAAATGGGGCTTCCCCCACCCGCGGGGAGAGAGCCGCCCCCTGCCGAGCACGCAGCACGCCCCGCCCGGCTCCGCCAGCAAACTCCTGCCCTTGCCGCAGCACTGCTTGCAGTTGTCTCGTTCGCCATGTACAACTGTCTATAAATTACAGTGTGGAGGCCTGGCCACAGTCCCGAGGACGCTCTGCGGGAGACCCTGGGACCCCTGCTGTGTGCCTCAACTCCAGCAGGGCGACTACACACACTCAAGAAACGACGTCCCGTGCAGTTTTGCGCTCCTGAGCCTCCTTGCAAACAAAGTAAAACCAAACCAAACCACCCTTTGTCAAACAAAGGTAATTTTCACCTTTTTCTTACAGCCTTAAGGAATCTGATCCTGTCGCTTTAACCCATTTTCCACTCTCCCCACTCATCCCCCTGCGCTCCCCCAGCAAGTGTTGGAACACCTCGGACTTTCTGCAGTTGTCTACTGCGAGGGTCATGCCCTCCACGAAGCCCTGCACTGTTCGCACACTGGGCCCGTTACATGTGTTCAACAAACGCTGGTCGGATGAGTAAATGGATGATTGAGTAACTGAATGAAAGCATGAACCGGTCTTTCCTTGGTTAAATGATGGGATGGCGGGTCCTACAGCAAATGAAGCCCGAAACAGTGCCGGAGGCGAGAATGACCCAACGGAAGCTGTCCTACTGTGGGCATGTCATGCGTCGTGGTGAGTTCTTTGGAAAAGACAGTAATGCTGGGGGCAGGGGACAGAAGGCAGCAGGAAAAGAGGGGACCAACTATGAGACGGACTGACTCCATAAAAGAAGACACAGGGAGGAGTCCCCGGGAGCCGAGCAGGGTTGTTGAGGATGGGACACTGTGGACATCACTCATCACCGAGTCCCCAGCAGTCAGCGCTGGCTCAATGGCAGGTCACACACACGCAAGGTGTGATTTCAGGAAATCAGATGCTCCACCGACCTACCTAGTTCTTTGACAGCCTCCCGTTTGTTGGTTTCCAAAATTTCATATAATTTCTGTAAGAAGTTAGGAAAAACATTAATTTATTATACCAAGGGCATTTCTGAGGGGAAAAGTCCCATCGTAGAAACCTCCTTGAGTGTGCGACCCGGTGTGGGGGGGCGGGGACGTGTGGCGAGCCCTGCCCGCCGCGCTCACACGGACGCAGGCCGCCCTGGATGTCGTGTAGTCAGCAGCTCGCATAACCACTGTGCCCGACATTTCTCGCGTAAGATTAGGTAACATTTCTAGAGAAGATTATCTGTGCGTCGAGGAGAATTCTCATAGGTAGAGCTCCGCTGCGGGGGGGCGGGGGGGGGCGGGAGGCGCAGGGGGACGCAACTGAGCAGCTGTTTGGGGAGCCGGTCTATCGGGAGCACAAAAACGGCGGGACAATGAGAACAACAGGGTGTCAATTAGTTCATGTTTCCTGCTGGTAACCCCTGACAATGTCGCTAAGAAACGGCTCCGCCCCAAGACTCGCTGACCTCTGTTCCATCGTACAATACTTTGTCGAGTATCCCAAGCATCCAAGGCTCCGCTCCTCACAGGGATGCTCTTGGCTTTCAGTCTTTCTGGAATTTGCGCAGGGTCACACAAAAGCCCCTGTAACCCTGACAACCGAAGCTTCCTCAGCCCGTCAGGTCGGGGAAGCTGAAACGCTGCACCGGATGGTGCGCGGCTCAGTGCTATTTAGAGAGAACAGCTTGTTTGTTATCCCGAGTTTAAGCAGTTCAAGTTTTTGCTCTTTAGGAAAAACACACGTAATAAATCTTTCGTTTTAAATGTAAGACTGCGGTATACAATTTTTATTAAGTTTTTCTTCTCTCTTGATAACCTTGAGTCCACATGGGGAAGATGTCCAATTATTGGCCTGTGCACGGCACCCGCTCACCGAGCGCCAGCCGCGTTTGCAGAAGCCACAGACAGCAGCCACGCCCCCTCCACCCCAAGCTGGACCCGCAGCAAACTGTCAGGCTGCTGTACAGCGCCATCTATTGAAAAACCATCATCGCTTCTCAGCCGTTGGGCTAAGATCAAGTGTATTGAAAAAACATGAAGACTTACAGAAAAGAATGTACGTTATAACATAAAAAAATTAATAGCTCCAAAAATTTAAGACAGAAGAAAAAAGAAAAGGTTAAAGGATAAGGATTTCTAATCTTCTTGTAATTCGTGGCAAAGAGTAAATGAAGGCTGTTTAGAGATAACCAACCAAGAATTAAATACACATGTGTATTATTAAAATTATGGCAAGCAATAGAGGAGTTTAACCCTGGAAAGTGTAGAGTGGAGTGTTGGCAGGGGTACTTTTACTTTCTTCATTATATTATTTTTAATGTTCTCTCCTCCATAAATATATATGTAGTTTTAATTTGAACATTTCACCTAAAATTTCATATGATGTGTTTGAGTGTGATATTGTTATGTTACATAATTACATGCTTATGATTTTGTAATAAAAGATTTTGCAATAAAAAGGGGCGTTATTCGTGCCAGACCATATACTGATTTCATTATTAAACCCAGAACATTCGAAAAGATTACTAAAATTCTAGGATTCTAGCCACTGTTACAGCAAGTGATCTCTAGTATTATTTCAAAAATAAAGTCACAGTATCTGAATTGTTCCTTTTATAGTATACATTTCTATTTGAAACAGTACCTTCAATGCTGACTCTAATACATATAAAAATATAAGACTGTAGCTTACTAATATCAGTGCTGACACATTTAACTCTCTCACCATTGGCCAAAGAGGAATGATCACAGGACAAATGTGCAGTAATGATACTATTTTTGAAAATATATATATATATTTTTTAAGGCCACGCACTCTTAAGCCTCAAGTCATGTATGAAACTTACAATCCCCCTGCAGGGACATTCCCCTGCGGTCCTGCAGGACGACCTGGGGTGGACAGACTGCCTGAAAGAACCTGGTCAGCCAGTGTCTGGTTCCACCTCCAAGGCCCGAGTGTGCTTACAGCCTCACCTGCCATTCGGTACTAAAGCTCCTTCTGCCTGGAAATGAGGGTATTGAATGATTTTTAAAAAATAGGCAGGTAGGTAGGTAGACAGACAGACAGAAGCCACGACTCATCCACTGCTCAGGGCCAGCATTTCACGTTTCCGCCATCAGCACTGCCCTCTTGCCCTCTGTCCTCTCCCCGCTCCGGCCCCGCCCTTCCCTGGTGCCTCGGTGGAGTCCCAGCTCCTGCTTGCAGCGCGTGCCAAGCGCCCTCTACCTTAGGGAGTGTCCTCTCTACTCTGCACTCAGAAAATGCAAACAGAGAGCAGGCTTCCTTCTCTCTGTCTGGTAATAAATAGCTGAAATCTAAAGGGCTGCGATGGCTTTCGGCAGCAGCTCTTGGAATCAACAATCGAATCCCCCTCGCTCATTATAATTTATCTGTTGGGCCAAATATCTGTAGAAACAGTGCTGAATGAACACATCTAAGTAATTGGTTTTGTTTTCTGTGTTTTGCCAAAGGACGAGGGCCTGTCTCTTACCTGATATATTGATTCTCGGCCAGAAATTTGTTTGACTAAAAATTTGGCGTCCTCTTGACTTTTGACGTAGCCTTTGGTGATGCTATACATCAGGCTGAGGCGCTTTTTGATCTGCACATCCGCAATATTTATCAGTAGTGGTATTATTATCTGCAATAATGGATAGGGGAAAACGCCTGAACATGGGGCGAGGGAAGCACCATTTAAGGCAGAGCTCACGAAGTGCCGTCCCCGGACCAAGCACGGCGTCCGTCGCCCCGAGGCTCAGTAGAAACACGGGTCCTTGGGCCCCACTCCACGCCAGCGGCACCAGGAGTTCCGGGAGTGGGGCCCAGGAATCGGTGTGGCAACAAGCCCTTCAGGTGACTCTGTGCACACTCAGATTTGAGAGCCACTCAAAAGAAACAAAAGCTCGTGAATGACTTGTTCTGTAGCTGTGATGGGGACCTTCCCCCCATTTTCCATACCCCCAGATTTCACAAGACAAGAGAGGTGGTCCTGTAGCCTGGGTAACAGTCACCAACCACAGAAATCATCTCTGCAGCTCAGCGTCTTCACTTATAAGACAGGCACTTAAGGTATGAATGATGCTTCTTAGCACTTAGCTTCTTGAATCACAAGCTGAGGCCGGAGAGGGTGGTGACTGAGGAGACTGGGCTTTTAAATACACACCTTCCTGGATTCAAACGGTCTCTGTGGCCTTGAGCCAGTTACGTGGTGAGTTTGGGGACCCAGAGTCCTCCTCTGTACAATGAGGATAACAATACCTAAGTACCAGAATTCCGGTGGAGCAGGGCAGCTGGCCACAGAGACAGAGTTACCAGGGCCAAGCAGCCTCAGGGCAGCTGGTGGGGAACCAGGTCACAGAGGAGGGAGACGGGAACAGAAAAAGAACGTCACAGCGCAGGACTCACAGGGGCCGAGAAGGGAGGGATGTTTTTAGCTGCTGTTTTGGTTGTGAAACTTTGAGCAGAGGAGGAGACCTGAAAGGCGATTTTTACAAGCTTTATTCTGCGATGCCCTGATAACCCCTGAGCTATAACTGAGAGGATCCAAATTTTTAAAATCTCCATATTTTTGCAAGCTCTCCAATACAGATGTGTTTCTTTGGAAAGTACCTAACTTGATACAGTGGTGACATCCACTTCATAAGGCTACTGTAATAATTTAATTAGATAGCGTGCTATGTTCCTGGGACACAGTAAGTACTCAATAAAATAAGCTAATCACAAGGATAGTAATTACATTAACTCCTTACATATGCTTCACTGACATTTGCCGGAATGTGCCGGACAGAAGTGGCAAGGGGTTCACCCTCTAAAAACATGTCTGCCTTTTGCTATCAGAGTTTACAGCAACTTTTTAAAAATATTGATCTTCTATAACTTTAATACATACTAATAGGTTTAGTTGATGTAATAAAAATTGAATGACTCCAAAAAAAAAATTGGAGTGGCAAGAGAAATCATCTAAAGCTCCCACAGTGAAAGCGTATGTAAGGCAACGCCATTGGAAAGAGAGGAGAGGCTTAAGAGAAGAAACCAACAATCTGAAAATCTACCCTCAGAGTGTGAACCAGAGCCATAGAAAGAAGGAATAGTCATTTCTGAGGAGTTTGAAGGCCACGGTAAAATTAAATTCCACCGGGATTACGCTGTGTGAGTGCAGACTGCAGAGAAGTTGTTTTTTAATCCTCACCCGAGGATATGTTCATTGATATTTTAGAGAGAGGAAGGGAGTGAGAGAGAGAAACATCGGTTGGCTGCCTCCTGTACATGCCCCAACTGGGGACTGAACCCACAACCCAGGCATATGTCCTGATGGGGAACCAAACCCACAAACTTTTTGGTGTATGGGACGATGCTCCAACCAACTGAGCCAACCAGCCAGGGCAAGAAAATATTCTTATGTTTCTGCACAGTTAAGGCTTTATGAGCAAATTTTACTAAAACTTGTGGAGAATTTGTTTCCAGTTCCACCCTGCTTCCAATGGAATCAAAATTTTTATTCATTCACTCAACCAATCTGTATGAAGTGCTTACGGCATGTTAGTCTTCATCCTAGAGCTGTAGGGTGATACCAATGACAAAAACAAAGATTGTTGCCCGACAGAAGGCACACTGAACACGCAGGGAAAAGGTGGTACTGTCGTGGGGGAAGGGCAAACTTAGGCAGGTGCAGAGGGGTCAGGGAGATGGGGCGGGAAGCCGGGCGTCTAGAGGGCAGGTGCCGTCCTCCCTGGGTGTCAGGGACTGGGAGACGGAGAGATCTGAGTCACGACCTGAACCAGGTGAGACAGGGAGCCAGGCAGACCCCCGCCGAAAGCGTGTTCCGGGGGAGGAGACGGCGCCTTCCCGCATTCATTTCAAAACAGCGAGGTTTCTCAGCACCTTTCACAAACACCGCACAGAAAAGACCCCGCATTGTAAAATGTGAAGATTTACCTTGATGAGGGGAATAAATCTAATTATTCTTAAATAGCCGATTACGACTGTAATCTGAATAAGAACCACGTCGTCTGGTCTCAATTTGACGAAGTATATACAAAGGATATCAACAATTCCAAGGAGCAAGATAAAAAATTCCAGAGTGTTCCAGTGTTGGTGAAAATATTTCCTTTTCAAAATTATTATCTGTTTAGAAAACAAATAGAACATATGTCATTTCATAGTGTCTATACAGTCATGTGGGTGGGGGGTGGGGGGAGAGTCTTAGAAATTAACAGTCACATCCTTGACTACAAATGAGTTATATTCCAATAGTAGGGTTTTAAGTTATTCATGTGGGTTTCCAAAAAAATTATTTTTAATTTCCAATATAAAAAATCGTAATTTAATTCAAAATATATAATAATCTGAAATGACAAAAACAAGCCATGAAAAATAGCAGTACACAGATTCATTGCAATACTATTAATAATACTTAAAAACAGTAATTCTGATGATAGATCTTTGAAGTAAAAGATGATGATGAGAACCTAGTAAACCAGTTTGTTTGTATTTGCTTATTTACTTTTTGCATCATTACAGAGAGAAATTAAGAGAAACATCCATGTCTGTATATTCAATTCTCTTCACTTGATCTTTCAGTTTCTCACCAATTTTATGAGAGTTGCTTTATTTGACTGATGTCCAAGACTGTGACTATTATACTGATTTCATTACAAACCCAGAAAACTCAAAAGGATTACTAAAATTCTAGGATTCTATCAACAGTTACAGCAAATGGCTTCTAGTATCAAGTTATTTCAAAAATATGACAAAAATAAATTCACAGCATCTGAATTGTTCTTTTTAAAGGACACATTTCTGTTTTAAACAGTACCTTCAATGCTGACTGTAATATATATAAAAATATAAAATAGTAGTTTACTAATATTAGTGCCGACACATTTAACTCTCTCACTATTGGCCATAGATGAATTATCATAGGGTAAATGTATATTAATGATATAATATGTCCTGCATATTCAAATTCTTCTGAAAATACAATGTGATATGCAAGTCTCCGAAATTTATTTTTCCTGTGAAGAGAGATCAAATAAAATGTCAGATCACTTTAAAAGTACAACAAAATGTGAAGTTCAACATTTGTTTAAACAAATCATTAATAGTAACTTAAAGAAAGTGTAAGTAATTTAAAGCAATAAATAAGTAAACATCTAAAATATACCTTCTATACATAGAAGTTATAATGGAGAAATTAAAAAATTTTTCTTAATCTATATCAGGGATAGGGAGCATTTTTTAAAACAGCTAATAATACATGGGAAACAATACAAAGATTCATACACTGAAAGCAAAAAAAAATTTAGAGAAAAACATTAGCAATGTTTAAAATGAAAAACAAGGGAAAATATTCTACTTAATAATTACCATTATGTATTCAAAAATGGTCTTCCATTCATCTAAAGTGGAGCCTAACAAAAAGAAGTTAACTGTGTGCATGTCAAGACCCTAGGGCTTTAATTTTTTATATTTCCCTTTAAACTGAATAAATGGAAGAAAGTAAAACTTATCAAAATTTGTTTTGAAAGGTGTGTTAACACCCCCTGAAAAATTCAGTGGTGCCAGTGCTCCTGGTAACTTCCGGTTTTGACATATTCTATTAGTCGAAAAACCTTGCCTTCCTGCTCTAAAAAGTACACAAGTTCACAGCTTATATAACAAAGCAAAGACTCTGCCCCACTTGGGTAACTTCTGTATCTTGCGACATTGGGGAGGGTTGCGGACAGGGGCGCTGCTTTTCCTAATCTCGGGCACCCACAGCGCCGCCAGGTGGCGCCCGCGGAGCCGGGTGGGGAGCTGACGCCCAGTGTTCCGACGCTTCCCGCCCCCGCTCAGGGTTACACGCAGAACACCGGAAGCCCACGGAAGGAGCTCGGAGGCCTATGACCCTAAGACAGGCAAATGGAACTGGAAGAACCCAAATACGACCACCCTCTGCTGCTTCCTGCCCACCCTCCCATAGGGGGGTCATGGAGCCCTGGCGGGGCAGCTCCGTCGGGTAGCGTCGCCCCTATACGTTGCAGGGCGCATACAAGAATCGACCAATGAATGCATAAATAAATGCAACAATAAATTTCTCTTAATATCTTTCTCTCTCCCCCCCCCCATAATCAGTAAATAAAAATGAAAAAGAAGTCAATGAAGCTGCTGAAGCAGAATAGTGAAAGAGAAGCAAGCACTGTGCTCAGTCACCTCTCAGTCAGTAACAGTCGATCATAATGTAAGTTTGTTTTTTTAACAAGAAAAGTCAAGGTAATGTATTCTAACAATATAGGAAGGTCATATTTTCAAGTATATTGCTATTACAGGTTCACAATACTTACCCATATGGAATAAAGCATGTCTTATCTTTATGATATTCCAAGACAGTTAAAATGTTTTTAAACTTCATAAGCCAACTTCTAGCTTTTATATAAGCTGAAACATCTTGAATACTCATGAATCTAACAGAAAAATATACACGTATGTTAGTTTTAATAAAGAGCAAGTGCTAGCCTTTGGGGTTACCGTAAAAAGGAAAGCTGTACTAAATGTAAGTGTAATGTGGGCATGTTAAGCGCGCTGAGTGCTGAGCTTCTGTGGCCTCCCACTCACAGTCACGGCCCGGGAACGTTGCCAGCGTCAGGCTCCGTCTCCCAGGTAGATTACCGGACTGCTGGACTGTGAGCTCTCACCCAGACGGGATCCCCTATCACTGTCGTCTTGGACCACCCATTAGCCAATGTTTGCCAGGCCTGTGACCAGATACCAATGCATCTCTTAGGTGCAGAGGCTTTGCCACCAGGTGTGACTGCGTCTATCAGCATCCTTGGCGGGGTCAATTCCTCCAGATGCTGCTCACCTCGGGGAGCAGTCTAACGGTGACCTCCAGGCTCCCCAACTCCCGCATCCAGTAACTTAGTGGAGAGGACAGACAGACAAAGTAATCGTGTAATGAACCATCTGGGTTTCCTTTCCTGACTTTCCTAATCTCTAATCTAATTACATTGTAGTCAGATCTTCCTCCGTAATCTCCTAATGTCACCAACTTTCCGGGGGGGAAGAAAAATTGCAACCAGGTAAAATAGAACGTAGATACATGGATGGATGGATGGATGGACGACCCAGTAAGTGAAGACAGATGAGAAAAGAGACTGATCAGTCTGGACACTTAATTCTCAGTTCATTCATTCCTTATCACACACCCAATTCAACTTTGGAAAGACTGATTAAATAAGCACTATACTTACTTTCCTTGGGTGGTGCAATAGCTTTTGGTTGCACCGATTAATATCCGGGCTGCTTTTACATCAAGGATTCCATCTTGACACTGTTTTTCAAAACTGCTCTAAACATACAATTTTAAATACAAATTACAAAGGACTGAAACATAAATGCAGTGAACTCTGTTTGACTTCACAGAGCCCTCACTATTCTTACTGAACTCATTACATGATAAGAGTCCTTTATCAGAAAATTGGTATAGCGGGAAATACATTTTATTCGGTTTGAATATACAGAATATTCCTTTTTTTTTGCAAAGTACCGTCCCAGGTGTTTTAAAAGATACAAAGGTTCCTAGCCCCAGGAAACTCAAAATCTGTACTGCTCAAAGAGTTTACTTCAGTAATAGAAATAACCTCAGCAGCTTCGTCTTTCTACGGTAGAATAGATGATGCAAATTATTAATTCAAAGGGTAACTAGTCACCTCAGCTTCCCCAAGAACTACCAAGAGATAAAAGTAAACTGTCCTTTTTGTGTAACTTTTTCCCAGACGTACTGAGATACAGTTGGCATATAACGTTGTGTAAGTTTTAGGTGTACAGCATGACGACTTGATACAAGTAGGTATTACAAAATAGTTACCACCATAAGGTTAGAACACATTTATCACCTCACAGTTACCATTTTTTGTGTGCAGTGAGAATATTTAAGATCCGCTCTTTTAGCAATTTTGAAGTATATAATATAGTATTGTTAACTGTAGTCCCCATACTATACATTAGACTCCCTGGAATTTATTCATTTTATAATTGAAAGTTTTCACTGTGACCGATATCTTCCCGTTGTAGTGACCTTCTTTGTCTCTTGTGACCAATTCTGACTTAAAGTCTCTTCTGTCTGATGTAAGCACAGCCACTCCCGCTCCCTTTTGGTTACCCCTGCTCGAATTATCTTTTTCCGATCCTTCACTTTCAGCCTGTGTGTGTCCTTGGAGCTTAAGTGTGTTTCTTGCAGGCAGAACACAGCTGGACCTTTTGTTTTTAATCCATTCAGCCACTCTGTCTTTTGATTGGAGGATTTAGTCATTTACATGTAAGGTAATTATTGATTGATAATTATGAGAATTGTTTTCATTTTGTTAATTGGGTCTTTTTTTAGTTCCTTTGTTCCCTTTGTCTTGTCTTGCTGTCTCCCTTTGTTATTTATTTTTTGTAGTGGTTTCCTTTAATTCCCTTCCTTTATCTTACATATAATACCTTACAGGCATGAGTAGGCTATATTCTCATATCACTCCCCACCCAGAAAAAAATATCGGGAGAAAAGTCATACCTTTTAGTTACCATGGAAATTAAACTTGGAGGTTCAAGTTACCTCCTGGGACTACTTCCTTCCTCACTAAACCTCCCCACATGCTGAGCACACTCTCTTGCTTTATAAGTGTACCCATTGCTCTACGCGTTGTTCATAATGTGCTCATTGCGCAAGCTGCAAATCTTCCCTAGGCCCAGGCTCCAGGAAATGACCTTTCCCACATTCTGTTGGTCAAAGCAAGCGATAAGATCGGCCTACATTCCATGGGGGGAGGATGTGACTCCACTGCTCTGGATGAGGGCCTTTCAAACTCCAAGAAGGATGTACTCATTCATTGCAATGTGCGAACTTTACTGGAATCCAATTTAAAAATATAAACTATGAAAATGCACATTGATCCCATTTATGAGACATTTGGGAATTCAATCAGTGACTTGATACTTGATGTGATTGAGGAATTATTATTATTTTTAGCTGCAATACATTAGTGTTTTATGACAGTTTTTAAAATATATTAAAATTTAGAGATACAGGTACGTACTAATATCTGCAGAGGAAATGACGTGATAGCAAAATAATAGGGAAGGTGGGGGAGTGAATGCGGGTGCGGATGGGGCAGGGCTGGTCACGGGTGTATGGTTGGTAAAAGATAGGTGCCCGGGGTTCACTGTACCTCTATACCAACTTCTGCGTATGTTAGAGATTTTTCATAATTATGTCTGAAAACAAAAGTGAAAAAGAAGACTGGAGATAGTATTTTATGTACTTACAATATTGAGTACAATTTATTTTATTAGAATATAATCCAAATTTAATATGTGCAATTGATAAATTGATTTAACTTGATTTTACCTTATAACCTCTCTGTATTTATAACATTGGAATATTAAATCTGAAATGTTTTAAGAGAATTTTTGATTCACTAGATTTATTTTAACTTATTAGGTTTATAAGCTAAATGACTACTTGAGAGAATTTTGGATAGAAGGAACTCAAATATGTTAAGTTTATAAAAAGTCTCAAATATTTGAGGGTATTTACTTTACTAAATATGTAAATGGTACCAAGCATTATTCAAAGGCCCCCAAAAAGGGAACTACTAAAATCTGCTAGACTTAGAAATAGAATAATAAGATTTGTTACTTGAACTTTAAAGCCTGAGATTTTTCATTTTTATTCTGTAACTTTCACAAACCAAACATAAATTTAAGAACCAACAGACTATCAAAAAGTGAAAAAACATTTTTCTAGTCACCTGTAAACTGTATGTAAGAATCAAAAGCATTACAGGAATAAAAACAAAGTTAAAAGCAGATTATGTGAACAGTACCAACCATTTGTATTATAGCCACATGTAATCTGGCTTCTTCTATTAAAACTTCATCTGTAGGGGACTCCTGCTCCGTTTCGTGGTGAAACTGGACAGCATTAGACTAAGTTGGAAAAGCATAGAGAGATAAAGTTAAAAAGAAGTAAAAATTACTAGGCATTCAACAAAGATTTCAATACTCAAATCAAAAATCACAAAAATGAAGGGCCGTGTATAAGTAGATAACCTTCTCCAATAAGAAATATTGCTTCCAATTGTGGCAAAGTAACTACGATTCATTTGGGGAGATTTAGAAGTGAAATTCTTCCCCAAAACTGCCTGTGCTTGACTGCTCTCTGAAGCAGCCTGTTTTATCTGCTTTTTATAAGACTTACCTGCAGAGAGATCTCTCAGTTACTGAGTCGGTTGCAAGCATCAGCTTGCTGAGTTCATTCACCGTTACTCACCCAGCCAGTTGGTAAAAACACTAATTCTCCTGTTTTTGGCAAATATGTTAGATCACCAGGCTTTCTCTTTAAAAATAGAATTCAAAGAAGTCTTTTTGCCAATATAGTAAAGCTAGTAAATACATTCACCACCATCCCCTCCCCAAGTTTTCTGGCATTTAATTAGCAGAATCAAGTGTTTTATAATAAACTAAAGCAAGAGAGGTAGACCCAGGGAGGGGAAGAAGGACTCTTTTGTGGGGGGTGGGGGGGTGGGGGGGAGGTAACAACTCACAGGAATGCTGTATTTAATCCTCGTTTTTTCTTCTACTAAGGTCCAGTTAACATTTGTCAAAATTTTCTCTGTTTTAAATAAAGTTATTGTGTTCTGTATTATCTCCTGTATGTGGTTAATGGCATTTTGCATGGCCATTTGTCTTGGCAGAGAAATAACACACATTCCTGTAACAGAGAAAGGCAAGAGCCTTAACAGAACACACTGAAAGCTGCAACAGGAAGCAAGGACGTCGCCTGACATAGTGAAACCTTGGCATCACCTGCATAACTGAGGGCAAAGACAACGTTTTGCCCAGAAATTTCCAGAAAATTACTTAACTTTCTGTTTCCTTTTGGCTGTATGATTTAACTTTATCTGACTCAACTGCTAAAGAATGTTTGATTAGCTTCCTTTCATTCCCTGCAGCTGGAGACATGATTCGCCACTTCAAGACGCCCAACAGGTATTTCCCAAAGTGCGGAGAACTCCCTGCGTCTTCTACAGGTAGAAGGGCTGCTTATTAAACTATGCAAATTCCTGAGCTCCATTCCATACCTGGAGAAGCAGGCTGAGAATGTGCATTTTGACAAGTCTCCAACTGATTCTTCTATGTAATAAAATTTAAAGGCCACTGCAATAGAGATCTCTCAAATTTAACATCCCCGTAGTGAGTGACCTTAGCCTATTCATGCGAAGGTCCATCCCAGTAAAACTGTTCTTTATTCCTAACTGCATTTGGTTTCTCAATGTTTCAGTTCAACTTTACCGCCTTCAGTGTGGGCACTGCGTGCCACAGTAGTGTTTCAGATTCTGGAGGTTCAAAAAGGTCTGGAGGTCTATCCCTCTCAGTTCTCTATGGTCTGGAGCAGAGATGCATCTGACTCATTAGAAGGTGTGAGCTTTGGACGCAAACCCCACCCCCACCCCGGCTGAGACCACACAGGGCAAGTTTACTCCTGTGCCCTGTTACATCCCACCCACGCCCACGGCCCAGCGGCCCCACTCCGGCTGCTCTGGGGAAACGTATATCGTATATCGTGGGCCCCTTGGTGGCAACAGTAAGTAGGAATGAACTCCCTGTTGAAGTTGATCCTGGAAGAGTATGGAGAGGGATCTTTTAAAAGCATTAGACCAGATGGAAAGCAGATTTGAAACTCTAACCAAAAAAAAACCCAAACAAACAAACCAACTCACTCAATTCTTTCAATCATTCGTTAAAACACAGTGCCGCATAGTATTTCTAGAAAGGATGAGCATTGATTCTGAGAAGATAAAGTACTTGCCATATATTTTCATTTTGTAATAAAAATTCTGAGGTTTAGTTCATAAAAATTGTATAACAGAAGGGGAAAAAAAAAAACAGTCCCATGACAGTATAAACCCTGTTGATCTTGCCTTTGAGCACCCTAGGTAGGGGACTCGCAGGAAAGGGAGCTGGGAGAAACCCAGGTGCTACATCCCACGCAAAGAGAGCAGAAGAGATCTGGATCCCTGGACGTCAGAGAGATTGGTGGGAAGGGAGCTGCCGCCAGCCCTGGGGCGGGGTCGGTGTGGGGGGCACATCGAGTGTGCTCGTGCTCCAGGGCAGGCTCCTGCCGACCCCCGCACACTTGGCCCCACTGCAAGCAGGAACCAACCCGTCGCTGGAGACCTCGACCGTTTACTAGCCCTCGCGCATAGCGGCGCCCTTGGCTGTGAGGCTGGCGGTCACAGGAGGTTCTGCGACGGTGACTGTGGGCACGGCTTCAGGAGGGGGCGGGGCTCGCCCATAAAGACACACGCAGAGGGGTGAGGGCAGGAGTCACCAGACTGACTCTCTGTTCAGAAGAACTCGCCTTCACCATCCTCCCATTCCATGCTCTCTGAGAAAGCTTCCGATGGCCAACTTGGTTTGCCAAGGAAATTGGTGTTGAAAGGTGAATACCCGGAATAATGATCACAAGTATTTAAGAGAGAGAAAAGAAATCATCCTCATTGTAGATCAATGAGCTGGTTATCTGCTTTATCCGTATTCTCCTGGAGCAGTCTGATCGATTCTAGAAACCCTGACAGAGTCGGTTCTCTGCACCAGCAAGCTGAGGGGAGCAGCACAGGCTATCGGACAACGCTAAGGCCCGACACGCAAACTGGGTGTCACCTTACCTGCTCTCTCCCTCCTGCCTTGACCCCAGTGCCCCCAGTTATCTTCTCCTGGATGCTATTGTATTTATGCGTTTGGTTGTCGACAGCCTCGGGTTGCTTCTAGAAATAGGCAACTGCGGCAGAGCCTATGACTGTGAATGCTGATTGTATTCTCCCCTTCTTTCTTTCCCAATAGAATCTCCGAGTTTGGGCTGAGCACTTGGCCAGCCAAGTGAAGATAATATTTCCCAGCTTTCCCTGCCCACGTGACTAAGTTCTGGCCAATGGGATGAGTGGTAAAGATATGCAGAACTTCTGGATTATACCCTTAAAAGGAAGCTGCTTACCCTCCATTGCCCCCCTCCCCCATTTTCCTTTTCCAGTTGGTTGGGTTGAAGATGTAGAGGGAATGAGCCAGCCATTTCCCTGCACACAATGGCAGCCCAGGAAGCAGAGACAAGACAAGAATGAAAAACCCTGGATCTCTGGACAACTTCGTGGGCAGAACCAGCCCATTCTTCTGGACATTTTGGTGGAAGGAGGGGGGAAAAAAAACCCTTTATCTTGTTTAAGCCACTGTTAATGTGCTATCTCTTAAACTCGATGAACCAATATTTCAATTAATACAGAATCTATTAATAACAAGTGAAAGAAAATACAGGATTTCATAACCAATTCCTTGAGCTCCCTAAAAAATGTCACTACAACCCCCAACAACAATCTATTTACATTATTCTCCCCAATTAATTAATGAAAGATGGATATACGTTACCTAATTTCCTGGCTAAATAAGTCATCATGCTTGAGTTTATTCCCATAGTCATTAACGATATTAGTTGTACATACAATACAAACTAAAAAACAGAACACACAAATAGAACCAAAACATTAATAAGTTCTCCAAAGGAAATCATTGTTCAATTACCCAAAAACAGAATTCTATCTTAATTCACATTTTTAGGTCTTGCCTCTGATAAGTACATCAAGGCAAAGGGTTGTTTTGTGAGCACTGCTTGAATGTAGTATAGGGGAGAAATTAGTTTTCAAACTGAGAAAACAATAGATTTTGTCATTCCTGGGAGAGATGAGAACACTGAGGGCAGCTGCCACGCAAAGCCAGCAACATGGGAACCATCAAAGACAGGGTGGGGGAGGGACCCTGGAAACAGCAGGCAGTGGGGGCCAGGGCGGGCCAGGGCGGTGTGCCTGTCAGGAGCATCTCCCACGAAGGGACAGGAGACGTGCCCCGAAGCAGGAGCAGCCGCACTGCAGCTCTTGGCTCTGCTATTGGTTATCCATGTGACCTGGGGCCAGTCCATTACTCCAAGCCCCGGTGTCCGTCACTGAAAAATGGAGTTGATAGTAACGTGTCCTTCGGGGAGCATTTTCCCAAGCTTGAGTGACAACAACAGAGCATCGGGCGTGCTTTCAAACTTCTAAAGAATCTTTCCTCCCTTCGTATATATTTAACTAGCATTTTGGGATTTGCCTTCATGGCTGTCGGGACTGGGGTGCTCTAGACAGGGTACTGGTTCTGCTCTCTGACACTATTAAACAATAGCATTTCTATGCGCAACGACATCTATTGGGCATTGACTGCGTGTCAGGCATTATACTCAGCATCCCCTCGATCGTCAACTGGAAACTGAGGGTCAACAAGCGTCGGCCTCTTGCCCATGGCCACTCTGTCTGCGAATGGTGGCATGAGGATTTGATCCCAGGTCTGCCTGCCTCCCGTGTCTGTACCCTCCGCTTGACTGCTGGTCCCTGTCACATTGTGAACAGCGGCATCTTTCCTCGGCAAGTTCCTTTCTACTCGAAAGAACGCATTTTTCGAATCTAGTTTTATCATTGGGTACCATGACAAGTGCTACAAAGTAAGTACAAACAAATAAATAGGAATGACCATGAGACATGATTTTTCCTACCATTTGTGGCGACTGTATTTTCTTTTCAGCCACATTATAAATTTCAGGAGCCAAGAGCAAGTTAAAAACGCCTCTAATTCCAGACCATGCTATCACAACTCCCCACTTCCAGTTATATTTGTAACTCGAGTGCTTCAGAATAGGGCTCACTAACACAACAGTAAACAATCTGTGGAGAGAAAAATATTGTTTTTAAATCACACTTTATGTATTAATGCTATTCGCGGTTGAAACCGTGTACAAAATACTAAATTTCACATAAAATTTTTCAGGAAAGGAAATACAATCGAGTTTATTGACAAGTTGTTCAAAAACCTTCTGGAAGTAACCAAATCTACTCTCTTGCACATATTCTTGAAAAATAATGCTAGAAGTTCCATAAAATTGTCAGGAATCATCATTTACACTAGTGTGTACCATTTCGAATTTGGTAGTGAATTTGCTTAGGGAAACTCTTTCAAATCACATCGCCAAACTCACCTGCCCCCTGAGAAGCCAGGCGTCTTTCAGACATCAGCCTGGAGGGCACTCAGGTCATGCTCCAAAAGTAAAACACTGGCAGTCACAGCAATAAACTTAGCTCAGCCATTTTCCTTGCATTCCCACCACAGCCATACACGCAACACGAAACACGACATACAGCACTTCAATGTGCACCTTGTTCCCGACACATCATTTTTTTTTTTTTTTGCGGGTCCCTGGGGTGACATTTAGAATCTTTAGGGAATCTGCACCAAAAGACTATCAGACCTGTCCTTCCAAGATTTCAGTAGAAGTAAAACTGACATGTTCTCAGCCTCAGAAAATATATTGCGCATCGGTTCCTAAGCTGATATTGTCTCTACGTTGTCGTGAGAGAGTTCTTGTCACTGCTAAACAGAAAATCGACGGTCGCCCTCTCTAAGGGGTACAGTTCATTTGTACAAATCCCTCTGCCTTGCGTTTAAGCCTTTTGCGAAGTAATGCTTACCAACCTGCCCAGCCTTACGAAATCACCTCTCTGTAAAACACCAGCGAGGACAGCCACTACAGGACTTGCGTTGCTTCCCGGCAACAGGCACGGGGAGGCGGTGCAGCAAAGGCTCTGGAGTACTGCCTGGGTTCAAATGCAAGCTTCTTTCACTAACTCTGGACACCTAAGCACATCAGTTACCCTCTCTAAGCCTTGATTTCTTCTTCTGCAAAACGGAGATGGTGATGATAATTGTGCTTGCCTCAGAGGACTATTACGGAGGTTCAATTAAAGGGGGCAACATTCCTAGTGCTTAAAATGACATTTTGAGCGTGCTCTGCGCTCAGTACCTTAGCAATAGTTATGTCCAGGCCTCAGTTTGACTCTCCCTCTCTGGAATGTTCTTCACAACAAGTATGTCTCATGGAAAGCCCAGCCATACCCTGAGGGCCCCTTGGGATGACTCTCCATTAAAGCCTGTCTCCTAGCGAGGGGGAACTGTACGTTCACATGGAACTCACTAGCCTTTGACCTTGGACAAGGTACTTTGCCTTTCCTGACCAGTTTCTTCAACTATAAAATAGAGCGAATAATTCTTATCTGCTAATGCTGGGAGGAAGATGAAATGAGGCCATGGACTTGTAGCTAGTCAGACAGTACACAAAACGTAACGTCTTTCCTCAGCTCCCTTTCCTCAGCTCTCTCAGCGTGCAACGAGCTCCCACGGTGGAGAGAAATGTATGCTCACGCGTCGGCCTCCTGTGGGAGAGGAACCCTCTGAGTGGCAGGCAGCACCTGCAGAGTCAGCAGAAGCCACGTGCCATGAGAATATTTTATAAAGTGGGCCCCTCGGCCAGGCCTCTCCTGAATGGCGATAACAACGTTCAAAGGCACTGTCATAAATTCCTGTGGTAGACACAACTACCGCCAGTGGGCCATGTATCTGAGGAAAAGCGTGCTTGTAGGGGTCAAGTTTACATCCTAACTCTGCCCCTGTAAGTTGGGGGATTCTAAGCAAGTTTTTAACCTCTCTCTGTGTCATCTGTGCAATGATGAAATAACACCCGCCTCATAGGATTGTATATTAATATTAGCGGTGTCGGGTACATGGTAGCTGCTTGATAAACAGCCTCATCATAGCTGTGATGATAAGAAATGATGATGAAAGTTAACAAAGTCTACAAAAATGTCCGAAGCCATTACTCAGGCCCAGTGATGCCCAAACTTTCACAAGCGTGTTGACACTGCCCCCCGAATCTCACCTCCAGAGTCAGCTTGGTAAGTTGGGATGGGCCCGTGAATGTGCATTTCTAGCAAGCTCATGGGTTAGGCTGATGCTGCTGTTCTGCGCCTTCTCATGGTACAGATGAAGCCTCGAAGAGTAAATGCACGCGCACAGCCCTTGTGGCGCAGCAAGCTATCGCCAGGACCTTGGCGACGACATGGGTCTCCTGACCGCACGGCCAGGACCCCTTCTTGCAGTGACCTGCTGCTTCCCAGCTGTACTTATGGGTTTGGGAACCTAGGACCAGTAAGCAAACTTTAAAATAAAATACATACCTTACAAAATTCAGCGTTATAAATAAGATCAACGTGAAAGTTACAATGTGAACACTAAAATAGTTGAGTTTTCCGCATCCAATTATAATGCCAAAGAACGTGTATACCAAGTGTTGGAATACAGATGTAAACATGGTGAGGAACCTAGAATGAATGGAAAGGAAATCACATTTTCGGCAATGTATTTTTAAAATAGCTTCCTTTTCACATAAAAGCCTGCATTGCCCAACTGCCATTCTTGTCTTAGCAGAAGTCTTTGCCTCTGTCCCTGTAACAGGCGGCACTGAAAAGTTCGTGGGAACCCAGCTCCCTATTCCCCAACGCCCTGGTCTTTGAGTAGGGTGCCTCGCCCCCCACCCCCAGGCCGGGGATGTGGCAGGTTTGCCGAGATTAGCTGGCAGCGTAACAACCGTGGGCCTGCTGCAGCCAAACCTGGGTCACCTTGACTTCGAGGGAGCTCACGGGATCACCGCGGTGTCCCCTGCAGGGCTCCTCCCTTGGTGAGCTGCACGAAAGTCCCTTACCTTGAAAGCCTCTCCTGCCTGCTTTTCCACCGACCGATTTCCTAAACATCCCGCAAGGCCAGCCCTGCTTCTGTGCTCATCACAAAGCCATCCTGAGCCCTGTCTCTGGAGACTGCCGTGCTCCAAAAGCCTGCAGTGCTGTTTTCTACCCCATTCACATGCAGAGAAGAGCATTAAGCGTCGCCCAGGTTACTTTCCGGAAATCTACGGGCCAGCCCCGCCCTCAGAGGTTCTCCCGGAGCAGACCAGGCACAGCGGGCAGGCCGTGGAACTGTGCAGCTCTGTGGAGGACACCCCTGCGCCGGGGCCACGCTAACCTCTACAGGGAGATCCCAATCCCATCTCCTCTTGGACCCGCTGCTGGGACCTTCCCCTTCAGCTGACTGGGTGTGTCTGTCCCACAAACCAGTGTCCCTGGAGGCGAGGCCCCAACATCGACACTTGGAAAGAAGCACTAGGAAGCCTCCTTGTAGCTGCAGGTATAAACCACGTTCTGACTCTCAGTCTGAATCCAATCTTTTGATTCAATTGATTCCGAACTCCCAGAAGGGAAGGGTATGAGTGGGACCTCATATCCCAATGCTTAGTTTTCTGAAAATTTGGCAATGATGGAATAACCGCCTGAGTAGAATACTTTTAAAAATGCCTCTACAGGACCTTAAAGATATCCCTTACATATAGTAGGATCCTGATACACATATAATTATTTGCACTTGTTAGTTTCTTACATAAGCATGTGCACTGCTAAACAACAAGTGCCTCCTCAGAAGGGAGTTATTTTCAGAGCCCGAACCTGAGTAAGATACAAGGGCCAGGCCACAGTGGACATTAAACAAGGACTGGTTGAACAGGTGAAAGAATGAGCAACCGGGTCAAGAGAATGAGTAATTTATGACGACGCTGAGAGACAGCGCAACTAAGCTCAGGAAACTGCACAACTTCAGACCAAAAAGTCTATGTTCTATGAATTAGTTATTCCCAAGCTTCTGGATTTTAATAACCAATAAAGTGTTATTTATATATACCCCAAATTAGTATAGTTATAGGTACCCATTTTTTAAAACTTTGCCAAGTACAGCTATAAAAAAAAAAAAGTACCATCTTCTATCGCTGGAATTTCGTAAAAGAAAGAACATCTTAAATACCCAAAAAGAAGGAAGGTCATAATTTCAGAACAATGGATAGTCTTTTACACTGAAGAAATGAATCTTCATGGGAAAACTCAGGGTTATGGCTTATTTTTCTCCTTTTAACATTTGCTTTGATAGGATGTGAGACTTTCTACACTAGACTATGACTTGGTGTAAAATGATTCCAAAACAGTTCTGCAGTTCAGCAGTCTCAGAGAAAGGCTAACTGATCTGTCTGACTAGACAGGCAAACCGTTTGCCCTCTGACCAGATTCCCTACGGCACTCCGCATTACCAGGTATAAGGTAGCTAAGAGTTTTGCTGGGGCTGAGTCTTTTTGCTGCAACTTCCCACAATCCAAAGTACATTTTTATTAAAGAGTAACGCATAAACCATGGTCTCGGATTCGGTGGCGCACCATCCAGAATGGGAGTGTTAACTAATGTCCATCACTGTTGGTACCGTCTTTGCAAATAAAACTAGTAGTGAAATTAAAAGTGAAAAAGGTATAAAAAAGTTATAGAGAGACTTTTACTAGCGTCCAGGAAGGCAGGACCAGCTAAGCGCTAAATTTCTATTAGATCTATACCAACCAAGCACAGGAGACTTACTTAGTAATTGTTAACTCCATCCTCGGTTTAAAGCTTAAGGAATCTAGATTCATTCCTACAGTGATTAAAGCAATCATACCTGATAGTTTCAAAAATTCCACTAGAGAGAAAAATAAATAAATACAATTAGTTGCATTCCCATGTGCACACTGAGGTGCTTTTTCCTTAGTGAAGGGTTGGTGGGGAACTTGAGAGGAATATTTCTGAGAAAGCTGCTTCCAAGTGTTGGCCTAATCCTGGAGCTCAGGGTCAGCAAACTTCTGCACACAATCAGATATGAAGAATTTAGTCCTGGCAGGCCCTATGGTCCCCGTGGAAACTACGCACTCAACTTGGCTATGGAAGCACATAAGCCATCCCAGGTAACATGTAAAGGAATGAGGCTCCAATATATAATGACACAGGAATTTGAATTTCAAATAATTTTCACATGCCACAACATACTTTTGAGTTTGTTTTTGTTTGTTTTTTTTAACCATTGTAAAAGGTAAAAACCATTCTTGGCTCATCAGCTGTGCAAATTTAGGACTATTTGGTCCACAAGCCATAGTTTGCCAACCCCTCCTGCAGGTGGTCGCTGAGGATCGGGCTAACAGAGGAATAAATGTGACGGCTTCTGCCCAGCACCTGGGGACGTCCCCAGGGCCATGGGCCGAGCTCAGCGACCGCAGGTCCCAAAGCCGGCAGGGCCTTTGCCTGATGTTCACTCCGTCTGGGCTCAAAACAAACGTATAAGGACAGTCTGGGGGGTGGTGTCTGGACACCACAAATACCAACAGTTCTCCGCTGCAGAGCCTTCAGAGAGAACATCATAAACCAGACAGAATTTAAACCGAATTTAATATAAGTAACAAATGGCAGTAAAACCTGTAGTGCTGGGGACTGGGATGGGGAAAATTTCTCTCAAAATCTTATTTCCAATTTCCTGTCATTAATATTACTAGATTATAAAACTCATCAGAGTCTTTTTCAATTACAGTCATTGCTTAGAGACAACACGTGCAATGAGAAAACCACTGAACAACTTTATCTCAAAACTGAAGTTGTCTTATTTAGTAGAATCCCAGTGGCAGAGGAATATTGGGCATAAATGCCGACATTACCATAGGTATGTACATTTAATATGTGTTTTTTAAAGGCGGAGGTGCAAAAATGTGTACCAAAAATGTACCAGCAGTTACATTTATTGTATAGCTTTACAGGTGATGGTTTTTCTTCTCTGCCTTCTCAGAACTTCTCCGCCACGGGAGGTGAGAGCAGAAACCGAGTCTGGCTGCGTCCCCACAGCCACCACGGCCCTCGGGGACATGCTCACTGACTGAACCGGCCAACGGCTGTTGCGGGTGTGCCAGTGCCAGGCACTCCGACTCCCGCGACTCAGTCACCCTCTGGACACAGGTGCGCCTCATTTCTCCCTCTCCTTCCCTGCACGGCCGCCCCCCACCTCGGTGAGGGCCGCCATGTCTGCAGTCCCCTGGGCATGGTGCGCGGGGAGTTAAGGACTGTTGAGCCGGAAGAGGCCTCAGGGGCCCCTCTCCAGACGCTGCCCTTTGAGAGATGGGTGGCTGAGGGTCAGAGCGGGAATCACAGGAGCTGAGTGCTCTCAGGGACTGCCAGTGACTACCTCTGAAACCCAACAGTGGGGCCCAAAAAGAGTAAGAGAGGCGCCAGGTAGCGGAAGGACGCAAAGGGAAGGGACACGGAGCTGAAATTAAGGGGATGTTAAAAGAGACCAGGGAAGAGCTGGAGGTGGCAGAGAGTTCAGGCGACGAGATGCACAGAGGGACCTCGACAAGGGGTGAGCGGCTGGGAAACAGCAACTGGATGCAAGGTCAAGGGAGCATGGAACACGGGCACGTGCGTCCGTCTCTGCCTTACCGATGTAGAAAACTAAGTACACCATTGAAATGCAAAGAATGATACTCGTCAGCGTGTTGCTGAACAGGTCAGTCAGTATAAACTCAATGATCCTTGAACACCAATATCCAATGATGATGCTTCCCAGAATGCTCAGGGAGAAGTCCATGAGTACGTGGAACTCTAAAAAAGGCAAAGGAGAAAAAACAGAGTTGAATTATAACTTGTGTTTCCTCTGTTGACGGCATTTTGATCTATGCACTTTGGTTTGCTCGCAGACGTTGGAGGGAGACCTTGATCTTCGGCTGATGGGAGTTTCCCGTGAAAGGCTGACCCAAGAGGCTCCCTGGGGATGTTCCCCTACCGTCTGCAGCCTGAGGTCTGCTTATCCAGCGACAGGCAGCTCAGATGCCTCCAGGAGCCAATCAGGGAGAATTATGGGAAAAGCCTGTGGCAAGCTGGAGCGTGACTGTCTATTCAAGTTCAATTTTTTCACAAATTATGTCAGGGCCACACAAACCTTGAACAGGATCCCCACCAACCTGTAGCCCATTTGTGACCCCTGTCTCCAGCCTGGGTGGCATTTGAAAAATGGACAAGGGAAATTTTCTATAGTCACAGTAACGTGGGATAGTAGTGAGAGTTCATGAGCAAGGTTCAGACAACGCCGAGGGTGGTCCTAAATAACAAAGATGCCCCCTTCCCAAATGCCACCGGGGAGCGCCGCAAACCCCTCTGCGCCACCACCGTGTCCCTCCTTTTAGCCCTCTCTCCTCCTACGGCTTCCACATGAACGCATCAGGAGGACGCCTTTTGCCTCTTTGGGCCGTGACTGTGCGCGCCCCCAAGCCCGCCGCGGTTCATAGCTGGAAACCTAGCGAGATGATGTGCCCCGCAGCCCAGTGACCTTGGATCACGTGCCTCCGACTGCTGGCCCTTCGAGGACCCGACGCTCCAGCGCTGCCTGAACCATTCTGCTGTCACGGGGGCCAAGCCAATGCTTCACACCCACCCAACGAAATCCAGACCGATCCAGGAAAGATGCAAATCCGAGCCAGATGAAACAATTTGTGTGTCTGCGCGTGCACCCATGTGCACACGCACATAGGTGCACGCGCATATTGAGGGACATGAAAAATTTACCATTCTTTCCCCCTTACTGTCCAAGACGTAGATGACATGTAATTATTTTCTTGTTGCCTGATATGCTATTTCGATCGCTCTAAGAGTCAAGTATAGAGAAATCAGTAAAGACATCTTGAATGTGTTTTAATTTCCGTATGGATTGAAATGCACCATGTAAGTATGATTTTAGGAAATGTAAAAAGAAAGTCCCTACCCCTATACATGAACATGTGAGGTAAGTTGCTCCGAAGAATTCCAAAAAAAATGCTTGTGATGCTGCAGATGATCATGGATTCTCCTCGAATGATATCTGTATACATCTTGGAAATGCCTGGAAAAAGAAGTAAAAATATAATTTAATATGGTAAATGAAAATATTGCTCTTGCACTGAAACACAGAAACAGAGGAGAAAGAGTATACTAGGAAAACAAAGAAGGCAGTTGTGACTGTAAGACAATTACAATCACCATTTTTCAATTTCTCCGCTGCACCTCTGTATCCCCAATGGCGAAGGACCTTGGCCTCAGCACTCCTCGCAATGTGCGCGGCCTCGAACAGTGTCTGAGCTTCAGAGTGAGACCAGGCACTTCTCAGGGCATTGCATTCAGCGCGAATAAACATGAATCGTTAGACTCCCAAAGAATCACATTTTAGAAATAAGTACAAGGTATGACCCAGCAATTCCACCCCTAGACAGACACCGAAGAGAATGGAAAATGTGTTCACACAAAAATGTGTATGTGAACGTTCACAGTAGCATTACTCATAATAACCAAAAGTGGAAACAACCTGTAGTCCATCAGCTGACAAACAGATAAACATCTGTGGCCTCTCCCCACAATGCAATTCACTCAGGCACAGAAAGGAATTAAGTTCTAACGGATACGTGTCACAGCTATGGATGCACCTTAAAAACATTACACTAAGTGCAAGAAGCCAGACATAAAAATCATGCATTATGTGGTGCGAGTTATAGGAAATGTCCAGAATAGGCAAATCTGTCTTACTAGGAAAAAGGTCATTGGATCCAGGACCCACGTACCACCTAAATATTTTTGACACTAAGAAAATATGAACTAAGAGCCAAATACCTTCACTAGTTATCTTTTCAATGAATAGACTTTCTATCCAACTCTTTTGCTGAAAACACTTTTGAATACAGAAATCACAATAAATGAAGTATATAGCTTATTGTAGCCACTTAGAGTCAAGTGATTGGAGAAAGGGGAGCAGGAAGAGAAAGAGGCAGTAGAACAAGGGGCAAATATAAGTGACCAAAAAAAAAAAAAAGACAGGTGAAGACAAGATAGGAAAAAATTGTATTTCAAAAAAAAGAGAAAGAAAAGAGGACAGAACCAGACTCACTGTGAATTTAGAATATTACCATCACAAGTGTCTTAAAACCTCCTATGTTTTCCCAACTGTAGTAATAAGTGGGTATAAACATGGCACTATCACTGGCTGGAAAGCTTGAAGGTTTCCTGCTCCAATCATAAGGCAATATATTTCCAAAACACATAACCAAGACCTGAAAATTGGTTAGGAACATATTTCTGAGTCAAAAACAGAAACCATAGCATCTAATCATTTCGTGTTTGTATTGCTGAGTGAATAAAACATGACAAAAGGAAGGTGCTTCAGAGTGAAATCATCGTTTACCAAATCAGATGAGAAGTAGTACAGCACCTCCCCTCCCCCCACACCCGCAACAAACCCTCTTGGGAATAAGCTCTCACTGAATACCACGTTTGCCGGACTGTGTTCTCACCCCACTTCCTTTCAGTAAACCTGCCACCTGCCCAAGGTTAGCTCCTTCAAACTGGAGCTCCAACGAGAGGCAGCAAGGCCTTGAAAAAGTTTCACGGCGGGGAAAGCACGGTCTCTACCTTATGGCTTAGAGTTCAGCGGAGTGGAGTATGAACGCTGCTTTTCATTGCCTTCTGGAGAGGTTACCTTTTCTTCTCGGAATAAATCCTTTGCAATTATAACGGGTCTTACGTAACCCAAATCCTGAGTGGCTTTGTTTGTGCTGCACCCTTCACGTCCACCGGGGCTCCATCTCCAGGAAAAGGAGCACACACATCTACTCTGCTGGGGGCGCGATTTGTGCCAGGCAAAAAGAACCAAACGCGAGTGATTTATTCTCCTGTCCTCACGGGGAGAGAGCAATGAACCCGACGTACCGATGGTTTTCAGTGAGTTCACAGAGTGGATGGGGTCTGTGATGCCGATGGCCATGCTGAAGAGCAGGCAGGACTGCAGGTCCCACGACTCCTTATTGAACTTCATAACCACGAGTCCAACGATGAGGAACGTTACAGAGAAGCTAATTAATCCAGTGAGTAAGACCTGTGAAACCAATTCATTGCACAGCGTTAGAGTTACCATCTAAACTCAGCAGGACTTCCTGTCCTCATGTCAGTATCAGGTCTTGGTTACACATTTTATATGATTCCCCTGGAAGGTAACTTTAAAGGGTATTCTAGTTCACCTGCCTCAATGGGACCATCCCTTCTGAACAAATGGGATTCTACTTGACTGTTAAAACACCAACGCCCCACTCTTTCTGGCTGCTCTTCCAACCTGACGGTTCTCAACATCAAGGTGATGTTCCTAAAATGAAATGCAAATTTCCCCTGCTTCTGTGTAAAACATTTCCTGCTTTCCTCCCATGGCTCCACCTGCGGGCGTCCAGGTGGAAAGAGAAATAAAGCAAAGGGCGGGAAGCACTTGCAGCGGGTTGGGCCCCCTCCCCCCCATTAAAGACATTTTAGGAGAAACCTATTCAGCAAACTTTTGTATCATACATTTCATTGGCCAAACTTTTCTCATGCTGGAAAATGTGGTGTTTTACAGTAGACCCACTACCCTACCAAACAAAAAACAGTAAATTTCTGTTAGTGACGGGAAAAGGGAGAATGCTTCTCAAACAGGCAATTGGCAATAGAAATAGAATGTAAAACTTTTAAACAAGTAGGAGGGACGAAAAGGATAAAGAAAGTCAAGTGAATCAACCTGACTGAGTAGGGGAAACAGAGCAAAGAAAAAGCAAAGGAAGAGCGTGGTAAACACAAAGCACAAAAACTATCTTGAGACACATAAATCCAAATCTATTTTCTTTGATTTTTAAAAATTTATCTTTCACTTACAATCCATTCTTTTGGGGTACAGTTATATGAGTTTTGACTAATGCATATAGTCATTTAGCCATGAGCACAGTTAAAAACAAAGCAGATCCATCACCCTAAAAACTGTCCCTTGCTGCCCCTTTGTAGTCAACTTCTTCCCTCATTCCCTGTCCCCGGCAATCAGTGATCTGTTCTCCAAACCGGCAGTTTCGCCATTGCTACAAGGAAGGTGTATGAATGGAATTATACAACATGTAGCCCTTGAATCTGTTTTTCTTTCTCTTAGCATAATGCATTTGAAAGTCTTCCATGTTGTTCCTATAAATATTCTGTTCCTTTTTTGTTGCTGAGTAATAGTTCATTGCTGTACCAAACTTTATAACTAACAAAACAATCTACTGACTAAATTTAGGCCCCTACACTCGACAATGAGAGAATATAAATTTTTGTAAAGGAAACAGAACATTTTGGAAAACTGATCACGTACTAGGCCACAGAGCAAATCTCTGCAAAACACAAGATTTGGTATACAAAGCACACCCTCTGGTCACACTGTGATGAGAGAAATAATAATAAAACGCCATACTTGGAAATTTTAAAATAATTTCTAAAGGATTATTGGGCCAAAGAAAAAAGTACAATAAAATTTAGGTAGGATTGGGATGGTGATAAGAACACTAACCACCAAGACATGTAGGATTACACTAAGCGTTGTTACAGGACAGTTTAAAAGCTTAAATGCACAAAATACAAACAAAAGATAAACATTTGCTTTGAAAGGAAAAGTAAAATAGTTTGGTAAACATGGTTAAGAAAAAAAGAGAGAGAAGGCACAAATGAAACAATCTTAGCAAAAAAAAAAAAAACCTGCTGTTTACGGACACACTGAGAGGAATTCAGCTGTGGCACCAGAATCCCGGTGCGGCGCTTTGCCGGCCTGGTTTGTGCCGTCAGAGCTGCCGTCTGCTTATACGTAAAAGAGAGACGACATTTACTCAGCGCCAACTCACAGCAACCACTTGGCAAATATTCCCGCTCCTCCCTCCCCTCAACTCTCTGTGATTACGGTTCCGTAGCATGAGGAGGGCAAAACCACCAAAACTGTGAGTTTTGTGAATTATTAACCTTCCTTACAGACAAGCATATTCTCTGGCAACATGAATAAAAATTGACCGTAACTTATTTTAAAATGTGTCATTTACCTGCCAAAGCACGTTCTTGAGGATATAAAAGTCCACATCCAAGGCCGCCAAAAATATAATTAAAGGTGAAACATAACAATAAAGTGAAAAACTCGATGTTCTTAGAAGAGGGTAGACAACCTGGTACACCTAAACTAACAAAAGCAAACAAGGGATTAGTTTGCTGCCATGTTGAAGCATTAGAAATTGGGTTGACGGTATGACCATTAACATAAACTTTAGAATATTCCAATTTGCAATATATGAGAGATTACCTACAAGGCCAGTCCGGGGGTCGTGAGGGTGTTTTTTGACCTAACCGACCAGATGAGTTACATGTAGCTCCCTACTCACCAGAGAACTGTGTAGGCTTGGGCTCCATGACCATGGCTTGTGACAACTAATCGCTGCTCTCAAAAGTGGCACCCCACTGTTGGTCATCTCTGAGGTGATTTTAAGTGGCTCACAGATAAGTATTTTTTATTTGTTAGATATTTATTCTAATTTGCATTCAGAGGGGAAAACCACTTCGCACAGGTACTTGTGATTTATAGACATTTGCTTAGGATTTTAAAATCTTTCAGTGAGTCAGATCGAGAAATATAATATACAGATAATAGGACAGATTGGGTATATAGGAAACAAATAATGAACATTATACATGGATAAATAGATAACACAGCAACAATGACTGAAGCACCATAAATATTCCCTCCTAAAAGGTTTTTGGTTGTTTTTTGGCCCAATTCATAGTTTAATCTTCATTACTTATCTTCTATGTACCTCAGTCTCCTCATCTGTAAAATGGGAATAGAGTAACTACCTCCCTTGGGTTGCCAGGAGGATGAATGGATTAACTGGCATTCATAACAAGTCAATAAATTAACAAATACAAAGCACTTAAAGGGAGCCCGGCACCCAGTAAATACCCAGATGATGTTAGCTAACAGTAGTGGGTACAAGCATCATCTCCAGGTTTAAAAAATAAAAGAGTGGAGACAAATTGTTATTGATCACACTGCTATGCCTTTGAAATCGAGTTAGTAAGTTCATAACTTAATGAAATTTTCTTGTAGCTATATTATACATGATGTGCATTGTACCTGTCTCTATTATACTACATTACAACATTTGAAGCTGACAGAAGAGAGTGACCGTGCTTCATCATGACAGTAACTTCTGTCTTTGTAACTGGAGTCTGCACGGGGGTTGAAGACAATGACACAGAGGAAGCCAGTGTGTGTCCCGGGAAGGAAACCAGGGCAAGGCTCCAAAGGAAGGCCACGAAGAACCCAAGAATGCAACCCAATTGTCCTCACTTCCAAATTGGCGCCTTTTCTTAAGCACCTCTCGTTCACACCTCCTTTACTGAATGGTTTTCCACTTTCAAAAATTTTACTACCAAATGAATATTTTCCAGCAGTTGTTCACATAAAAAAAAAATCCATACATTGAGGGATGTCTGGCAGTGACCCTGTTTTGGGTCTTTGTTCTTTCATTTATTCTCTAGCTTATGGTGCGTACATTACCTCAATAAAACCATAGGCCAGCTGTCCGACTACAAATCCGGTGAGAGAGAGGACCGTCAAGACGATGACTTCCGAACTCTTTAAAAAGGCCCTCAAAAATCCTAAAGAAATAAATGAATGCGTTATTTAGACAGAACGAATGGTTTCAAAACAATTTCATACTCGCTCTCTCTAGTTATTTAATTTTAAACGTACTCTGAGCGTCATATCATTATGAATAAATAATTAACAGAAAAAAAATCCTCTGAATGTCACTTGCTTACAAATGCTGCCTCTTTAGCATAGGACACATATAGGGAAGCGTCTCTTCCGGGGGATTCAGAAAATACTGCAATTCCAAAAAACCTCCCATTTGTCCACCCGGCGTCACTTACCTGTGGATCTACTGATGAGAAATTATGAAAAGCCAAACTCCTACCTACATGGTATACTTTGTATTAATAATTACTCATCCTGAGCTATAGAAACATATATTCTACAGTTTTCCTAAAAGCGAGGGATGCTTTTAACTTAACTCTACCCTCAGTGCAAACTGCCTTCACCAGCCAAGTCACAAAAAAATGCTTGTTAATTTTCTGTCTACGTGCATTTTCTTGCCTGGAAACCATCTGCTCTAAGATTTGGTTCCTCCAGAAGTAATATAGGGACCATAATCAGACTAATTTATGGCTCAGGCAAGATTCACTGACATCCCAGATTCTGCATTTGCTGACGGCCAGCCAAATCAGGCAATATTGATGGAATACTTCTTGTTCTTAAGGCCAAAGGAAATGTTTCTCAAACTATTTCTGCAACGCCCTTTACTGCTGGACCACTGGTCTCTAAGGAATCATCAAAGTTCTGGAACTAGTGAAGTTCATGGTCACCAGCACCTCATAGTAGCAACAGAGGCCAAGGCTGTTTGTATTTTAAAGACCCCAGAGAATTTCACTCCCTGACACAATGAATAAAACTCAAGTTTTTTAATGCATGGTGGCTTCGTTGTCTGTTTCTTTAGAGTCTTCCTAATTCCAGAAAGGATTGTAAAGCAGCTGACTTTTTCCCCAGGTAAAAATTCTTAAAGGGAACTAGAAACTTCTCTAATTGCTAGCATTGGATTGTGGAATCAAGCACCTGCGTTTTTGAGTGTTATTTTGTCGGCATGAATAGTGCACGCCATTCCTACTGAATTCTTAATCGTCGTTTAAGAGGCCCTTCCCTGTGAAGGCCCTTCCGAGTTTCTCGACAGTGGCTGGGGTGGGCAGTTCATCTTCCCACAACAGAAGGGACAAAAGCGACAACTCCAACAATGCAATTCGCGATCGCATGCCTAGGTTCTATTTGCTCCCGCTGCCTCCTCTCGTCCCAGCCATTCTGGGCAGCTTGAGCCTGGCTGGCAGGCACACAGTGCGGGGCTCTTCCTCCTCCGCAGAGGCCGTGGACCGTGCCTTCTCATTATGCTGCCCGCACTGCATGGTACTGATGTGTCTGCCCACCGGCCCCATGAAAGGACTCCTGGAGGAGAAGGACTGTCCTATTCTCCTATGCCTACCACACTGCTGTGCTCGGTCAGTGTGACTGAGCCAAGCAACGTGGAGTAGGTGCTATTTATAATTAAAGGGAGCTAGCCTGACAGCGTTCGCTCCCATCCCATGACTTCCCTGGGCCCTTCCTTTGATGTGGCTGTGATCGCTCTCTGCGCTGACCAAGGCTCCAAGGGCAGAGGAAAGGTGGGATTCAAAAGCCGCCACCTACCTCCCAAAACAATGGTGGCACAGGCGAGCACTATAAAGTGCCCCCTAGCAAACATGTAGTCAGCCGACCTTCCGCAGAGTAAATCCGGCCTGATGCCTTCCGTGTGCTCCCAGAAGGAAGTGTTCAACTTTGCCATTGCTTGTTCAGGCCTTGCTGGAAGGATTCATAAGTCAGTCGTCACCGACACTTTCACGACCACAGACCAACCTGGGATGATGGGCAAACAGGAGAAAGCGAGACCTGCCGAGAGCCCTCGCAGACACGCTCTTTCCCCCTAAGACTGTGCCACACTCACGTGAGCACATGTCTGGCCACAGGGCTCTCACTACCACCTCCCGTTCCAGCTCCTGCTCTGCAACGTTTGCGGGAGACAGGCAGCAGTGTTAGCGCTTCTCCGGCTACTGCATGCGCAGGGGGAGGGGATTTTTGCACTTGCTGATGCAATGTGTTTGCCTTCCCCACTGCACAGTGCGTTTCTCAAGGGCTGGGGCTGAGCCTTCATCCTCCCCAAGGCTGTGCACACAGTGCACGGCACACACTGGGCTCTCCCTACATAGTTGATGAACAGAGCTCTTCGAGGGGAAGCCTTTCTCCGTAGGTACAAGTCATTCCGGAAATCCCTTCCACTACTGCCACCCCATGTTCCTTTTTCCTCTCTAGGACCCCTACAAAGCCAAAATGGCAAAGGGGAGCCAAGATCAAAGTTGAGTGACACCCGTTAGTCTGGGAAGGAAAGGGCAGGGTTGAGTAACCTGAGAAAAAACGGGGAAACTAAAGATGAAGTTTGATCATATGGCGTCTTTGAGGGAATTAGAAAAAGTTCCCTTTCCTGACACCAGGGCACATGGCTTGACGCATGAACCACAGACTGACCGGACTTCGGCCTCAGCACCCCCCATACGCTGTGCCCTTGGGCAGGACAGGGCCCACGCGGTGGTCCTGAGAAGGATTTGCTCTGTTTTGGTTTTCCTTGTGGCTAGTCTGAACCTAAAAATCCCTAGAGGCTCCTGAAGTATCTCCCGTAATGTTTAGAGCCCATTTGTGGTTCTTTGTTGTGCACCTGTTTGGTCTACAAGCCACAATGATTCTGGTGGGAGGCAGAAGGGGGACCAGAAACGAGATTCAAAATGCCACGTCTTCAAATCACTTCACCGGTCTTCAGGTCCTTGTCATCTTCACATCCTGCTAGACCTGCTTGACATTACAGCCTCAGTCTCAAGTCAAGTTCTTCTCCGAAATACCAAGACCAGCAGAGTCTGCTTCCAAGGCTCAGCAGGTTCCAAATGGAAAACCAGATGAACGCTGTCGAAAAACACAAAGAACAATGTTCACTCAGCTCTGCGTCTGTTTGCCAGGCTCAGTACTGCCAACTGATATCACACTGAAAGCTATTTCCATGCCTACTTCCTATTGGTTTCTTGCCAACTCACCTTCCTTATGATTGGCTACCATACATCATCCCCACCACCAATCCAGAAGCAGCTAAGTGATCCAGTTCCGGGGAAGCTTGCTTTCTTTCTGCCCAAGTGGTGTCCCACCCACAACTGTCTTAACTGATTTTCTTTGCCTGACATAATAGCAGAAACGGTCACCGACCAGGTAGACAGAACCTGCCCCCAAATTTTTTAAATATAGACTGTTTTTCTCTATTCGACCCTCACCCTCTTCAACATTGTCTTATCTTCCCTCTGATGTTCTCATTCATCTTTTTCCATTTTCTCTTTTTCTACCATTCCCATTTCAATGGGAGTTTCTCACCCCATTTTCCTCGACTTCTATCTTGCATTGCTCTTTGGGCCTTAACTGGAAGGAACAATTATCACCCACTCTTCCTAGGAGAACAAATGCATCCCAAATTCTGTGACGCCTAAATTAGGCATTTTTGCCTCAATCCTAATCACTAAAAACAAACACAGTATAAATTTAAACCAATGAACGTTACTGAGCAGCTTTTAGCTTCCTTTCAACGATGTCACTTTGTGATGATGAGATCCTGCTCTCTCGTTCCTGTGTCACACTAAACAGATCCTCTTCCCCGGGCACCCAGGGTGACACCACAGCAGGGACATTACTGTCATCATCGACCTCCTCCATCACTACGTACCAAGGAAACCTTGACGAAGTCCCAATTCCTGCTTGAGACTAGTTTCCGTCAACAGCGCCATCTGCCCCTGACTGCAACCCCACCACTGGCACCCCCGCACTGTTCCCCCGAATATGTGCTCTATAGTATTTTGTCTGTTCCGGTTCTTTTAAGCCACTGGACCCGCCCTTACCACAAATCCCAAGGTCCGTGTTTTTAAAAAGAAGTCTTACTCATGGGCTGTCCCCTGAGAAACCCATTCCTTACTCTTTCCCAACCTGCCATCACTTAACCTTCCTGGTTACCAGGTTCCCCGCCCTTGCTCCCACCTTCACCTTCACCTTCACCTTCGCCTTCGCCACTTCGAGGCTGCTCGTCACCCCGATCTCCCTCCTCAGCTGCGCTGCCTCAGGTCATTTTGAGTGATGGCCTTTTGGGCTCTCTCTGCTTCCTCTCCTAGCACCGTCTCCTCGGGCTCACTGGGTTCACCTAGACACCACAGGCAAGACCCACGCAGTTTAACATCTCAAAATTCAGATTCTTCATGGCTTTTAGAAAAATCTCCACACTTCACGAAAACTTGGACAAAATTCAGGGTTGGCTCTAGATCACACATAGTTTTAGAGCTACAGGGAACACATAGCTAAAATACGGAGGTGACCCAATGTCTCTACATTATAGCCTTTTCAAAAGTTTTTAAAAAGCAGTGATCAATTTACATTTCCCCATTCTGGGGAGAACCAACCGAGTCGACTGTGGTAGATCTGGGAGTTGAGGGCTGAGAGGCTGCTCAGTGTGCCCCCCCACCCCCACCTCCTCACGATAGGCCACCCCCGCTGATGGCCACAGGCACGTAACGCAGGCCGGTCAGTCACAGCCTGCTATCCCTCCAGCACAACGGTGGGTTCAGGGCTGGGCATGGGACTCGGGACCAATCGAAGGGTCCCTGAGCTTGACATACAGCACACCCCATCGCTGGGTGAGGGTGGCTCCCCCGCCGCGGGGCGGCTGTGATGCCGCCTGCCCAGCCGCACTGAGGAAGCTGACCTCAAGGCTGAAGGCTCCACGAGGCGCCCTCTTTGGTATTTCGAAGGTCTTCACAAGTGACCCCACCATCCACCTGAGGTTTTACCTGGTCTCGGAAGCCGCTCCTTAGTTGGAGAACTTTTTGCCATCTAGAAAGCCAGGAATGAGAAACAGTTTCATTTTCAAACCCACACGTACTGGTTTCTTGATATTTCTTCGAAATTTTATTTGAAAACTGAACTGTTCCTTTTCAGTTCATCTCTGTGATCACATTTTAGAAGCCAAGTAGCACTTGATCACTGTCTGGAAAAGCCTCATCGGGATCACTGAACTCATTACTCAGACCGTAGTGTGGCCATAGTGTGGCCATAGTGTGGCCACACTCACCACTGTCACGTGACAAGGGCCCCTTTTCTCCAGCTCCTAACATTTTTCCTTCCTTTCCTATAAACACCCACGAATGGGCTCCCGGGGGCCCTTAAAGATCCTGCTACTAACCTGCTCACGCCCCGTGGGCTCTCAGCAGCACCCTCAGCTGGGTCCTCCTGGCTTTGGCCTCCCTCCCTGCCCTACAAGGGCAATGCCACACATTTTAGGGTTTGCCGTGAATTTCTCACTTCCAGGCTCCCAAATGTTCATGACATATATTGCTGTGTAACAAACAGACGCAAACCTAGTAGCTTGAAACAACAGCAATCATTTATTTAGCCAACACCTACAGTTCTGCAGGGCTCGTCCGGGAAGGCCTGTCCCTGCTCCATCCCGCATCAGCGTCAGCGGCTTGACGGGAGCATCCACTTCCAAGACGGCTCACTCTTCGGCTGGCAGGCTGGGGAGTGACCGCTGGCCGGGGCTCAGCCAGGGCCGTGGGCCAGGCTTCTGCGCCTGTCCGCACGGTCTCCCCACAGGCTGGCTTCCAGGGGCGAGCGTCACAGGGAACTAGACAGAAACTGCATCACCGTATATGACCTTTTGCGAGTCCACGGAAATCACACGGCACTACTTCCACTCGAGTCCAGGCCTGCCCACAATCAGGAGGCGAGAACAGAGACCCACCTCACCCTAGGAAGAGCATGTGGGATGGGAGATGTGGTTGCTGTGAAAAATACAGTCCGCCTCAGATCAAACGCTGGGGTGGGCTGTCAGCCCTGTACAAGCTGGGGCGTCGCGTCAAGCTGAACGGCCGTCTGCCTGCTTTAGCCATGTCCAGAGCAGTGGTTCTCGAAGGCTGGGCCACAGGCCAGTCGTGATCCATGACAAAAAGTCCCATGATACATGGCACAGTGAAAAAAAAATAACTGTCTATAGTATAACTTAATTTAGTCAACTTACTGGGACACATCTTCCCTTCTTTTCTGGTGATAAATGTCTTTCATTGAACAAGAGTGAAGGCAGACAGTAGGTGTTTTCCTAATGATGTCATATCAGTCTCCTCCCTTTATTTTTTTATATCTTTCCAAGCAATGAAATACAAAAGTCTAATACACCACTGTAACACCACAGAAGTTACAACATTGAATTTAGCCTCTCCTTGATCACCTCTCAAATAATGTAGCTGCATTTACTGCTGCGCACTTGAAATAGTAATTACTCTATAGTTGTTCAAAAAAAGTCATGCAACTACCTGTGTAACAGCTCAAATTCAAAACATAAGGGCATTTTAACTGTCCTCTGAACATACCTATAATGCAATGCAACAATAGATCAGAAGTAGTATATGTCTCTATAAATACATACAGATACAAAATGCATATTCCAATACAAATGCATACCCACATCAATGGAATTTTTGAAGTAAGACCCAGGAATCCCTTGGTGATCCCCAGGTTCACATGCTTAAACGGCAACACAGCCTTCACGATGAGGTCGGAAGAGAAGCGAGATATACTGCCATGGCGCCGGGTGTGTGTGGCTTGGCTACGGGGGGATGGCAGTGGAACGGGGCACTGGAACAAGCAGGGTGTGTAGAACAGGACTCAGGAGTCGTTTCTATAGAAGTGAACAAGCTCTATAAATGAATGATGACCAGTGACGTATGGGAATAAGGTAGCACCCAAAAAGAATTCACTCAACTATTATTTACTAATTCATTAGCGATTGGCTCTTTAGGTAGAAGAAAAAAGCAAGACAAAGTACCTACCCGCAAACAGCTCACAATTCACATGAGCATACAAACGCGAAAAATGACACAGACCACAGAATGAGGCTATTAGCACCAGAGGTGTCCCTGAGGAGGAGGGAGTCCCTCTTCCTGACACTGAGATGGAGGAGGTCATGGCGGGGAGAACACCAATTACTTCACCAAGGGCAGGGGCTGACCTTTCCCCAACTTTGTTGAGGCATAATTGACATACAAAGTTATCAGACAGGAATGACTTTTGAGGAGTCAAGCTGGAGGCAAGATGAAGAAGAGGAGGTGGTGTCTTAGTCTGTTCGGGCTGCTATAACAAAAATAAGATAAACCAGTTGCCTTATAAGCAAAAAACGTTTATTTCTTACAGTTCTGGAGGTGAAGAAGTCCAAGGTCGCGGTGCGGCTGCAGTCGGCGTCCACTGAGAGCCCGCTTCCGAGGTAGCTTTCTTCTTTTTGTGACCTCACAGGATGCAAGGGGCAAGGGAATTACCGAAGGTCTTTTTTTTTTTTTCCCCCAAAGTCCTCACCCAAGGATACATTTTTATTGATTTAAGAGAGAGAGGGAGAGAGAGAAACATCGATTGGTTGTCTTCCGTACACTGCCCTGACCCAGATTCGAACCCACAGCCATTTGCCATATGGGATGTTGCTCCAACCAACTGAGCCACCTGGCCGGGGCCGGGGCCTCTTTCTTAAGAGCCTAAACCCATGCATAAGGGCTCCGCCCTCGTGACCTAATCACCTCCCAAAGCCCCCACCTCCTAATACCATCGCATTGGGCATTACATTGCAACATATGGACTTTGGGGAAACACAAAAGTATATTCAGACCATAGCAGCCTAGAAAGTTGTTTGTAAGAACACAAAGGAACCGGAAGAACATAAAGGTGTCAATACAAAGAGTCTCGAGAAGTCAGCATTAGCAAATCAAAAACTACACAAAGTCTGCAAATAGTGAGTAAAAGAGGAAAAAAAGGAGGGGGATGTGGCTTTTGTCCCAGGGGTCTCCCCTAGGGCCTCTGTCTTTCCCAGGACTCTGAAGTGAGACTCAGGAGTCCTTCCTAGTCACGAAGACCACCTGCCAAGAAAGCAACAGAGCATTCAAGATCTAGGCTCAGGCAGATTTAGAGCACAAACAACACTTGGGCTTCGCCCACATTGTTGTAGCGCTTGAGGTAGTGGACTCCCCACAACCCACAGCAGTAAGGGAAGGCGGCAAACACACACCTCCTTCTCTGGACTGCTCCTCAGACACCCACGGGGTCTGCCGGCGAGGGGAGTGGGGGTTACTGCCCTGTTCTTTTGCTTAAAGCAGCTGAATTGCTCATATGTAAAAGATCTCAAAACTTTAAAATTTGTGAGGCAAATTTAAAACTGTTATCTAAAACCATGGCTCAGATGGAACTGCTGAATTGCTCATTTCCTTTCTTTTCTCTCTTCCATGAAAACTAGCTTTCAGGCTGGGACAAAGAAGAGGAAGCCATAAGAAAAACAGTAAATAGGTTTTTAAAAAATATTTTCTTTCCATCAAACCTTTCCAGAAAGCCACAGAGTAGTACATCAGGAGCTTTTAGATAAACTGGGGGTGGGGGGTAGGGGGGCTATTCCAAAGCACTAATATGAAACCAACCATGAGATTTAAAACCTAAAAAACATAAAATGGAAGGAAAACCAACCTGGAGGCCAATTCTAATACCGGCGTTGCCAAACCTACAGAACAGAGGACACCTGAATATGAAACTAAACAAGTTTCTGTTTACTAATTTAAAGGCAGGAAGAGACTTAAGACAAATAAGAGGTTTACTAACTAAGGGACTATATCCCACCTTACAAGTAAATTTTAATTTGGGCATAAAACATAACAGCTGTGTGAACGGAGGACCCTGACCCACACTGTCCTTCATACTCCCTGCTCCCGAGTGTCACCCCGCAGCTTCCCTTGAGGAGGGGACGAATTTTCCCCCTGGATGCAGCCACTGTCTTTTTTTTTTTTTTTATAGAATTCTTCAATTGAATGGAAATTTCCTGCCTCTGTTGTACATAAAATTAGTAGATTCTCTAACCAGCTTTTGAAGTTTCCACGTGGTTTTGTGCCTCCCAGCCACATGCTCTCTGGAAGGGGCGGCTACAGGCGGGGCAGACGAAGGCCAGAGGGCAGGACCGGCAGGGCCGACTCCCTTTCACACTTACTCGCTTGGAGAAAACCCCACGGCTACTTTCTCAACCTCAATTGTCATGAATAGCTTTGCCTTTACAAATACTCTAAGAAAATGTGGCTTTTTATAAAATACATGTTCAGTGGAAGGCATGCTCTTGACTTCTTTTCTGGCCATGACTTAGACTACAGATTTGGCACTTCTCACTTGACCTGAAAGGAAGCAGATGTTTCAAATTACATTTAATTACCTTGCAGTACAAAACAAAACTTAAGCCAGTTTTTAAACTTTTGTTAAATTTATTGGGGTGACATTAGTTAATAAAATTGTAGACGTTTTCAGTGTACAGTTCCATAATATGTCACCTGTATATGGCATTGTGTGTTCACCACCCAAAGTCAAGTCTCCTTTTGTTACCATCTATTCGATCCCCTTCACCCTCTCCCTTCTCCCCCCGCCCCACTTCCTGCTGGGGACCACCATCCTGCTGTCTGTCTCTGAGTCCTTGTTGGTTTGTCCTGTTCCTTCATTGGTTGCTCTCGGTTTTATATCCCACATGTTAGTGAAATCACATGGTCCTTGACTTTTTCCATCTGACTTACTTCACTTGGCATGATATTCTCAAGGTCTATCCACACTGTCGTAAATTGAAGCCAGTTTTTAAAACAATAGACATGAAATACCTCAGTATGTCCCAGCCTGAACCTGTCATTAATTAAACCCTGGTGTTGGTATGTCAATTCAAGTGTTCCCCCCGTCCCCACACACTTCGTAAAAATACTTAAAGCTGTGAGGTCACATTTCCCATACAATGAGCATTATTGTTCCGAATTCTGCCACGGACTAGTGGAACTTTTTAATAAACCGCTTACCCTGTCTTGTCGGCACTTTCCTCACTGTAAAATGAAGGGGACGTTTCAGAGGTTGCATCAAGATCTAACACTTCCACAGTATGAAGGCGCAAGACACCGGGGTGCGTGGAGGGGACACCGGGGACTTGGAGAGGGGCAATTCTTCCTCTGAGTGAGGGGGGAGGAGGGCTGCTGGGCCAGGCTGAAGGGCGGGGGAGGGGGAGGCGAAGGCGGGAATCAGGCTGCGTCACCGACAACTCGGGTCTTCCCCATCTCACTCCCCACGGCTGTCCTCCCTCCGGTCCGTTTTACAGAGAAAGCCAGGTTACCCTCCCTGCTTACTCTCTCTTATCTCCTGCGCCCAAGTCTTAATGACAACCACTGCCCTGAAAATAAAGCCCAAATTGTCTTGGGCTTTACAACGCAGTTCTTTGAATGAAATGATCACCTTAACTTTCTAACCTTACTTCCTACTGTTCCTTCACACAGACTCAACCGCCATCAGCCACGTGGACCCTGAGCCCTCCCCTATTCCCACGGCTGAACCTCTCTGAGCACATGCCACTCTCAGTCTGCAGGTTTACTCACACACTGGGTGGTGGGCGCCCCCAAGCCAAGGACGGTATGAAGGGTCCATTTCCCCCTTCAGGAGGCCTAGGAGAGTGCTGCGTGGCGGCTCTGTAGAGGTTAGGCGCAGATGCCGGGCTAGGGCTCGTCTGCCATGCTGCCTAGACTAGCTTAGTGTCTTAACCTTAAGAAACCACAGCCCCCTGTGCAGAAACCTAACAATCTCAGGTCCTGGATCTCCACATTCAAAGAAATAAAGTTGAACCCCTACTTCAGGTCACACACACAAAAATAACTCAAAATGGAGCATAGAAGTGTAAGAACTAAAATACAAAATTCTAACCAAATAAACCCATAAAAACAAACCTTGGAGACCTTGGACTTGGCAATGTTTCTCAGATATGATACAGAAAGCACAAGCGACAAAAGGAGAAAATAGGTAAATTGGACTTCACCAAACCTGGAGCCTTTTGTGCTTCAAGGGACACAATTAATAAAGTGAAAAGATAATCCACAGAATGAGAGAAAATATTTGCAACTCATATATCTGATAAGGGACTTGAACTCAAAACATAAAGAACTCTTACAGCCCAACAATAAAAAGACGGTCCAATTTAAAAATGGGCAAAGGATTTAAAGAAACATTTCTCCAAAGAAAACATACAAATGGCCAGTTAACACATAAAAAGATGCTTAACATCGTTAGTAGATAAGGAAATGCAAATCGAAACTACCTTAAGGTACCACCTCACACCCACTAGGTTGGCTAAACTTTTTTTTATAGACAGTCATGACTGTTGATAATGATGTGGAGAACCTGGAACGCTCATTTTTTACCATTTGTGGGAATGGATGACGGGAAACACTTTTGACAGGTCCTCAAAAAAAGACATGACCCAGCAATTCCACTCCTACGCACATACCCCAGACAAATGAAAGCATGTGGTCACAAAAATTTGTTCACAAAAGTTCATGGCAGCCTTATTTGTAATAGTCAAAAGAGTGGAAACTCAAACGTCCATCAGCTCATGAATGAGTAAATTTGAATCCATACAACAGACCAGTAGCCATCCATAAAAAGGGATATTGATACCTATTACAACATGGATGAACCTTGAAAACACTAGAGTAAGTGAAAGAAGCCAGGCACTAAATGCCGTATGTTGTATAAGTCTACTTATGGCGTGTCCGGGGCAGGCAAATCCGTAGAGAGAGAGAGCAGATCAGTGGTTGCCAGAGGCTGAGGCGGGGGCGGGGGATGGGGCGTCACTGTGAAGGGTACGGGGCTTCTTTTGGGGGTGGTACGATGGTCTAAAATCGGAGAGTGGTGATGATTCTTCAACTCTGCAAACTTACTGAAAACCACCATATGATACATTGTTAAATGGTGCATTTTATGATATGAGAATTACATCTTAATGCGGCTATTTTTAAAAATCTTAGGTACACCTGCCACCGAGATCCGACAGTGTACCTTCCCCATTCACGGGGCCATGTGACTGCAATAGGCGTTTCAATGCCTATTTGGAGTTATAATTCCGAAATTGCTTTTCAAACTCTGCCACTCTATCTACTAGGAGAACGTGCCTTCCTAGTTAAAAACCACTGGTCAAAACCAAAGGCAGCGTAAATTATGTAAAATTAAATGATTAATGAAGGTAATAACACTACAATTAGGATTAGATATTCTCTACAGAAATAAGTCAGCTATTATTTTCAGTCACTAATAGTAAAACTACTACGAAAACTAGGGAGCTACATCACAGGCCTGTGCTTGTGACTACTTACGGAAGCCTGTGAAAAATCAGAGTGTCTCAGAAGTAACAACACCGAACCTGACATTCCTCTTTTCTGACACTGAAAGCACTTTGTATCCAAAACTCACGTGGGGTGGCCATTTTCGTGAAGATGGGAGTCACGATATCTTCCAACTGCTGTCTCTGCTCGACGAGCTCACTGACGGGAGCCTCCGGATGGGCCTCCAGCCACTCGTGTTTCGCACGGCACGCGCTGAGGACGGCGTTCTAGAGGCAGAGACAGAGAGCGCGCCCTCCGCTCACTGCCTGAGACACACAACCGCAGAATCTCGGAACCGGCACCGGCCGACAGGGCCTCCTGGGGCGCCGTTCGGCACCTGCGCCGGCCGGCACAGCCCCCGTCAGACACAGGTGGCGCCTGAGGCGGTGGCTGCTACCGCATGGCTCTAGATTGCGAGTTTAATTTTGCCTACATTTTGTTTGTTTCATGAGTGATTTTGTAAAGCGTTTTACAAGCCGCAAGGAAAATGTTTTTTTCATCAGAAAGTCATGAGAAAATTCACAGAACATCCTGCAGAGAAATTCAGGAAATGATTTAAAACCAAAACACATTCCTGATACCTTGAGTGTATCTTTTGTGTGCGTGTACAATCCAAAGTAATACATTTGTCCACATGCAGTACTTAACATATACTAGGTGTGGCGAGGTGGCTTTACACTAGCTATCTTTCTACCTGTGTCTTTTTATCATTATGTAAAAGTTGATACCTTAAAAATACGTAACACATATAAACATAGACACTGAAAGGATGTATATCTAAGTTTCGAAGCACAGTAATGAGTATCGGTGGGCCCTTCTAATCAACAAAAGACCCAGACAGGACGCCTCCCGCGCCCTGAAGCCACCTCTCTGCCCCTCCCCAATGCCGCCCCGGCCCACCTCCGCGGGGCAATCGCAACCTGTGCTTAGACTTTCCTTTCCTTTTCAAAATAGTTTTACCTCGTATGTAGGCATCCCTAAATGATATAGTTTGATTTTTCTTGCTTTTAAGCTTTATAAAAATCTACGTAGCCTTTGGTAAATTTTTTTTTTTTTTTTTTTTTTTTTTTGCTGAATACTACATTCCTAAGATTCATTCATGTTGTTGGGTGAGATACTTTATTATTTCACTCATTTTTATTTGTCCATCTACTATGAGCAGTTTGTTAAGAAAGAGAGGGAGAAAGGGAAAACGGAAGGAGAAGAGAGCAGTAAGGACCTCTTCCTACCTCCAGAGTATTAGTGCAGAAATTAAAGATTCAAGGCAAAAGCCTCAGAAGGCTTCAGAACAAGCAACGATCACAACGTAGTACCTTGTCTTCTTTAAGGAGTCTCCCTGGTCCCTTCTCTGAGTCTGTAACAGTTGCAGAGACCTTTGTAATATATTTTTTCAGAGCCAGCCTTGCATCTGGAAGTAAAATGTACAAAAATAAGACAAAGATCAAAAAATGCGCTCGGCCGTTGGTAACGCGCTGTGACATCCCCAGAGCTTTCGAGTGGCTGGGCGGAGATTCTGCCTGTGGCTGCTCCCCCTGCACTTCAGGGACGACGGCACCGAACCAGCACAGCGCTCGGCGGCGCTCACTGTGCTCCTAGGATTGCGCAGCACCCTCACCGTCCGCGTTTCCCACCAGCGGTCTCCCCAAGCCTTTTTCCATCGTGCACCTCAAAATTCTTCCACCTACCGCTTACCAGTCCCTAAGCTACGTCCACATTTTCATGTATTTGTTATAGCTGCATCCCACTTCCAGGTGCCCAAATCTGAGTCCTTTTCCTTTTAAAAGAACACTAATCCCGTTCATGAGGGCTCCACCCATGTGTCCTCATTACCTCCCGAGGACCCCGCTTCTTAACACCATCGTGCTGGGTATGAGGACTTGAACATGTGAAATTCTAGAGACACAGACACTCAGACCACAGCAGTTCCTTAACCCCTGCAATGTCGGTGTCCCCATCCACACAACGTAAGTGACACGGGACAGCCCGCATGGGGTTGTCATAAGGACAAAGCACAATGTAGTAGAGTGCACACAAGTATCCCGGCCCAGCGCCCGGTGCACAGTAAAGCACTCGATGCGTTTACGACGCCAGGCCTCCCCTCAGAAGCCTAAATATGACTCCCTGTTGGCCACTGAAGAAAACACAGGCCCGCCAGGCTCTGGCCAGCCACAGCTAACCGTCCAGCTTTCTGCCCTCCAGTGTTCACCCGGAGAGTCTGTCCATCATTCGTGTCATCCTCCCTCCACCCCAGGTGTCAACGTGGCTCACTCCCTCAGTCCCGTGGGGGTCTGCTCAAGCGCCGCCTCATCAGAGCATCCTCTCCCGGTGCCTCCAATAAAACGACACACACACCCACTCATTGCTCCGCTTGCCGGCCGCTGCGGATCCCCTGACCGTGCTCCTTTATTTTTCCTCCATGGCCCTCTGTAGACATACACATTTAGATGCTGTTCTCTATGGTCTCCCCACTAGAAAGGAAGCTCCAAGAACATGTGTTGCTGTGTGCCCAGCTGCACCTGCGCTCTGAGTTCCTGGAACAGCATTCAGTACACATGAGGTGCTTGATAAATATCTGTTGTATGAACGTTTACACAGCATTTCTCTGATTATGTTCCTTCAACCTAAGATGCCTTGGCCACCTACCAAAATTCTACACATGCTTTGAAGATTACTTAACACACTTCTGCAGAACACCTAATTCCTCCAAATGACACTCGTTGCTCTATCCACCGTTGCCTGACTATAATTTGCTTTAGCTCTCATTTTAGTCTCCAGTAACTTGGAATTTCTATTATTTTTTTGCTTCTACCTCTAGATTGTAAGATCCTTAAAGCTGGGGTCTCTGACTCACCGTTTTACAGCAGACCATGCCCCCTCAGCATCTCATCTTTTTTTCACCTACCTCGCCAAATTCCTCACCCCTCCCCCACTACCTAAGAGTACCACATGCCACCAAAGGGACAGAGGTTCAAAGGGACAGTGCTTTTTTTGCTTAACTATTTGAAAGGAAGGATATTTCAGAGTGGAAAAAAAAAACAACCAGAAGCAGACTGCAAGGTTGTGTGAAATGGTAGAGCTTCAGATTATTTTTAAAGTAGATGTAAAACAGCCATACTCCAGAAGAGTTGGAAGGGATATAGGCAAACTGTTTCCATGAAATTTCATTAATATGATCACAGTTTGAATTTATCAGCTAGCAAGATATTAGCAAGGTCTTCATTTTTCATAAAATTGAAGAAGCTCAAGTAATTCTGATAAAAAGCAAGAAAAAGTTTCCCTGAGAAACCCAAGGTGACAGACTGGGTGACACCTTTTAGTTCCACTGTGGTTGTGATGTCACTGACTATCCCTGAATCACTGTGACTGAAGATGTAACAATGATCAGCAGTGTATATATTTTGCCAGCTAGGAAGTCTACATTTAGAGCACGTATTAACTAACACTCGGGGCGTTTCTACTCTGTCTCTGTACTCTGTATTTTTGGCTATAGATTTCTTTTGTCCCAATTGAGACAGAAAGATGTCCCTCCAAGAACTACCCCCAATTTTTCCTCTGTTGGTTATCTGTTTATTAAAGGAATGTTTCTGCATTTGTGATGGGACTATCTGGGCCAAGGTTGGATGGGAGATTTTTCCAGAAGAAATGCATTATCTGAAAGCTAAGCCTCCTCCATCTCGCTGTCTACCTTACCCTATAAACAAACTATGTTGCAATTTTGCTAATATGGACATATTTCAGGGTTTTTTATATCTCATGTATATTTTAGGACAAGCTGTCTTTTTAATTCTGGCTGCTCTATCTGTGCATTACCTGTGGATGAAATGGAAGAAACACAAGAGAAAGGTAAGTTAGTGATACAAATAGTAATAGTTGTAGAATATCAGAATTTAAAATATAAGGCTACCAGCTTCTTTGGGGGAAAGTACTACGTCTTATTCCTCTTTGTAACCACACCAGGCCTCTGCCATTCACGCCCAACATCTTAGCGCAGTGTCTTGCACACACTAGGTGCTCAGTAAATGAGTACTGACTCGGAAGGTCCGTAAGACAATCTAGCCCAACCATTCTATTTCAAGTTACAAAACACATCAAGAACGTAGTGAACTACAGTGAGCGGAATGCACAGCAAGTGAAGTTTTCTGTCTGGGCTGGGAGGTAAGTCATTGGATCTTTCTCGGCTGCTTCACGCATAAAATGAAGGATCCAGAACAAGCTATCTGTTAGATTCCTTCCAGATCTATCCAAGAAGGCTAAGTATATAAAGATTGGCAGGTATTTTCTAAAGGAACAGTAAACTAATGTCTAATATTAGGATAATTTTCTGGGGAATGGCACTATTAAACTAATTTTCCACTTTGCCAACACCGCCATGTTTTGAGGCAATCTTAAAAGCTCACTGACCTTTACAATAATCAGGGTGTTCTCAAATGACCTTGGTTTTATTGATCATACCTTGAGGCTGTTTAATAAAGGGGTATATTTAACTAATATTCAAATAATTTCTCCTAGATGAACGCTCTAGCTATGAAAAAAAGCACTTTTTAAATGTTTGTCGATGGTGATAAGGACTGTTACAGTCCTTCACAGGGGCGTCCCCAAGGGCGTTCCTTCTGCCCTTGTACTTGTTTTCTGTAGTCACCTTTCTCTTGTATAAGTAAATAACGGGTGGTGTTTGAAGCTTAAGTACAGATATCCAGAAAGTTTATTTGAACTACAGTAAGGGAAAAAAAAAACCTATAATATCATTTGTTTTTCCCCCCTTCAGCTGAAAAAACAAGCCTCCTTAGATACAGCTGGTAATGAACTTGAAAGCCAGTCCATCAGCGACGTCGACCGGTTACTCTGCAAACTCTTGGCCACAACATCAATGATGACCGCGTACCTGAATCAGACATCTCGCCATCCTACAGCGAAGAAACTCAGGCACCGAAAACTACAGAGGAAGAACAGACAAGGAGCGAGAGGACGCCACAGACATCCACCTATGAACGTAGCGCAAGCCAGTGTGGAGGCTACACAGGAAGTCTATTGAGAGAACTCATATAAGGTTAAAGATGGTTCTTTGAGAGCCTTTGTAATTTTTTTTGCTACAGTCCTTACTGAAAATTTCCAATGAAGTCTGGGTTGAAAAGTTATTTCTATTCAGCTAAAAAGACATCCACACTTGCCCTGGCCAGGTAGCTGAGTTGGTTGGAGTGTCATCCTGTACACCAAAAGGTTATGGGTTCGATCCCCAGTCAGGGCACGTACCTAGACTGTGGGTTTGAGTCCCTCTCAGAGTACAGAGCGGGGCAGCCAATCGATGTTTCTCTCTCACATGGATACTCCTCTCTCTCTCCCTCTCTCTCCCCCACTTCCCCTACCTCTCTCTCTCCAATTAATAACCATATCCTCAGGTGAGAATTAAAAAAAAAGACACCCCAACTTACCAAAGTACTGGGAAAAAGGCTGTACACTATCACTACTTCAGATTTAAGTATTTCAGTCTTTTTAATGTATTACATCACTAATCATTAACCGATCCATAGAATAGATCTTTAGTGTTTTAATAAATCTCTTATTTAAATAACATTTGTGATTTTTCTTACTTTCCTGAGCAAATTTTATGGCCACAAGAAGACTTAATTTCCCATCTCAGATGCCCTTTGCTAAAATAGTACAGATGTATTAAGGAATAGATTGATTTTTAAAAACAATTTTTCCATTTTTAGTATGATAAATGATGAATTATCAACATTTTTTTTTAATTTCTAAGTTTTGTTGTACAGCCACCTCCATTTTTTAAAAGCATGATTACCACATTATCCAACAAACACTGGGAGACTGATCCAAGACTAGGTCAGAAGATTTGATTAAAAACATGAAAAATCTCAGAAATATATGCCAGATCTACAGCATAATGTTACAAAAAAAAATTTTTAAACAATCCTTGAAACAGAAATAATAACTCTACAGTCTTTCCAGGTAACAGAAAAGAATAGCACCTCTCTTAGGTTATTGCGAATCATTAAAAGTTTATTTACGGTTCCAGTTCCCAGATCCCCCTCCTTCCTTCCTTCCACCTTTCCGCGGCACAACCCTGCTCCATTGCCACAAGTCTGTTCCACCCCTTCCGAGTTCTGAACTCTCAACTAATTCCTGCTCAGAGGACAATGATATATTTTTCTTTTAATGGGAGACTCTTGAACACTTAAAAAGTGTCCAAACCTCAAAAACCCAAAGAAATGTGTCTCGAACAGTGGCATTTTCAGCAGCACAGAGAGGACTCCAGGGCAGGGAGTCCCCTCAGCCCCTTACACCTCCCCAGGTGCCCCCTACCCTCATCGCTACAGCAGGGAGGGAAGCAGTTTACACACTTCCCTCCCTTGGGCACTTGGGTGTCTGAATGAAACGCACGTTGAAGTTTACGTCGAGTCGTGTGCATTGCTAACGCCCCAGAGCTACATGCACTCGAAGTTCCAGTCCTCACAATTTCAACACTGATCTGGAAACAGTGTGATAATCCTAGTTGATAGGATTATCATTTTATTTGATCTTCATCACCAGGACGTGTTAGGTTTAATTTCCCTAAGACTGTAAGGACCCAAACTAAAACAGGACACTGGAGAGAGGAAACCCATGAACCTCCGGGCCCATAGGCCCCAAACTGTTTCTGTTCAGAAAAGTTACAGCAAAATTTGTCCCTGGATTGTTTCTTAAGCAAAAATGGGTTTTAAATTATACAATGTGAATTTCACCTATAATACGAATAATGACTTATGTGGGGATCAATTAAATTCTTTGTCATTTGTTTTCTTTTCACTTACAGAATAATAAAATTGAAAGCACTGACAGAAATGCTTCTAGAAAACACGTAGTACAAGAGGAAAATTACCTACAAAACCATCCACCAAATCTAACATCTTTTTCTTCTCGAGGTGCTTCCTTCCCTCAATTTCCTTCTATTAATTGCCCAGGCCCTTCTAATTTTACTGGTAAGCAAGGTCATTATTGCTACCAGATGAATCTTCCTTAATATCACTGTTATCCTCTTTCTCTTCTACCTAAAAATTTCCACTGGCTCCCTGTGGCTACAGAAACGAAGCGAAAACCTGTGCTTCGTACTGAAGGGAATCATCTGGCTGTAACGGTAGCAGCAGCATTTTTCACATGCCACACACTGTGCTAAGTGCTTTATATCATCTCATTTAATTCTCACAACAATCCCCAAGAGGGACAATCTATCGTTGGCCCCATTTTCTGGAAAATGAAACTGAGGTATAAAGAATTTAAGTGACTTTCCCAAGGTCACGTAGGTTTCACGCGGGGACACCCAGATGTAAACTCAAGCAATCTGATGTAAGAGCCCATGTGCTTACATGGGCAAACTATGACTTGCCCTTCGGGGAGACAATCTTGTCACTGTGCCGCAACTTGCCGCTTTCACTCCCACCTCAAAGATTTAGCTCACACCCTTCCCCTTCTATAGTCCTTTCAAAACCCACCCATCCTTGAAGGCCGCTCAGCTCCACACGCTCTGACTTCACGCCCTCTGTCCACTTCACAGCATGTACGACCTGCTCTGCTGATTTTAACCCTTCATTGTAGTCTTTCTGATGCTGTTACGTAACAGCAGATGTGCCTACAGTGCATCATCCCCCACCTAACACACGCCCACAGGGCAGGAACAGTCAATGGCACCTACAGCAACGCTCAGCGAGCATTAAATAAATGGCTGCTAAAAACACAACTGCAAACCACCACGCAAAAAGAATGTCGTGAACGTCGCAGGCACCCATTTTTCGACCAATGTCGTGTGCAAGCATAGTTACAACAGTATGTCTTCCTGAAATCTCTAAGCCATATTCCACAGGGCTTTAGAAATGGCACATGCAAAATATTAGTAAAACTCAAAAGAGCACATGGTTTTTTGACCTTTGATGGACGCACGACACACACCCAGAAAAGTGGACGGAGGAGTCACTCGGTGTGCTGATAGCTGTGCGTGTGTCCTTACCTGCCCAGTCCAGGAACTCCACGCACTCGGCCTGGGAGTACCGAGCAGCAACGTCTCGCGCGCTCTCTTCCCGGAAGTTCAGAGCTTCTATATCAACGTCCAGTTCCACCAGCGCTTTCAAGGTTTCCAGGCGTCCCCAGGCAGCAGCGCAGTGCAGGAGCGTATAACCTGGCGCACAGGAGGGAGACAGCCAGGTCTCAAGACGCAGGCTGCGCTCTTCAAGACTCACCTTGCAAGGGCGCAATTGAGCATTTACTCTTTGCCAGCTTACGGTGTGCCAAGGACTGTGAGATACTTATATGTATCTTATTTAATCCTCATGACACCCTCTGAGGAAAATATAATTAGCAGCCCCATTTTGCAGGTGAAGAAACAGAGACACAAAGCGGTTAGGTAACTTGCCCAAGTCACACAGCAAATAGCAAAATCTGTGTTCTTAGCTACTATGCTGTATCATATCAACGCATACACACACACACACACACACACACATTCTCATGTATGTGGACATACATAATATATGGAAAGTATAAACCAGGTGCATCCAATGTATCCAACGTCAAAGATAATAGCTACACCTCTAGGCAGTCATAAGTGATACGGATGAGAGAAAACAGACAAAATACCTCTGGCCGTTTTTTCATTCAGATTCACCCCGTATTTTGCCAAAGCCCTAATCACATCGCTTTGCCCAGCCATGCAAGCTGCGTACAACAAATTTCTCCCCACGATGTCTTCTTCCAAGAGGAGCTGCATGGCCTGGTGGTGATGAGGGTTCTCGGGGTCCTCAAAAACCCCCTGCAGGCCTTCCACATCCCCTGTGAGCACTGGCTGTAAGAGGGGGTTCACGGGGCCTCCTTCCTCTGGCTCCTCCTCCTCTTCCTCCTCCTCCTCCTCCTCCTCTTCTCCTTCTTCCACTTCATCTCCTTGCTGTGATAAAAATGCTGATTTTTCTGAACTCTCTGAGTCTGGGGGCCCCTCTGACTCCATTAACTCCCAGATTACCTGAGACCAAAAAAAAAAAAAAAAAGTAATACAAATCTACTCGGACAAATCAAAATTTATTTCTTTATTCGGTCAGTCCACTGACAATATAGGTGGGATGAGAATTCTTAACTGGTTGAAAATAATTATAAAGTAAAATACTTCATCCATTCAATTAAAAAAGCTTATTGTGTACCTACCGTCAGTGAATACAGTCAATACGCTGCCTGAATATATATTAAAATACTCACTATGTGATAGAAATAATAAATTCAATAGAAAGAGGAAAAGACAGCAATATGGGCAAGATTCATTGGGAAAAGATTGAAAGAGAATGTTAGAGACTCACCTGCCTCTCACCTGGTCCATACTGGGGAGAAATAAAACAACACAGTTGGATCACTGCAGCCAGATTATCAAGACCTTAAGAAAGTAGGCGCTGATGTTTAGACAGAACTCAGTCGCTCAGTAATGCTTACTGAACACTTACTAATACTGTAAACTAAGTGCTGGGTAGGCATCATATAAATCACAAAGAAGAATCAAATTTATTTCCTGCCCTCAACAATGTATTTTTTCAAGAAAGAAAAGGAGAAAAGGCGACATGTATAAAATAAGTGCAATAAAAGGTGGCAAATGGTTAAGTATAAGTGATGGAGTGCCATGGAAATTTAGAAGGGACAAGATTCATTCCAGATAGACTTAATCAAGAAAGTCTGAATGGCGCTCACCCTGGCATAACACAGGTTAACTTGGGAATGGTTCAGAGGGGAGGGGCATGGCCCCCTCACATGTGTGAGAATGCTCGTAGCAGCATCGCTATTCATAGGGCAAAAGCCCGGGTGGGGAAAGAAACATGATTCCCACCAACAGGGGCATAAACGATGGCATATGTACACAAGATAGCATGTGGCCGTTAAAGCGAGTAAATTACAGTGGTCTACCATGCGCGTGGCAGCTCTGACATGGCTCCCAAGCCCCTCCGCCTGCACGCTGGTACCCACACTTTTGTGTCCTCCTCTCCTCATGAAGGCTAGACATGGTGGCTTTCTTCTAATGTGATGGAGTGTCACTTCCACAGTCCGCTTACAACAGACTGTGACTTCTGTCTTATTGGTATTCTCTCCCTGGCTCTTCTCAGGCGCTGTGATGGAGACGGCCGCCTTTCAAGAAACGGGGCAAGCTCTGGCCACCCGCCCGTGAGGAACCGAGGCCGTCAGTCCAGCCGCACGCGAGGAACTTAAATTCACCAGCAACTTCTGCGTGAACTTGGAAGTGGATCCACCCCAGTTGAACCTTGACGCCACACAACACCTTGACTGTAGCCTCATGAGAGACCCTGAAGGTGAAGATCCAGCTGAACTATGTACCCTGATTCCTGACCCAGAGAAACTATGAGATGCCGAGCATGTGCTATTTTAGGCTACCGAGTTTCGGCGTAGTGTGGTAAACAGCAATAAATAACCAAGGCACACAACAACATGAATGAATCTTGGCAATATAATATTAACTAAAAACATACACCCAACAGATTATATATATCAAGGTATATTTTTGTGAAGTTCAAAGCCATTACAATTAAAATAGACTTTTTAGGAATACAATGAATACAGTAACACTATTTTGTAAAGAAATAGAAGAAAAGCCAGATTGAACACGATTCAGGATAATGTTCCCAGGGGTGGGGTAGAAAGGTGTGGAAAATGGAATAAAGGGAATCATATATTTAGTAAAGAATACGGCATTTAAGCTGGGACATAAAGAATGGGCAAGATTTGGTCATTGAGAAGGAAGGGATATCTAGTTAGAATAAACATATCTTTTTACGATAGCCCTACATTAATCTCAGCCTTCACAAAATGTGTACAATACTTGTAAGGTGTTGAAGTTAGGAATCCTTTGATGGCAAAGAATAGAAAAACCGTAAGACTGCCTTTTTAAAGTAGATTAGTTTCTCACACAAGAAGAAATTTAAAGGTGAAGATGATTTAGCAGCTCAAAAATATAAATCCAAGCTCTTTCTATTTCTGTATTCGATCATAGTGTGTAAGACTTTCATCATCATGGCATTGCCTCGTGGTGACAAGATGGCTGTCGTAATTCCTGGCATCGTGTCTATATTCATGATAGAAAGATAGGGGAATCCCAAGAGGACACCAGTGGCGTCCACCCCCTCTAAGGGGAAAGCAAATCAAAATCTTTCTTATCAAGTCCCAACAAACTTCCAATTATATCTCACAGGCCAGATCGTTGTTCCTCTATATTTAAGAGATGCAAAACGGGAAAGAAAAAAAAAGAAAAAGCTAGTTTCTTCCTGCCTCTATAAGTAAGCAAGGTATATGTGATTAGGAATGCTAATTAAGTTAGCCAACCAACTATGACTCCACCATAAGATTTGGTCTAAATTTTATCTTTGAGACTGTTACATTTGATTCATTTTACCGAATGAATTCTCTACCCTCCCAACACACACACACACACACACGCCTGCTACTAGGCCTAAAATAGTTCCCCCCCCCCATTTCTACTAGCCAAATCCTACTTAGGCCAAGCTAGTAACCTACCTTCTTCCTAAAACTTTTCTTGATTCCTCTCTAGAAAATACCTGGACCAAGTACATGGCAAGCACTTGGTAAGCAGGACCTATCATCATCATTAAACTCTCATCAATCCTCCCACAAAAACATCAATAAAGCAAAAGAAAATATGTCAATGCTATTATTTCTTCTTTTTCTTTTTAATACACAGTTTTACCATGTAGAGTCTTGAGTAAATAACTTTCAACTCTACCACACCAAACCTTGATTACAGACAGGGATTCTGCATCTAGAGATCAGTGTCATCCCAGGTTAATTCAGAGATTTGGAGATAAACCAGACCAAATCTGGAAATATGATTCAGGCCAGAATACGCAAAGCTACCCTTGGTATATCCTTAAGTGGGGCTTAATTTCCAAATCAGCACAGAACTAACACAATTAGAACAGCAGTTCTCAAATTCTTTGATCTGAGAGCTCTTTACAGTCTTAAATAACTTTTTGTTTATGTGGGTCATATCTATCGATATCTATCATATTAGAAGCTAAATCTGAGAAATCTTTAAAATAATTAATTCATCTTAAAACAATGACATGTTAGCATAAAAATATAGCTTATGTAACATAACTATGTTTTACAAAAAATACTGATGAGTGTCACTATTTTACATTTTTGCAAATCTCTTTAATGTCTGGCTTCTTGGAAGCCAGATGGACCCTCCTATCTGCTCCTGCATCCGCTGTGATGACACGGGATGCTGGGATATCACATGGTGCAGCCCCTGGGAAACCACCCTAACGTGAGACAATTAGCGCAAAGGCACTCTTCGTCGGAGAATGTGAGGATCATGTGACTGGTGGATTCCGGGGAAATGTGTTAGGGGTCCCCAGGGATTCCTCAGACCACACTCTGAGAACCTCAGGAAACCATCTCAAGGAGAGGATCAGAGGAGGTTACCTGAGGACCGAAACATTTGTGTATGAGAGAAATTAAGCATCAGCCACAGCCTGAGCTAAAAGCAATGGAACATTTCCATTATTTTTTCTCCCTAATCATCAAAATAATTGAGGGCTCATGGAAGAAACGAGATCTGTCATAGACAAAAATAAATTAGATTTCCTTTGCCCATAAAAGTTTTAACGTGAATCAAAATTGCCACCCCACTCCATTTAACCAAAAGTTCATAGAGAACGTGAGAGGAGAGGGGGCTGGGCCATGAAGGCGGACGGCCTATGGGCTGTGGGTCGGAAGGCACGTGATTCGGATATTAACTAATTAGGTGACTTTGCTGAACTCACTCTCCTCATTTGTCAAATGGGAATAGCACCTGCTCCGCCTGACCGAATTAGTGTAGGAAAAGAAGTCTATGAAGTCTTCCTTTGATCTATAAAGTTCACGTGAACTCTTTTGAGGCTGCTCATATAATAATAGAAAATGACAGAGGCCACGGTCCCTACCCCACTGGCCTTCGCAGCCTAGGGCGAAAGCCGCAGTTCACCAGCGATGACAGAGGGCCACAAGGGGTATAACGGGGAGCAGCAAGGGGTGCCCTGAGAGGAGAGAACGGACATCTCAAGTAGGCTCAGACTTGGCAGGTCCCAGAAAGGCTCTCCAGAACAAGCGACCCTTCAGTATTGAAGAGCAGGCGTCTTCAAAGGAAGCGAAAAGGACAAAGGGCTGACAGGAGCAGCAGAAAGAAGGGGTGAGGAGGCAGTCAAGGCAGCGCGAGGCTGTAGCGGAGAGATAGATTGTCAGGGCCTTTTACACCAATTGCAGTTTTTAAAATGTAGTCTCTTGAGAATTGTAAGCCTCAGCTCTGGGAGAGGGCACCCAAGGGCGGACCTGGCCCCCAGGGTTAAACAAAGGGGAGGCCTGGGGAAGTTGGTACAGAGTGGCAGCGCCCCGGCACGACCCAAAAGGTCCGGCGGAGGGGCTCCAGAGCTCGCCTTTCGGCCTGAATCCCGCGGGGACCTCCCGGAACCACCGAGGATGCCCGCGAGGCGAGACCCGCTACGCCAAGCTCCGGGCACAGGCAACCCCCCCCCCTCCAACCCCGCTTTCCAGCTCCCGCCCGAGCAGCAGGGCTGCGAGACGCCCATTTACCCCACACCCACCTTGTCCTCGGTGCGGGGACCGAGCCTTCAGCGCTACCGGGACAGCGGGCTTCCGCGGTTACCATGGCGACGACGCACTCGGAGGGCCTTAGCACCGCCCCAAGAGCCACGTTCTCGGCTCTGCGCGCAGGTCAAAATTGCGAGGTGGGAGAGTGAGAGGGGAACAGGAATGGGGACGGTTAAAATCCAAAGGATTACCGTTGCTGTGTTCTCAACGTGGTGTGCGGTTTTTTTTATTGTGTACATTTTCTGTAGTGTGGACTATATTTTACAATTTTAAAAATGAACTTTAAATATCAAGTGTGTGCATTGGTAATTGGCCCATCCTAATCTTATCTTCGACTTTTAAATGGGGAAGAATTTTCCAGAAATATTAGGATGCATTCTGAAAACTACTGAAAATCGTAATTATAACGGACAGCTTAACTTTCTAGTCTGTTGGAGATCTTTGGATCTTTGTCCTGTGTTTTGTAATCACTGTTACCAAAAAGGAGCGTTTCCTGAAACCACACAAGTGCCAGCTCCGGGAGGAGTGGAAGGAACTTGGAAACTTTCTCGATTCTGGAATTTAAGATCCAAAACTGACGACTTTTTAAAAAGGGGTAGGGATAGCGGTGGGCCAGATATCAAAAGAAACCGGCAGAGAAGGGCAAAGCTTACCCAGAAATTACATAAATGTTTACATAGATCAGAGTGAAGACAGAGAGGTCTTTTGTTTGTTGTTTCTACTGAAGAGAAACGGTGAAGGAAAACATTCATTTCTTTACTGTTTCTTCAAGAAAATCGTCTTATATTTTACAGGAGCTCAGAACATTTGAACTGAAGGCTGAGTAGCTTAGATTTCAAATGAACATTTGGCCTAAAAACTTCCAGCTGCTTACAGGCTAGTTCTTTTTCTGTTAACTGCCTGTTCACATTTTTTGCCCAATTATATTATTTGTTTTTTCTCCAAATAGGAGCCATGCATATACTACACTATGGATCCTTTGTGGATTATATTGAAAAGTTTTCCTAATCATTTTCTTACATCCTTTGTATTTTCCATAGAAAAATTTTTTATGCAAATTTATCAATCTTTTGCTTCTAGATTTTGAGTCATAATCAGGAGAGTTTACTCTTAATAAATAAATTCATTTATGCCTTCCATCCATCTTGTACTATTTTTATGTTTTCAGCATTTGCATTTAGACTTCTGATAGATTTGGTTATTGTGTAGAATAAAGATCCAGCCCCTTCACCCCAACAATGACAACTCTAAAGGGCCATCCAGCTTCAGAGCTTCCCATAGAGTCTTCAGAGGCCTTTGTGAAGACTGCAAAGGAGCCCAACTTCTTACATGGAATGGATCCAACTTTCTCTCTTTCCATATTTGTATCAGCACCATTTTTGCAACAGCCCATATATTCCCCAGATTTGAGATATCACGTTCATCACATACTAAATTTCCATATGTTCCTAGGCCTCTTTCTGGATTTCCTACCCTGATCATTATAATTTACTTCTCAAAACAATTTTATAAAAAGGGTGTTATTTCCCTTTTACCTAATCCTTCAGAGATTAAGCAATCTGACCAAGATCACTAAATTAGTCAGTCACAGGACTAGGATTTGAAACTATTGTGTCTGGACCCAAAGGCCATGCATTCCCCACTACAAGCTAATTATCAAAAGGTAGTCGGTAGTCTTTCCCTTTCAGAACCAAGTGGACAAGCTTTTGTAGATCCTATGTGTAGATCAGCTAAAGAAAATTTGATTAAGTTCATTCTTAGCCTAGGATAGTTACTAGGAAACCAGCAAACAGTCTTTTACTGATACTGCTGAAATTGTATTCCCTACTCTAGCACTTGTATATTTTCTAAATATATAGTAAAAATCAGGTAGCTATGTGCTGTAGGAAAATCTGGCAAAGGGCAAATTGAAAGGATCTCCCCTCACCCCACCCCAATACTAAAGTAAGTTCACAGAAGTGTTTATTTAAATGTCTGGTGGTCGATATTAAGTGGAAGGACGAGCTGACGTAGCCTCAGAATCCTGGGCAAAACTCTGGTGTCTTGAAAGCTCACGTGTGGGAAATCCGAATGGTCGGGTATATTGCTGGTTTGGGTGTGTATCCTCGGCAGTTTGCACATAGTATGTGCCTAATAAATATAGGTCGACCCCATGGATGCATGCGCCCGTCAGTCATTCAGGCCACATTTAGGAATAAGACTGTGCCGATAGGAGACTCACCTGCTACAACCATATCAAAATCCCTAGCTTTCCGTGACTTCTCCCATCTTTCTGCTGCCGTCTGCTGGAGAAAACAAGGAGGAAATGGGGAGGCTACAGTATTCAAATCCTGCCAGGTCAGCGATGAAGCCGCAAAGGGGTCAGCCTTGGGATAAAACGAACTGGATGCGAAGACCGGCGGTGCTTGCGGTCACCTGCATCTTCTGCAGAGAGAGCTGTCGCTTCCTGAGCCGTCCCGGAACTTCGTGGCGGAGCAAGTGGGTTCCAGGGGGAACGCTTTAAGATCTGGACCACTTCCTTCCGCTGAACAGGGGTGAGGGACCGGGAGGAAATAGCTCGAGAAGCGGCACCCTACTTGCGCCAGCCGCGGCGGCGGAGGAAGCGGAGAGGAAGCGGCGGGGCGGAGGAGGCGGGGGAGGCGGGGGAGGCTGCGGCAAAGGAAGAGTGTCCAAGCCGGTAAGTTAGCTGCCCTAGAGAGGGGACCGTGGAGAGCGTCCCGGGCTCACTTTGCAAATCTGTGGTCCCAAGTTGCCGAGTCGCCGGGCGGAGTACGGGCCGAGCCTCGCCCGCCGCCTTGTCAGTGCGCGGAGGGACTGTTGGGGCGCGGGGCTGGGGCTGGGCTGGGGCTGCGGCCCGGCCTCGCGGGGCACCAGGCAGCGCTGTAGTTGGCTGACAGCCCTACCCCGGAGCCAGGGGAAGCGCTGGGCGGTCCTGCCTGGGGGCTTTGGGCTTCCCTGGACAGCTTTCCCGGGCAGGGGCTGGAATTCGGGAGAAGCGTCCCAGTTAACCCTGGGGGACCTAGCGAGATCTTGCCAAGTGGGTGGTGGACATTGTGTCGGGGCCAGGGGAGTGCTGATAACGAGCCGTAGTTTCTCCGTACTGTTCAAGCTGCCCGGGCTGTCGGAAGCAGAGTTGTTTTTAAGGGCAAAATGCCCGCCCTGCTTCTGTCACTTCTGGCCAAGTTAACAGCTTTCAGATCCGCTGTGAACCAGCCCATTCCCTGTCGAAGCTGTCACGTTAGTACTGCTGCGGGTGTCAGGTGAATGCTCTGCGGGCGTGCCTGACGGTGAGGTCAGAGTTACACGTCTCCCAGCACTTTCCGGAGAGAGACAGCACTAACCTGGCGGTCGGGGCTGCTCGGTGCGCTTCCCCTCACCTTCGCTTGTGACCGGTGTAGCTTCCAGAGTAAGGAGAGTCACCCTGAAGGTTATGACTGTGCTTCTGCCAAAGGCCTGTGAAATAATAGGACATGGTGTTGTCACTGAACGAAATGATTATATGGAGATTGTTACTGGGAAGATCAGAAGTAGTTTGTATTAAGTTGCTGCTTTTCTGTTGTCTTAGGTTCGGCTTTAGAGTGTGGTGAAGGGGACTTTTCATGGTGCATGGAAGGAAAGCCAATGCGCAGGTAGGCACTTAGGGAGAAAGCCTTCCGTTTCACTGATTGGAATCCAGCATGTAATAATTCAGTGCTTCACTGAATGTAAAAGGAAAAAAAAAAATAAAGGTTTACAAATCTTACCAAATTCTGCTTGAAACTAATAATTCTTGTTCTAAAATAAATCAAAAGTAATATTAGGAATTAGCTTTTTCAATAAGGTAACATATAGAACTTAAATTTCTAAAGAGTCCTATGAATTTTGTGTAGTTAACATTTAAATTTTCCTTTTTGTGTGGTAATTTTTTATGATAATCATTAAGTGTACTATGATATATGGGTTTATTGTAGTCCTCAGTTCCCTGTAGAATGTAGAGAGTTCTGTTGTCACATAAGTATACAATATAATGGTTATTTATAACACACTGTACTGAATGTCTAATTATGGTTTTAGTTTTTTCATTGATATTCAATAATACATTTGTTCTGCTAATTAAAATAGCTGCATTGCAGGGAAGATTGAGGAGTAAAAAAAGTATTGGATATAATAAATTAGCCCATAGAAAAGCAGAGCAGCGTGTGGGAAAAATACAGACAAGTATAGGTCCTCCCAACCCTCAAATTGAATGTGCTAACAAATAGGACATCAGTCCTTACTGAAGCAAAATGAGCCCCGTTCGGTGTTTTCATTTTTTAAACTCATTTTACATTCATGAACTATATTTAATCACTTACTTAACATCAAAAATAAACAACTGTGGCAGACCTTTTAAGAAAAGGAACATTGCGTGATGGGGGTGTGACCTATAACTTAAAATCAGTAGCAAGAACCAGAATTATCTTTTCCCAAATCTATTATTGATTTTTTTATTCACTCTGAGCTGCTCACCTCTCTGTGCCCCAGTTACTCCTCTAATGTATCTGGCTGGGAAATTGGGAATTAATGACTGCTTGCAAATGCTTCGAGATCTCCAGATGTTAGGATGTTATAGATGTACATCTCTTGTACATACATCTTGATGTACAAGAGATGTTATGGATGTAACAAATGCCATTATCTTGTTCATATCTTACTCTATAGTGGCAGTATTTGACTGAAAGTGCATGACATTAACAACATATATTAATACTTATCACTTCAGCTGTTAAAAGGGTTACAAAAAACACTGATTTCTTTTCATCCTCAGCTGCTATAAATGTTATATCTTATGTAATTGCTAAAATAAGAGCTTATTATTCTTTCAAAAGAAAAAGCACAGCGTGGGAATGTTTTTTATCAGTCATTTCTGTATAAAACATTCATTTACTCACACCCGTCTTCTCTGCTTTATTCTATAATACTGCCAGTTATTCAGAATCATTTTGGAGAATTCTGCTACCGTTAAGTGACAGCTCTTTCTTCATTCCCGTCACTCGGCCAAAGCCCGGCCCACGCTTTGCTGCCTGGTTTTACTTTTCCCGGACGTCTGCATTAAGTCACGGTCACCCTTCCAAAGGGTGTTTCCTTGCTGGGCTGCCATTCCAAGTAAAGCTGAGTTTATACTTAGATGCTATTGGAGAAGTTTTGAATGAATGGTAACTCTCTCCATTGAGATTATTTGGGCCCCTACTCTTTCTCGCTACGGGTGTGTGAACTCTTTGAGTCTCATTTGTCTTCTGCATCCTTGTAGCCCTGGAACCTAAGGGTCACTGAGTGACTGGGTGACTGAACAGCATCTGCAGACACTACCCCTGGGGACAGGGACTATGAGCAAGAAAAGATGGGAAATTATTGTCAAGGGGATTCTAATGCATAATTATAAAGTTTTGTGAAATTAATTGAGATTTTTTTTTTTTTTTTTTTTTTTTTTTTTTTTTTTTGGCTTTTCTTAATTTTGGGCCTTTTGGGCCAATTTTATTAGTAAAGCTTTATTCCATTCATTTATTTAGCTGTGGTGGGTACATGCTATGTAATTTTAAAAAAATCAAATGGGGCATTCCATGAAAAGTCAGTGTCCCAGTGCTGACCTCGGCTCTCGGCTTTTCTCTCCAGAGGCGGCCACGGTACGCGGTTGTGCGCATTCTTTCCCAGGCAGTGCAGGGCATGTACAAGCATGTCCAGAACATCTCCCCTATGCAAAAAAACACCAATGTCAGCATACCGTGCGTGTCCTTCTGTATCTTTCTTTTTTCACTTCACAGATTATCTTGTAGTTTGTGACAAATACGTACAGACCTACCTTATTCTTTTTCATAGTTACATAGGATTCCATCTTCGGTATGTACCATAGCTAGCCTGTCCTTTTGAGAGACATTTAAGTTATTTCAGATATTTTGCTGTTAGAACCAGTTCTACAATGAATATCCAAATGTGCAAGTATAGAATAAATTCTTAGACATAAAATTGCCCAGAGAATATGTGCATTTTCAGATTTTGGTAGATGCTAATTCCCTTCCTTAGAGATTATACCAACCTACAATCTCACCAACGAGGTGTCTCTTTCCCAAGATGTCTTTAATCCTTTATTCCATTTAGAGACACTAAAACATTTCGCACTCTACTTCTTCCACCTTTCCTTAAATATACAAATGGGAACCAAGCCTGACTTTATTAGGAAGTAGTTTGTTCACTCACCAAACGTTTACACGGTGCCCAGTCGGTGCGTGTCCACTGCACACAGGCAGTGGAGTGAGAGAAAGACCCGTAAGCGGCACCGTAGCTCAGCGGGGACAGGATTCTAACAGATGTAAACGCAGAGGAGGGGACCTCTGCTCTGTGGAGAAAAGGGAGCTTCACAGAGATGGTGGTGTTTGAGCTGGATCTTCTAGAAAGGATAGGAATTTGCTTTAAAGTCAAGAGGGAAGGAAGGAGTGGGTGCAGGGGAAGGGAAGGGAAGGGTCAAGTCAAGGAACATGTATAAAGGACCCATGGACAAAGCCACAGTGGGAGAGGATTGAGGGATGGAGGTGGAAGGGGGAGGAGAAAGTGGTGGCAGGAAGGTGGAGACAAATGTATTTGAACAATAAAAAAAAAAGAAAAATATTTTTATATAAAAAAAGTAAAATGTACTTAAAAAAATAAGAATTTAAAGAAGAGCAATAATAAAAGGCACCATAAAAAGAAAGAACAGCTGTGCCAAAAAACAGACAACAAGAACCTGAAAGAGTATGGCATGCATGGAATGGTAAGTATATCTGGGGTGCAGAGTATGTGGGGGACGCAGAAGGGGAAGGAGGAGGACGAGTCACGGGAAATGAGGCTGCCACCGTGGGAAAGAGTTTGGCTTTACCCGCCCGGCATTTAGGAGCCATTGGACTTTTATACAGATCGGATTCGTTCTTTGGGCTGATATTTAGGAAGCAAGGGCAGGGGCTACAAAGAGGGAAGAAATGATGGCAAAGAAACTAACTTAAGGAGTTGTAGTCGCTTAGACGAAAGCAGAGGGCCTGGAACAGGTCTATGGTAGTGGGGGTTGGGAGAAGAGGATGGAATTGAGAGTTTAATAGCAAAATGAGAAGGATTGGTGAAGTCAGAGTTTCAGCTAGAGACACTAAGCACTGCCATGATGAGATAAAAGAGGCCGGAAGAGGAACGGGTTTCAGTAAGCCAAAAGCAGGTTCCCTTCGCACACTTCCCGCTTGTCATGTCTAGGAAACAGCCCGGTAGAGACAGCCAGTGTGCACTCGGAATATGGGTCCTGGGCAGAGGAGCAGTTTGGGTTGGAGGCTTTTTTTTTTTTTTTTTTTTTTTTAATTGTGAGTCATCAGTGTGCAGAAGGTTCTAGAAGTTGTAGGCGTGAATGAGGGTAGAACAGAAGGATGCCAAAGGCAGAACCTTAGGGAGTACCAGGGGTACTTACAGCGCAGCGTAAGATGAAATCCTGTAAAGATTCAAAATGGATAAGAAGCTTTAGGTCTGTTTTTTTTTTTTTGCATCTAGAGTTTTATCAATAATTTTCATTCACAGTGAAGATCAGATGAGCTTCTCCTTGAGTTCAGCTTCAAAAGACAAAAAAAAAAAAATCACATTCAGATCTCATATCTTCAGAATTTCCTACTTATTCTAGTCAGTCTAAAATGTGTACTTAAAAATAGTAGTGTAAGATATGCTGCTTGATCTGGCTGTTCCTCGCTCAGCGCCCCTCCTTACCTCCCTCTCCCGTAGACATAAGGCAGTTGAATATCACGCTTGATGTCTGCATCTTTACCCTTTGGGATGGCTGTGGGACAGAGCTGCCAGTAAGAGGTCAGGGAAGTCGTCTCCGAGGGCTCTCCGAGGAAGGCTTTGGCTTTCCTGATGTGAAGGGAGAGCCACTGGCCCGCGCGTCCTTTTTCCTGGCCTCCTCCATCTCGCCTTGATTGCTGGGCCAGGGCACCCACTGCTGACCCTCGTTTGGTCTTGAGGCTGAAGAATCCGTGGCCTATTTTCAGATCAAGGGTTAACGGCCTGTCTTTCTGGCATGGAATTGGGGATGGAAGGTAGTGCCTAGAGGGTCCCCTTCTAATGAGCAGAAGTGGCACTTACAATAAGAGAGATGCTATTTCTGTTTCAAAGATGTCTATACTCAAACCACTAGTCTCTCTATTCAAGTATGTTTAGGGCTTTAAACGAGGGTCAAATCAGCTGAATCTTTTTTCTAAGAACAAGCTGTTAATTTCCATACTGACACAAAACTTTTGAAGTATGAAAGGAGTGCTGTTCATTTAGACAGAAAACAATTCCAAGCTAAGGAAAGATTCTGCTTTGGACTAAGAGGTGAAATTGATTATAAATGCTTTAGAAGCAGAGACTCTGTTTTCTAAACTTTTTATTGTGCTTCGTTTCAAATTATCTTAGCCACTTACAGAAAGATTTCCTCAATTAGGAATATTGCTTTAGAGTACAAGATCTGAGGAATGCGTGACATGATAGCTCTAAAATTTGAAGCTGACTCACACTCTTTGGGTGGATAGATATATTAATTACTGAGGGAGTTACCAAAGTTGTAATATTCCTTTGGTAAACATGAAAAATATTTTAGATATTTGATTTGTTCTTTGGTTTATGTTTCTTATCTGCACATGACTTGATGCTTCTTATTATCCTTTTAGGAGGCATCAGTATGCACGGGAATGACCCATCCCTTTACCTAGCCTGCATTTCCTTGACTTCCTAAATTCTTGGGACTTTCACCTTTACTCACGTCCACAGTTCATTTCTACTATTACCCAGTTAAACTCTCTCCGAAATCAAAAGTCCTAATAGTTTTCTGACCCTAATCTCTTGAAAGCTCACTCCATCTCTTCTTTGTCAAGGCCCACATGCCGTGGCCCCTTCTCTTTTCACCGAGTTTACTTCCACAGCCACTTCAGCCATTTTCTAGCCGTCACCTAACGCCTCCTTCTGTCCGTGGCATTTCCCAGCTGTGGGTTAATGCAGGCATGTATATTCTCCAGTCTGGGCTGTTGATTACCACAGGGAATCCATGCTGCTGTAGTCAGTCTTTAATATCATTTGGGCCAGCAGTGTCATCCAGCAATATTTCCGTGCCCTAGTCAAGGCTTACTCATTCCCCACAGCAGCTATTTCGTGTCTTACCCATTCTTCCCATGATCCTGTTACCACTCCACTCACTGCCAGGAAATGACCTACCACTCCAACTCCCAACTTCACAGAAGAAAAAAACAGAGAGAGGACATTCGGTGTGAACCTCCGCGCGCTCCTCCCATGCCCTTCCCCTGACCTCCGTGGTCTGCAGGCCAGCCCTCGGTTCGGCCCTGCACGCTTCCGCTCTTCAGGGACCTCATCATTTATTCTCTCTGTTTTATTTATATTTTTTCTTTTGTATCTTTCTTTTTTCTTCAATGTTTTTTATACTCCCCCTCTTATATTTTTAAACTTCTCCCTCAGTATGTAGTTATTTTTCAGGCTTTGACCTTTTTAGGCAGATATAGTGCTATACATCCCTTCTTTTCCCAGCCGAGGCTCTTTCTAGAAGTGCCCCCATACTCACTGTGTCTTTGTTCACCTTCAATGACGGCTGCTGTCGAGTACCTCAGGTTTTCACTGGAAGTCTGGGGACAATGGAGGGGCAAAAGTTTTTGGCCATTCATTATTTTCTCACCTGCTGTCTCTCTGTTTAGATCACAACCTTCCACCATCCTAAAAGCCTCCTTTTCCTTTTTCCTTTCCTTTCTCGTATAATTCTCCCTTCCTCCCCTTAACTCTCTCCGCTTGAAATTACTGTTCTTGTACTGAACAGTGTGGTTCTCTTTGTCATAGTCCTGATACCTCTAGAAGAGAGGTTAAAAACCAGACCCTCCTAGGTGTTTAGGGAGCTCAGTGCGTGGCATGACTTCACACAGGACCCTGGTGGCAGCTGGTGAACTAGGAGTCCAGGTCCTCCCAATGACGTTCAAAGTGTGTCCATTTCAAAACCAAAAAATACTGCGAACCAAGCACTTCTAATGGTCTTTATCATCCCAGGGCGCTCTCACCTTGCCTTTTGTAATTGAAAGGTCTAAATAAATGCTTAGAGAAGAATATAAATTGGCAAATGTGGAAGCAAGAAGACCACTTACAAGGTTATTATTTTAAAAGGTAAGGGTAGTCTCAATTAGGGCGGGGCTAGTAGGGATGTACAAGAATACTTGGATTCCAGATATTACTTGGAGACAGAATGACAGGATTTGCTGATGGGTTGGGTTGAGGTGTGGGAGGGAAGGAAGGATGCTAACATTTCCGGCCTGAGCAGCTGGAAGATAAAATTGCCTTTTATTGATCTCGGGAAGACCAGAGGAGAGACATGCATGGAGGAAGGAAGAGAATCGGGGAATCAGTTTTAGATATTTCACTGAGATACAGTGAGATTGAGCCCTGCTGGTTTGGCCCACAACCAATCGATGTTTCTCTCCCTCTATTTCTCCCTCCCTTCCCCTATCTCAAAAAATAAATACAATCTTTGAAAAGAGAGAGAGAGATGCTGAGTTTGAGTGATGGTGGGACGGTCCTATGGATGTGAACTGAGAAGTTACCCAAATCGGAGATAAGAGTCCTTGAGCCGTGCACATGTGGGTGATGGGAACCATGAGGTTACGTGAGCAGAGAGGACAGCACTTCGGAGAATGACCGCATTTGAGAGGATCCCTTCCAAGTTTGTTAACCACAGTTTATAAGAATATAGAAATTACCCATTACTTAAAGTCATAATCTATAATACAATAACAGCACTTTTTTGTGGGGAGGGGGGCTATGGTATACTTTTAAAAGAAATAAGTAGGTATGTAGAAATTAGTTTCCATATTGTACTTCGGTGAAACAAAAAATTGCTTATATCTGATTTCAGCAGTACCGTCCTTACATACATAATTAAGGTCGCAACAAACTTGCTTTAACTTCTACATGCAGTGCCAGTATTCCAACAGGAATTTTTGAGTTGGTCTTGCCTTTAATGGTGAGGTTTTTTAAAGCTTGATTGTACCACTGTTGGTTTAACCATGTGGTTCATTCTTTGAGCATCTACTACACAGCAGGCACCAGTAAGTACAGCGGTTAAAAGCCTCCTTCGTTGTACTCCTGTGGGGGAGGTAAAATTACCCTTTAACTGTTCAGCTTTATGTTTCAGCCTTTCAACAGTCAAGTGTGCACAGCACTGTTCCCTCCCGGCACCAGGAGTTAGGAACAGTTTGTGCTCTGGGGTTCACAGCCACCTCCAGGCTGTGGCCGAGCACAGAAAGGCTGAACTTATAGGTACTTGGGGAAAAAGGTTGGAGAAAGGAAGAACCATGCTCTAGGTTTCCCAGTTGATGCCTTTGGAATGCAAATGCACGGTTCTTTACTGTATATTCTCGCTTGTAAGACACAGTGGATTTAATGACAGCTTTTTAGGATTGTGAATGTTGTATTAAAGGTATGCAAAGCTGTTCTTACTAGCCGGCAACACAGCACATAGTATCCGTGTGATTGACACCTCAGTGTTCTTCAGCATCCCAGAGTTTTACGCCAAGCTCCCCTCTCATTCATAGACTAAAGAGGCCACTGAACTATGTCTGGCCCCACGCAACTACCACGCAACTACCCACAGCGCCCAGTGACACACTGCTTTTTGTAACCTGTGCTTGTGACTTGCTTTGTCTTGTTTTTTACTTTTTTAGAACCATTGTGATTGAGAGTAAAAACTGGAAACTAGGCATCTTAGGATAAAGGAAATGGAGTACTCCATACATATAGTTAATTTTTCAACCATGGCCTATTTTCCTTCTGATCTTTTCATGCAACATGAGCTATATTTTATACATTTTGTGCTGAACTTCAGAACAATTTAAAATATCACCCAGTGATAACAAGAAATAAGCATTTATATGTTTTAGGGAAATTACAAATATCACGACCTTGGTTAAACTGGATTAAGGAATTAAAGTCCATAGATCGTAATCTAGAAGTGTTTTTCATCCATTTTTATTACTGTATTGCAGGCAGTTGTAAAAGATACGGCCTAGTCTAGTCTGACTCCTGAGCTGGAAAAAGACTTGTCCTCCCCTTCATGGGAGCACACAGTAGAAGTGCTGTAATTTGAGATCAATACTAGTCATTCCTGAAGGACTTTCAGGAAGGTTACGATTCCAGAACTCTTAGAAAGGGAGCTCTTTGGGGCTTAGTTCTGTCTTTGGTTGCCCTCAGGTTTTGCGGGCTCGTGGCTCAGGAACACTTTCCTGCAGGAGTGAGCTTCCAGTGACACTGCCACCTTCTCCCCCGCCCAGGTGCACCAACATTCGACCAGGAGAGACGGGAATGGACGTAACAAGCCGCTGCACCCTCGGAGACCCCAACAAACTGCCAGAAGGGGTTCCCCAGCCCGCCCGCATGCCCTATATCTCGGACAAGCACCCGCGCCAAACCTTGGAAGTGATTAACCTCCTGAGGAAGCACCGGGAGCTGTGCGACGTGGTGCTGGTTGTGGGCGCCAAGAAGATATACGCCCACCGAGTCATTCTGTCAGCCTGCAGCCCCTACTTCCGAGCTATGTTCACGGGGGAGCTGGCCGAGAGCCGGCAGACAGAGGTGGTGATCCGAGACATAGACGAGCGGGCCATGGAGCTGCTGATTGACTTTGCGTATACCTCCCAGATAACCGTGGAGGAGGGCAACGTCCAGACGCTCCTCCCCGCCGCCTGCCTCCTCCAGCTGGCCGAGATACAGGAAGCCTGCTGCGAGTTCTTAAAGAGACAACTGGATCCTTCTAACTGCCTTGGTATTCGGGCTTTTGCTGACACACATTCATGTCGGGAGCTGCTAAGGATAGCAGACAAGTTCACTCAACATAACTTTCAAGAGGTGAGTCGTACTTAGCGGAGTGAATGTATTATTCATAATGTGTTTGCCAGGGGAGCGCTGTGGGTTCACACTCTGCTAACACATACATGCCTGGCTGGGTATTCTAACTCAATACTAAAGAAATAAGCTGTTATCAATTCTAAACCTGGTTTTTATTTTAAAGGCCAGTTTTGTGTTTATCAGTAAAAGTTAAAGTTTAGGAATTGATTGTCCCTGATCAGAGTCATAAAAGGCTAATCTCTAAGCCAGAATACAGTTGAGTAATTCACAAGGAGACAGGAGTCTGATGGGATACCTGGTATCAGTCATTGACGCGAAGCGTGTCCCTCCTGATTATGTAGATGATTCTGCAGAATAAATTATGGGTCAGAGGTTATTTGGTGAGTAACCAGAAAAAATGAAATTAGGTATTATTAAAATAATTTTTCATTAAACCTGTTATTCTTCATTTATTCATTCATTTAATAAATATTCGTAAAGCTGCTTCTGTTTTCAGCCACTTGCTCGGGAGCAAAGGCTGCGGTAATCAACAAGACCCCTGAAGCATCTGTTTTCGCAGCCCACAGCCTAGCAGGGAAGACAGCCGCTGAGTGTACAATTACACAAGTCAGTCAGCACAGAACTGGGCGCCACAGAGCAGCGGCCCTGGGTGATTTCGCAGTGTATCACAGAGCGACTTAACTTTGGTTCTAGAACAGCTCATGCAAAATTCTGAGACATAAAGGAGCAAAACTCATTTGAGGACTGGAAACAAACCTAGTGAGACTCTGTAAAAGGGGGATGTTACATAATGATTTTACAGAAGGAACAGAGCCAGACTGCGCTGGAGTTAACAGACCATGTTAAGAATTTGAAATTTAACCATTGAAGTGTTTTGAGCAAAGAAAAGACACGGTCCTTCTGCTCATCAGGGTAACCTCCAATGGATCAAAGACATAAAAATACAAAATGAAACCATGAAAATATTAGATGACATGGAGCAATTCCTTTCTAATCTTGAAGCAAAGAGGGCCTAATTGACTAACCCAGAAGGCATAGAAGAAAATATTGATAGATTTGACTGTATAAAAAAAAAATTCTGCACAGTAAAAACAATAATAAGTGAAAGACAAACTGGAACAAAATATTTGCAATTCATATCACAGACAATAATCTCCTTAATATACCAAGACCTCCTGTTGGTCAATAACCTAGACCAATAAAATGAGCTCTAAACAAGAAATTCATATTGCCCTTAAACATATGAAAATCTGCTCATGCTTGTTCATAATAACTGAAACATGGATTAAAACTACACAGAGTACTATTTTTTATCTATCAGATTGTAAATATCCAAAAGTTTGATTGCACACCCTGTTGACAAGCCCATGGAGAAAATAGCTACATTGCTAGTGTGAGTATAAATGGATACACCCTCTTTGAAAGGAAGTTCGGCAGTATCTATCAAAATTACACACTGCTGGCACACAGTTGACTGAGCAATCCGTTTCTGGAGACTTTGACTATAAATGTGCTGGAGAGGGGCACTGTTTGAGGGGGCAACATCACAGGTTTCAACGTAGAGGTAGTCAGTTGGAGACACTTGTGAGATATGTCTAGAGATATGAGCAGGCCTCTGTTTATGAGTCCACATCTTAGACAAGAGATTAGGCTGGGATTACAATTTAGGAGTCATCAATATAGCAATTAAGTCCCTGTAATTCAGCTATGGCTTGATCCTCTTTAGGCAGGATAGAATCCAGAAGCCATGAAAGAAAAGATTGATAAATTTGCATAAAAGTTTTAATCTTTTTAACAATGAAAGCACCTAAACAAACGGTAAAAAAAAAAAAAAAAAATCAATGTCAATGAAATCACCTAGCAGGAAGAGAGAATAAAATAGCCCTAAAATGTTCTAACATTACAGGGCGATAAGCCAAAGAGCAGCTGGCAGAGGAAACTAGGAATAAATAGGAGAGGAAAGCTAGGAGCGTGGGATCATGAAATGCAAAGGGAGGGATTATTTTAAGAAAGAGGAAGTGTACATATTTACAAAAACTGACTCAAGAAGAAACAAAACCAGAATAACCCTATATCTGTGAAAAAAATTACCATGATAGTGTGGGGCTTAAAATTCAGATCTCCTGTCAACTCCTGTTTGAGAAAGCAGATACTTTCAGTCATTATTTTCTTAACCTGGTTGTTTGGTTCAAGGATAGACTTCACTGCTAAATCTGCCCGAATAGTAGATCATTAATATCTCTTCTTGTTGGTGGAAGAGGAGAAGTGACATTTTAACCATACTTTGTTTATCAAAAGTATTTTTACTCTTTGTCCTTAATGCCAAACAGATACTCTCTCACACACGTTTTCATGTCTTCCTGCCATCTAATGTTTCCAGTAAGCGATGTCAGTGTCAGTACAGTGGGTCGCTTACAAACTTTAAACTTGGTAATCACCTATACATAACATTTGGTTTATAATCGCTAAGTTGTGGGGCGGGGCGGGGGGGGGCGGGGATCATGCTCTGACAAGATCCATAAAGAATGTTAAGGCACTGCACGAAAATACACAACACCCCGCTTGTACTTAAGTGAGAAATCCGAGTGAAAAGGAATTCAGAGGAAAGTAGGACGCAGCCGTGGGTTAACTCCGGCACAGGGTGAAGGCCGGCAGGCTCCATGGGGCAGCAGGTCCCGGGCTTGGCTCTGGGCTTGCTTGTTGCCGACAAAGGGTTGCCAGATATCATACAGAGTGTCCAGTTAAATTTAAATTTCAGGTGAATGACAAATAATGTTTAGTGTAACTATGTCCTGTATTTTTATTTGCTACAGCTGACAACCTGCCATAGAGAGTAGTACAATGCAGTTATTCTGGCTTCTAAGCAACCTAGCTAAGTTAAAGACGACCTATTTCATTTCCTGAAACCCAGAAGGTCTCTCCCTCAGGTGACTGAAACCATTTGCCATAAAAATTGAAGCGTTCATTAGCATTTTCTACTGTAACTGACCTTAGAGCCCTGAACTATTTTATGTTGGGATGTACATTTTTTTTTTCCTAACGTGCTTGGGAAAACATTCTTAATCAAATATTGGAATTGCTATGGCTTATCTCATATCCTGGTAAATATTCTGACTTTTCGATGAGCATGAAAATACCCTTGTCCCAAGAAGAACCCTCAGCTGCGCCAGAGGTCACACAGTTGGGACCTGAGCTCTTCACCGACCTGCCTGCATTCACGGCAGCAGGCGCGGCGCCATGCTCTGCAGGACGGGACGAACGGCCGGGGGAAGCAGCGTCCCCCCTCCCCGGGCACAGCGCCCTATCCCTCTTACTCTACGCGGTCACAGCAGGGTTTATGCAGTTCCTGAGCCCTGGGTAAAGAGAGATTATTGGTGTGTTGGTAGTGTACGTATATTTTATACACACACGTATCGGTGGGATGGACAGACAGACAAAGACCAGAGTGGGTCCGTCCTCAGAGGTTTCCCTGGGTCTCGCTCCCTCCTCCGCATACTCATTCCGGCTGGGACGTTGCTGACAGCCCTGTTCGCTGTTGGCCGGGCCCCTTCCTGCCCCTGCCCCAGACACTGCCCTGTCAGGGCTCGTCTTCCCCTGGAAGCTGTTCTTGAATTTTTATGTTTCTGGAGTTATAACTTGGTATAGTTAGTTGAGTAACTTTGAATATAAACTTTTTGATACTTCATTTTAGGGAAGAAAAGGCGTCATTTGTCTTAAATTACTTGAATCACAAATTATTATTTTTCCTAAATTTTGTGTCCTCTCTACTCTCCTTTGTATCCTTTTGAAATTAATAAACCTTATTTTTTTTAGAGCAGTTTCAGGTTCACAGCAAAAATTGAGCAGAAAGTCCAGAGTTCCTTTATACGCGGTCTCCACACGCACACCGCACACACGAACCACCCCCCACCCCCCGCCGCCGTCAACACCCCGAGCCAGAGGGGCACATTTGTCAGAACCGGTGAACCTAAATTGACACGTTACTATCACCCTAAGTCCACTGACTTGAGGGCTCTGTCCTGTTGTGCATCCTGTGTGTTTCGGCAACGCTGTGAGGACACGTCTCCTCCACTGTAGTGCTGTACCTGATCGTTTCATTGTCCTAAAAACAGCTCTGCCCGTCTTTGTTGTCTAAACTTTTCTTCTCCGGTACCGTTTTGAACTTCAGCTCTATTGAGAAATAGAGCATTGCATCCTCCCCCTTAAGGAAAATGTTGAGACAATAAATTAAGTATGATCACAGGTTTTTTTCTTTTATTCTTACCTCACTTTGAACAGGTGATGGAAAGTGAAGAGTTCATGTTGCTTCCAGCCAATCAACTCATTGATATAATATCTAGTGATGAGCTAAATGTTCGCAGCGAAGAACAGGTGTTCAATGCAGTGATGGCCTGGGTCAAATACAGCATCCAGGAGAGACGTCCTCAGCTGCCCCAGGTAGAGTGGGGATGCTTCCCGCAGAAACTGCTCTGCACTGGACGAGATAACATGTATTCAACTTGCAGGGGGAAAAGGGAAAAACAGATATTACTGCCCCTTATATTAGCCTGTAAGACCATCTTTCCAAATAACCAAGGAGATAAGTTCTCATCATTATGAACTGTTTGCTTCCTTGCTTCCTCTATTTTGCATCACCTCTAGGCTTCGGCTATAACACAGGTCAGAACCTAAGTGGACAAAAGGAACAAAAGAAAGCAAGGATGGCCTCTGTCAGGTTTCCCTTCCCTGTGGCTTGGAAAGCCCGTGACACTTTGAAAAATAAAGAGATAATAATGGGGCATAAGTGGTTACTAAATGAAATGTTTGAAGTTCTTTTTATTATGACTGTAGTCTTTAACAATTTGATAGGGTATTTTTCTAGATTACAAATAAAGAGGCCAGTTACATAAGCTAAGTATAAAGAGTGTATAACATTGCTGAAAGCTTAAAGTAGCATTTAAAGTGATATTAGTGTGCTTTGTTTTCTGATTATTCTAATTACCGAATTGGTGGTTAGAATAAATTTAAATTTAGTTTTAGTATTTATCTTCCCTCCCTCTTCATTATAGATTAATTAGATCAATAAATTAATTCAATTAAATCCCCAAACAATTGAAATCTGCCTGGGGAGCACGGGTTAGGTGTTCTCTTGCCTACCTGGCAGGTGGGTGGAGCCTTTGAGAGCGTTTGTTCCCTCGCAGGTGCTGCAGCATGTCCGTCTGCCTTTGCTTAGTCCCAAGTTCCTGGTGGGCACTGTGGGCTCGGACCCCCTCATCAAGAGTGATGAAGAATGCAGGTACGGGAAAAGACAACAGCCCAGCGTCCCAGTTTTCTCCTAATTTCCTTATTAGTATTGCTTCCTAAATATCGTGTTTCTTAGTGCTGAAAGCAGGGCAGTATTTAACAGGCCGTTCTCCTGGGCTAGGGTCGAGAGGAGGAGCTGGAAGAAGAGGACTAAACTTCCAGTATTCCATCCCATTAGCTTTTTATGCGTGGTGTTTATTGGTGTAGAAGTGGCAAAAAAGAGGTAGATCTCTAAGGTTTTAATGAAAGCTTGAATTTGAAGAGGCAATTCTCTGCTAATATAGTTTTTCTTGAGATAAATAATGCTGTTGATTCTGTCAAAAAGTGTGTCTGGAACACTTTGGCATTCCATCACATGCCCAGTTAGGGAACGGGACCAGCCTTGCTTTCTGAGACTGTGGACGAAGTTAAAGGTCTACCACACTCCTAAAGACGCTGTGGAAGGATTTCCACTAGAGTGTCGTAATGCTTATTGATTGAAACAACATGAAATGCTGTATTTACAAAGCAAACAAACAAGCAAAGCATCTACTTTATTGGGCTATCTCTGTAATGTATACAAAATTTAATAATCACTTTCCCCAGTTTGACAGACTTTAAGATACAGGTTCAAATCTGAAACCATATGGTGTTTTTAACCATCTTTTCCTAGCATGGGCTGGATATAAAAATCAAGGAGCAAGTCGGGGACTCAGAGCCCCGTCAGCTGCACCCTTGGGGGTCTGCCTGAGTGCCTGAGCGACTTGCTCTGCAATCAGGGGCCCTGGGGCAGGGGGAGGGCCGGAGGTGCATTCGCATTTCCTCTATAATCCAAAGCCTGCCCCCTTAACAGATTCGAGAGGGGGCCTTAGATGTTTGTCTTTTAAATTTAAAAAACAGACCAAGGACAGGTTTTCCCCCAGACACTTAGAGTGCTAGCAGAAAACCACAGGGATGGTGGGTGCTGAAGTCTGAAGCGAGGCTACACAGGTGCCCCTCCCTCGGATGGCACTGACTCTGAGGCAGGAAGTGGAGGTACTTCACAGAGTCCTTTGTTAACCAAGAAGCCCCTTCCTGAGGAGCTGGCCTCACCCTTTCCTGGCTCTGTGACCGTAGGCGAGCTGCTTCAACCCCTTTCCCAGCTCCAGGCTCTTCGCCTCTGTCGCTGGGGCTGTGGCAGCGCCCGTTTCATAGGCTGTGGTGGGGACTTTGTTCCTCCCCAGCAGAGTGGCTGAGAGTAAACTAGACAGTGCCACATAGCAAATCAGTATTAATGATGACATAGTATTTTTAGCAATCCAATTTTTAACCTAGTTTTATTACTTTAATTATCTACCAAATATCAAGTGCATGGCTGATATGCTTCTTTGCCAGAATCTAATGAAATAAATGAGAAAGCAAACCTTTGTAGGCTACTCATTGAGTTGTAATTTTTTCAGTTTCCCTAAGTTATTATTGGCCCCAAGCATGTGGAATCTATGGCTAGATTTGCCCTAAGATATTAAGTCATGATGGAAGTACCAATCAATCTGTGACTCCTTGTGTGACTGGCATCCTTGCTGTCACATTTGTGACCCTTGTAACATGGGCTGGCATTCATGACTTGGTCTGATTGGTGCTTGCTCCCCTTGGCCAACTTACACTTTGCTAAACCGTGTTGGGATTTGACTAACAATATCATTTAGACATTTGGAATAAAGTCAGAATTTTCTCCACAGAGACTTGGTAGATGAGGCTAAAAACTATCTCCTATTGCCCCAAGAACGACCACTAATGCAAGGACCAAGGACAAGACCACGGAAGCCTATCCGGTGTGGAGAAGTACTTTTTGCAGGTTTGGACCTTACTGTGCTTGTGACTAAACTGAACATTTCCCCACACAAAAAACTGTCATGTGCGTAGTCCTGTGGACAGTTGTGATACTCACTGTCATAAGAAACACGTAAGTCATTACAGAGCTTGACTCTTAACTCATGACCCAACAGTCGTGTTCTCCAAAACAGTGCTCTATTTTATAAAAATAAAAAACTCACTGCAGTGGGTGTTTTGTAAAAGGAATCATATGCATTAACTTATATATCAGTGTGCAGACGTCCTCATAATTACATGAAACTGTCTAAAAACAACACCTTACAATAAACAGCTCTGCTCCATCCTGGCTTTGCTGGCTGGACCGAGCCCGGGACAGCCTGCTGTGTCATTCTGCTCCCATTATTCGCCCCGGAACGTGTTGCTCCTGAGGAAAACTAGGAAGAAGTTACCATCCACCCATCATAACTGATGGAAAAAAAAAATCAGGTTTCATTTAAATCAGGACATTCAATTAATACTAAATGACAGTAAGTTTTGTGTATATTAACTTGCTTAAATTTGAATTGTGTTCTAGGATACACGCCAGGAGTTTCAGTATCAGAGGAAACTTCTTAAATTCCAAAATAAAATCTGGCTGCAATGTGAAGAGTTACGAGCATTTGAGGCAAATCAAATAGCCTAATCATTAAACCTCAGGCACAATTTAATAATGGAAGCCATTATAACCAGCTTTTTATTGGATTACATGGTTCCAAATCAAATTACTATCACTTCATAAACTATTCTTCGATACCAAAGAAAAACATAGGTCTTTAAGAAACCAGTGTACCTAAGGAATAATATTGCTGAAAAGGGATATATAATATTAGTTGAATATCCTGATTTAAATGTACCATAATAAAATAAAATGTATACTGTATATTGAGGTTCGAAATAAAGAAATGAATTTTCAGATCCACCTAGAAGGTTAGAAACATCCCTATTTTAGTCTAGCCCAGAAAGTTGTTGGGGCCCTAGACAACAGTAGTTCTCAAACGTTTTAAGGTTACAGTATCCTCAGCCTGAGTTTTTTACGCTTTAGAATCTAGCGCTTATTGGGATGGTTTGAAAGGATAACTAATTAAATGTGTCTGCCGTCACTGCACCTCTGCTCAGGGAGCACTCGGAGAAGCTTTATGGGGCTCAGCTTGAACTTGTTGCTCTGAGTTTTACTTATGAAAAATGTGACTTCTTCAAAAACGGTTCCTGATCTTAAATGTTATATTGGATATTATAGAATTCAGTCCAGACTACAGTTTAAACAGAAAACCAAATATTTTGTAATATAAATCATAAGAAATTTTGTATTAGGTTTTAGATACAAGAGGACCTATTAAGAGATCACGAGAAGAGTCAAAATCATTCTTCTCTAACAGAGTAAAAACAAAAAAAAAAAACAGACTTGTGAATTATGGTTCTTTTGGTTCTTAATTATACATGACATTTGTGTAGTGTTTTATCCTTTAGAAAGCAGTTTCTTATATATGTTATTTCATTTTAAGATTTTTATTCCTTACTTTACAAATTGGTAGTGTACAAGATTTTGCCAAGATCACAGCAGTTAGTAGAGGCAAGAGTCAAGCCTACGTTTTCTAACTAAATTCAGTGTTCTGTTCGTTAAATGTCACAGTAACTCCCAATCTAATTTAGGTTGGTATCCTTGCCCTTCTCTGTAAAATGGACCTAACACTAACTTATTTAGAATATTAAAGATTATAGCACTCCTACGGGAATAAGTAAAAGTCAACATGTTTTGATCTCCTTCTGGACGTATTTGCTAAGTCCAAGCATTAGGTCACAATTTAAAGGTAGCAATGAATAACACATTCTTTGCTTTAGGACGGCATTCTCCTGACCATTTCTGTTATTGCCCCAGTTGGTGGCTGGTGCAGCGGAGATGCCATTTCCAGTGTAGAACGATACGACCCACAGACCAACGAATGGCGCATGGTAGCCTCGATGAGCAAACGGCGGTGTGGAGTCGGGGTCAGTGTCCTTGATGACCTGTTGTACGCAGTAGGGGGCCATGACGGGTCCTCCTATCTCAATAGTGTGGAAAGGTAAGTGAGGCCGATTTGAGACGTTCTTCTCTACTGCTCACAGAGTTTCACTGGGATGTTAATTAGGAAACAGAGAGGCCTTGCTGCTTTCGTACCGCCTCTGGGGCGCTAGTCGGCAGCCTGGACCGCGCAGCGCTACACGCAAGTCCTTCATGATCCGACTGCCACGTGTTTCTCCAGTCTGTCTTCCCTGGCACGCCACTGTCCCCAAACACGAACATGCTGCTGCAGACCCACTCAGTCGCTTGGTGATCCTTGGACATGCTGTCCTTGTTCGTGCCTACTGAATGGTATTATTTATGTGAGGAAAATATGCGCGCATATAAAGAATACACGTGTGGATAGATATATACCTATTTAAAAGTATTTTACTGACAAGTCTTGTAGGATCTACACAAAAATAGGAAGAGACCAGAAACCAAGTGTAATTCAAAGGGAACTTTATAACATTCTGAAAAATTGGGCATCGTCCTGCAAACCTAAAGGTCACCAGTTAGATTCCCAGTCAGGGCACATGCCTGGGTTGTGGGCCAGGTCCCCAGTGCGGGGCACACAAGAGGCAGCCACACATTGATGTTTCTCTCCTTTCCCCTCTCTCTAAAAATGAATAAATGTCTTTAAAAAATTATATTCCTATGTAACTTATGTAAAAATGAATATAAAAATAAAAAATAAAATAGACTTTCATATGCTTTAGTTATTAATCAGTTGTATTTGGGGAAGAACATATACATATTATATGTCGGTGAATGTGTAAACACAGCCATGCTTTCTTTGTGCCATACAAACTCTGCTCTCGGTTCTTGGCAGGTATGACCCCAAAACCAACCAGTGGAGCAGTGACGTGGCCCCTACCAGCACCTGCAGGACAAGCGTCGGTGTGGCAGTGCTGGGAGGCTTTCTCTATGCCGTCGGTGGCCAGGATGGCGTGTCTTGCCTCAACATTGTTGAGAGGTGATTTTTTCAAGTCCTTTTTCATTTCTTAAAAGCATCTAGAAGGCTCTTTAAAAGAAACTGTTTAGGACACTAGGGGATCCATTGTTTACTAGATTTCCCATGGGCTTTAAGGAAAATGTTTTAAAGTCTAGAATGATGAAAGATATAACCTGATTATTTAAATTATGTTGTTATGCTGATTGAGCCTAACATTAAAGTGTTGGAATCATATTTTAAATTGCACTCTCTATATAATACCAAGCTTATCACTTCTGAAATATGTTCTTTTTTCCCAGTACTTGGGGTGTACTTACGTAAGAGTGCTCAGACTTCTCCCAGAAAAATGATTAAAGTAATAATTCTTTGTCTCATACATCTTATAAAGACTTCAAGTGTACTTAGAGAAATCTGGGTGAGCTGCCAAGGTTTATTTTATATTTTTACAAATCATTTAATTTTGGTGAAATAGAGTCTGTTCTCAATGTCATGCCCCATCAGTTCTTTGTCATTATAGCCTGGAAATTAGATTTTGGAGTCTCATGTGCTATGATTACTGGCATATTTCATCCTCGCTTCTTAAAAATGAAATGCTCATGCCTCCAGAATTTTTGAAATTGCATCACTAGTTGGGATACCATGTTTAAGCTGAAGAGTTTAACTCTGTCTTAAATGGAGATAAAGTTGCAAGTAACTCTTGAAAGCTATTCTAGTTCCCTTCTGTCTGTCAAGAAACTCATTTCCCCACTTTTAAAACTATCCAGGAGGATTCTTCTGCAAAGAGAACAGTAGCAATGTATAATTTTTAATCTCTCCAAATTCCCACATAAAAATAAATACAGCAATAGATAGCCAAGCTAAAAACCTATGGACAAGCTATGGAGCTTGTTTGCATGATAATATGAATGTTCTCAACACTTAAAAAAGGTTACAGTAGTAAATTTCATGTATAGTTACCATAATTTTAAAAAACCCTTTGGACATTTAAAATAAACGAGGGGAGAGGTATATCTGTGAACCCCAAACCCAAATGGCAGAGACAGACGGCCAGTAATGACATCCTTGTCTGTGTAGCAGGAAACAGAAGCGACTGGAAGCCTGACAGATGTAAGAACAGACACCCCTCAAAGAGCCAACACATATTTACTAGAAAGTGTAAGAGGAAAGTTGATGAACAGCTGTAATTAAGAAGGATTTTGCTCATTCCCAATATAGAGCAAGTGCAAGGGACCTACAAAAAGATCCGAAGGACAAGGGCTCAGAGGAGGGTTTCTCAGCCTCAGCGCGGCTGACGTCTTGGACCAGATAATCCCTGGCGGTGGGGCGCTGCCCTGTGCATTGCAGGATGTTTGACAGACCCCTCGGCCTCTCCCCACTGAGAGCCTGTAGCACGTGCCTCCTTGTGACAACCGACCCGTCTCCACACTTCGCCAAATGTCGGGGGGGTGAGGGGGGAGTCCCAGCTGAGAACCAGCCAGAATGACCTTCCAGAACAGAGTGCACACTTCTTGGTGCAGAATCAAAATCAAGCAGGATAAGGACAACAGATAAAATGAATAGAAAAGGCCAAAATAAAAATAGGAACAGCGAAGAAAGCCAGTGCATCTCAAGAGGGAACCAGGGTATTTTTTTTATGCTACCTGAAAAACAAGAGGGAGCTTCATGAAGTTAGAAAAATTATCACAAACCACGCACTTCCCCTTCTAAAAGTTCAGGAAAATTCATTCCATGTAAAAATCAGCAACGACAAGAGTATTGAGGTTAGATCCAATACAAAGTTAATGTAAGAAGAAAGAAGCTGCAGCAGCAGAATAACATCCCTGTAGACAGTAAAAACACCCGAAAGACACGCCTACAGAACAGATCAAAATGTAATCATCTATTTTAAAGGTGCTAAAAAGATGTTAGAAAAATGATGCAAGATGAGAAAACACTACATGAGTCAGAATTAGAAATATATTGTTGTGGATCTGACTCCAAAAGCAAGGGAAACAAGCAAAAATGAATAAGTGGAACTACATCAAACTAAAAAGCTTTTTGCACAGCAAAAGAAATCATCATCAAAATGAAAAGGCAACTTACTGAATGGTAGAAGATATTAGCAAATCATGTATTTGACAAGGAGTTAGCTTCCAAAATAGAGGGTGGGGCAAAAGTAGGTTTACAGTTGTCTGTATGAAAAATAATGCAATAATTTATAAATAATAATACAAGATAAACTCTGTTTCATGCACACGCAAATGTAAACCTGTTTTTGCCCCACCCTGTATACTAATAAGAACTCACACAACTCAACAGCAAAGAACAAATAACCTGATTTTAAAATGGGCAGAGGGTCGGAATAGACATTTCTCCAAAGAAGACATACAGATAGATGGCCATCAGGCTCATGAAAAGAGAAATGCAAATTAAAGCCACAATGAGATATCACCTCACACTTGTCAGGATGGCTCTCATCAGTAAATCAACAAACAACGCTGGCTGGTGAGGATGTGGGGAAAAGGGAACCCTTGGGCAACTGTGAGTGGGACTTGGTACAGCCACTGTGGACAACAGTATGGAGTTTCTTCAAAAAATTAAGAATAGATCCGGCAATTCCTCTTCTGGCATTTACCCAAAGAATACAAAATCACTAATTCAGAAAGATACATGCACTCCTATGTTCATTGCAACATTATTCACAATAGCCAAGATATGGAAACTACCTAAGTGCCAGCAATAAATGAATAAAGATGATGTACATATATATAGTGGAATACTACTCAGCCATAAAAAAGAATGAAGTCTAAACTTCTGCAACAACATGGATGGACCTTGCGGGTATTATGCTCATTGAAATAAGTCAGACAAAGAAACACAAATACTATATGATTTCACTAATATGTGGAATCTAAAAAATATATAAAACAAAAACAAAACAAAACAAAAACTCATAGATATGGAGAACAGATTGGTGGGTACCAGAGGGGAAGCAGGTTGGGGGTGGGCAAAATGGGTGGAGGTTCAAGTTTATGGTGATGGATGGTAACTAGCCTTTTGGTGCTGATCATTTTGTAGTGTATACAGATATTGAATTGTAATGTTTTGCACTTGAAGCTTAAATAATTTTATATACCAGTCTTCCCTAAAATTTTTTAAAAGATAAAGATCTTTTTTTTAAGCACTGTCCAGGTAGCTAAGTTAATTAGAGCATCATCCCAATACACCAAGACTGCAGGTTCAGTCTTCTGTCAGGGCACATACAAGAATCGACCAATGAGTGAATAAACAAATAGAACAACAAGTTGATGTCTCTCTCTCCTCCTCTCCCTCTGGCTCTCTCCCCACCTCTCTCTCTCAATATTAATCACTAAAATTTTTAAAGATTTTTTTTTAGAAAAAGAATGCGCTCTGTCTCCCTCCCTTTTTCCCCCTCACTTAACAACAAAGGCTATCATTTTTTAGTACCATTTTTTATTTCCCATATTATTAATATAGTTTGCTATACAATACTTAATATAGCAACAGAAATGTCCACCTATGTAAAAGTGCTCAGCACATATTCCAAATGATTTGTCATACTTATTCGTTAGCACCAGTAATTTATCAGTTAGTCCCCAGTAAAGAAAATAGAAACCATACCATATTAAATAGTTGATATTAAAAAATTAGCTGGCAGATAATGCAGGACTGAAAAGAAAATGCAAAGAGCCCAGTGAAGGCCACCATAGGAGTCCCGGGGCTGGGAAAGCCACGGAAGGAGATGAGCGGTGTTAGAGCCTGCACGTGTGGAGGGGGGTCCCACAGGCGGGGCTGTCTGCGCTGTATGGGAGGGTGGCCTGAGCAGCGGGGACTTACACCTTGGTGGGTGGGGGCGGCCCAGCTGGTTTGGGAAGGCGGTATTTCCCACAGGTGGCCACAATAGCACAAGGCATCTCACGTGCCCTTCATACAGTTGGACGTGGACACTTGTTACCAAAAGGTGGGGCTGGCTTACAGGTGTGGCAAAGGCAGCGCTACACGGCTCCTGAGGCCGGGTCTCTTGGGCACTCACTTGGAAGCACTTGCTTTTGAGGGGTGCCCCGTGGAGAGGAAGCAGACTCCCCTCCACAGGGAGGCCACAGGGAGAGGCGCCCAGCCAGTGCCCACTGCTCCAGTGCCCACTGCTCCAGCGCCTGCAGCCACCCGAGTACAGCTTCCCCGGGAAGCCCTTCCCCACGGCCACATGAGCTCAGGAAAGGACTCTGGTAAGCCCCCGCTTCCGGGGGCACGCGTTTCACGGCGCAGGTAACCGCACACTGGCGCTTGCACCTGAGGAGCTCTGAGGCCGGCCTCGGGGAGGCACAAGGCCCGTGTTGGCAGTGCTGCAAAGGGCCCGAAATGGAAGCTCACTGGGACAGAATGAAGGGCCATTGCTGAGAGCGGTGACAGGTCTGGCCAGCGAACAGAAGGGAGCGGGCTCCTCTCCTCCCTCCCTGCCTACCACCCAGCCCTTCCTCCGGTGGAGAGCCAGCCTGGCGAGGGAGAAGCGCCGTGTTCAGAGCGCAGGCCGTGGCACCGAAGTCGGAGCACAGAACAGCTCATAACTGATGCAGACACTGATTCCGAGAGGTTTTTCCCCTAATTAAGTAAAATCACAGAGCACTTGACCATAGCACGTCTGCATCCCTAGCACCTTTAGTGTGATTTCACCTTATGTGAAAAAGGCTTCGCCTCCTAAAAACATGCGTGCAGCCCGTGGTTTCTCTCGCTGCAGGTACGATCCAAAGGAGAACAAGTGGACCCGAGTGGCCTCGATGAGCACGCGGAGGCTGGGCGTGGCCGTGGCCGTGTTAGGAGGCTTTCTCTATGCCGTAGGCGGCTCTGATGGGACATCTCCACTCAACACAGGTTAGTCCCTTCCAAAGTCCATATGGTGACCCCAGAGCGACGCGTTTGCCTTACGACAGCCCCCTCAACGAAGTGTGAAAAGCCCAGCTTACCCTGCCAGGTGTTGGGAAAATCGCTTTCCCTCTCGGAGAGCGCAGCTCTTTGCCCTTCCTCTGCTCCAACGAGGCCAGTTGTCTAGTGCATCCGCAAATATTTCCTCCTCCCTCTGCTCTACAAGCTGCTGGGAGTTAATAATGAATAAAATAAACATTTTCTTAATGTGATTATTTACCTCCCCTCCACCATCTCTCCCTAGAAAACAAAACAAAAAACGAAAAAAATCACCTCTGTATTATAATCTGGGAATAAATAAAAACTTAGAGCTACAAGCAGGTTTATGTATTAATCCTTTCTATTTAGAGATAATGGATATTTCTACTTAGGATATTGTCACTGTGGCACTCAGGTCAGATTCCTTGTCAAATCTCTTCTCATCAGTGGCTAAGGATGGAGGAGGAAAACAGACAAGGGGGTACAAGAGTAGAGTTGTCGGATTCTGACAATGAATTACTAGAATAAAATGGACCTTACAGATCATACACTCTGATCCCCCCATTTAAAGATAAGAGAGCGAGGCCACAGGACCCCCAGCCAACGAGTGCTAGTCAGAACCAGAACGAGGCACCGTGACTGCAGCACACGCCCTTTCACCCACCACACCTGGAAGAAACCAGACCCCGGTGAGAGTGTGGTGGTGCCGTCCAAAGGGGCACGAGTCCTTCTCGGAAGCAGAAGTCAGATCCCTTAATGAAAATGTGTCACCCACGTCCCAGTGGCTGTGAGGAAAACCGGGGGCAAGAGGAAGTGGCTGACGGCCGCCCCCTGCGGCGCTTCCCCCCCCCCCGCAGTGGAGCGCTACAACCCTCAGGAAAACCGGTGGCACACCATAGCCCCCATGGGGACACGAAGGAAGCACCTCGGCTGCGCGGTGTACCAGGACATGATCTACGCCGTGGGGGGCAGAGACGACACCACGGAGCTCAGCAGTGCCGAGAGGTACAACCCCAGGACTAACCAGTGGTCTCCGGTGGTGGCTATGACGTCCCGCCGCAGCGGGGTAAGTGCCCAGCCAGGGGAAGCCAGCAAAACCAGCACCACGGGAGGCCTGTGCGGACGGGGAGTGCCGCTCTGTCACGCAGCGCATCGGGACAGGGCAGAAGCGCACTGTTCAGGCAGAAGAGTCCCTGCTGCTTGTGTACTGGGGATATTTTGATTGCCATTGTCTCAAGTAGTTAAATATCTTCCATTCAATCATACCTTTAATTAGACAGTCCTCTGAAAGGCATCTTCCTGTCTTATCTACCACCATCTAACTTCACCCAGGTTCATCCATATGTTAGAGCTAAATGTTCCTACCTAATGTTCCTCCGTCATGTTCCAAGGAACTGGCATGCCAACACGCAGGCTCAGGCAGGGACACGCCTGGCCCCGCCGCTGCTCTCCGCAGGCTGGCCGGAGGCCACCCCACTTGTGGCACAGGCCCGATGGGGCTGGCCTGTCACGCTCCCGACTTCCAGCCTGGGGTGGAGACCTCACCCACCCTGAGACTGGCTCAGAGTGAGAGGTGACCCACACGCCAGGTCCTGCCAGGAGTCCACCCATGGAGGACCACAGGTGGGCAAGCCCAGCAGTAGCCGAAGGCCCCGTAGTTTGCAGACAAAGGGAGTCAGTTCTGGTTTGCACGTTGGGGCACGAGGGCTTGCATGGCAGTCGCTGTGGCCCGTTCACACAGGCGCCCAGCAGCGTCATGGCCACGCTCCTGCTGTTTTCCTGGCTACAGTCTGTGGATTATATTTTCACTCATTTAGCAAATATTCACTAAACACTTCCTGTGTGCTGAGAAGGCAAAGCTGAGGGCGACACAATTCCTCTCCTGTAGGAGCTTCCATTTCAGTGAAAGAACGTTCACAGCTAACGATGAAAAACAAATTCTGACGCAGTGGCCTCTGCATCAGTGACAGGAGAACCTGCTCAGTGCTTTTGGGGCAGGGAAGAGACTTACAGAGAAAGTCACACACAAGATAGACCATGAAAGGGCGAGATTTTCTAGAAGAGGGACAGAAAACAGCAGCCAGGGAAGAGCACGTGCGAAAGTGCGGAGATGTGAACAGTGCGCAGCCTTGGCTGCGGCTGGCGCTCCGCCCAGTGCCACTGCTGCGCGGCTGCAGCCGGCGTGCGCTGGGGGTGGCGCCACCCATGGGCCCGGGGCCTCTGGAGGGCCTCAGTGACATGACAGTGACTTCAAACTCATCCCTACGTGGCAGGAAGCCCTAGAAAACTCCTAGAGGAGACTGACTGCATGGTTAGATCTGTGCTTTAAAAATACTTTTCGTGGCAATTTAGATAGTGGATTAGAATAGGCAAGTTCCAAAACAAGTAAAAAAGCAGGTTAGACGTTCTTGCTCGCTCCTAAAGAATGCTTTCCCTAAAAATTTAACAAATACATGGTTTCAAATCTGTAAATATTCTAATTGAAGGTACAATTTTATAGTTCCCCTAATTGAATAGATTTTTGTTTTTCCCTCTGTAACACAGACAAAAATCTATTAAATAACCAAGTATACCAAACAAACAAACCAGAAGGGTAAGGCTATAAAGAATTGTCTCTCATTAGAGAGAGCTGCTAGAGACGACTGCGCATGTCCCCAGAGGTGTGCCCCTTCAGCAGCCCCTGTTTGGCCCTACAGGTCGGCCTGGCCGTGGTGAACGGACAGCTCATGGCTGTAGGGGGCTTTGACGGCACCACATACTTAAAGACCATTGAAGTCTTTGATCCTGATGCCAACACGTGGAGGTAAGCGTCCGGCTTCGCTGCGAATCCCCTCGCTGCTGCCTTGAAAAGATGGGCTGGCAGTGGCCCGTGACCGCCAGCGTCAGGACGGTCAGCACACGATCTGCCTCCTGCGGCACTTGGAAGGGGGCTGAAGTTGCCCACGTTTGATGGCTTGTTTGGAATGAATTACTTTAAAGTGGCTGACATCTTACAAAATTCTTCTCTTTGTAACTGTGCAGTTTTGTGATTAGAGATGGCAAAATCGGGGGAAAATCTCCTTTCTAGGCCCATCACATTTAGCTGAGGAATCTAAGGCGCTGAGAAATAAAACGGCGTGCCGCACCAGGTTAGCGGCAGAGTTTGAATCGGAACCCAGACGTTTGACTCTCAAGCTGTCGGTGCCATTGTTTCGTGTGCTTGTGGGCGGCTTTATGCCCAGGAAAACGAATGGCAGTTACTTTTTAAAAATATTTCATTTTAAAACCAATATTTTTCCTTCAGCTTTTAAAATCCACCTAAATTATTCTATTTTAAAGTCAAGTAAATTTAAAATCACTTTTAGGTGGAGGCTACATCTTATTTAAGAGAGTTTAATTACATTAAGCTATATTTATCAGTTTAGTTTTATTTCGCTTTTAAATCTTTGTCTAACAAGTCCTTGCTAAGTACTTAAGTGGTTCTTATAATTCACATAAATCAGGTGACTCATGCATTTATTTTAAATACTCAAAAACTTACAAATTTAGCAAAATTCTCTAAAACCTCTAAACTTAAAATGATAGGTCTAAATCTTTACTCAAACATTTTTTTACTTGATTCACAAACTAGTCTGATAGATGCTTTAATATGCTCATGTTTCTTAAACATTATAAAGAATTAAAATGTCAAATATTCTCAAACAGTATAAAATACCAATACTATGAGCTCGAAGTATTTTATATCTGTACTTAGTTCTAAATACTGGCATTTTGAGGAAACAGTTTTACCTTCCACACAGTTTGGGGCCTTTCTCAATAAATTGGGCTTATTCACTTAAACAGATCCAGGGTGGCTGCCCCAGTGGTTGAGGCTGCACGTCAGCTGCAGCCACCGCCTGGACCTGGGCCCCGAGGCGGCGCACTGAGGCTTTTCTCCTGACTGTTAAAGGTCGAGTGAGGTCTGCTTCCGAGTCCCTGCTCCAAAGGCGCCAGTCTCAGAGGCCGCTCCCGCTGTGGTCTCCGTGTGCGTTTCTGATGTGAGCCTGCAGCCACTCACCCAGATTCTCATCAGCTTGAGATTCAACTCATGAATTTACTGTGTTCTTCTTATACTCTGTCTCTGGGAAAGTCACAACTTTTACATGTATTTAGATGACATTCTTGGGTTTCTGTGTCTCTCTCTCATGGCTCTGTATGGCTCAGTGGTGACAACACTAAAGTCAGACTAATGACACTGTAGCACTTTTTGCTTCTACATTACACTTTCACACCCTGCTCATTAAGTACATTATGGGCTTTAAAATGCAGCTTCTCATGTGCCATGGAAATGACCACAAAACATTTGTGTGTGTGTGTATAAAACCTGCTTTTTCTTTTTTACTCAAGATATATATATATATATATATATATATGTAAAATTTAAAATGTGGGTGGAAAAATAATATAGCCAGGGCCAAAATTAGACACAAAAATGTAGAATCTATGATTCTGTATAACTATTATCAGCCTAGGTGTGAAGTCATACAGTTATGATGTGAAAAGTAATAGGTATAAAAGTCATATCTACTTTTATCAAAACAGTCCCCTATAAATGAGAGCATTTCATTCAGTGAAATAATTCTGCCGCTTGCCAGTGTTCAATGCCAGCTGCTACTCTGGAAGAGATGTATGAACGAGATATGAAACATAGAAACATGTTTTAATAACATCTTGTTATGGAAGAAACAGTGCTTTTTCCAGCTGGAGGCCTGAATTTGTTTCTTTCCTTTCTCTGCAGGCTGTATGGCGGGATGAATTACCGTCGGCTGGGGGGTGGTGTAGGCGTTATTAAGATGACACACTGTGAGTCCCATATATGGTGAACATCGAGAGGACAGCTCTGTGGGGGCTCCTCTGTATCCTGGAGCACTTTGACTTTGGAGCTTTCTACAGCTCGAGGAAACACTAGAACAAATTTTATTCTTTGCCAGTGCCTCAACATACGGAAATACAAATACCAACACAAGGAAAGGACTTCACCTATAGGATGCCATCTTTGCACAGTAATTTTCAGTTCTGTGCAGAATATTTATTTTTAGTTTTAATTTTTCATGGATTTTTTTTTGTTTCCCTCCCAACCAAAAAAGAAGAAATTTCCAAGCAGTAAAATATTATTTTAAGATACTAAGTTAGAAAATGCTAATAAGGGGAGAAGAGCTGTATATGATCTAGCTGTTATTTCTAGGCACTCCACCCCTATGACCCCACTCCTTGCAAGGACTACCAGTGACAAAGATCAGTATGCAAAGTGTATCAGTTAGCCATCATTCTTGCACTAAGCACCAGAACACTTGAAAATCTTTTTAAAAATGAAGCATCTCATTTTAACTAGTACAACTCAAAAGGAATATTAAATCCATAAAACCAGAACTCTACAAGTGTCCATCAGTGGAACTCTGCAACTTGTTTTTTTCCCCGTATGAACTTGTTTTCTGCTATACTTAAAGTCTTTTTTCCACAATATTTTCATAGAGTTTCTGCTAGATCTAGAGCCCTACTCAGTGCCTCTCCAGACGCAGTATACGATTCTCATACAGTCTTGAGAATCCCCCAGTGGTATCATGCAACTCTACGAGTTTTTACTCAGAAACATTGCTTACCGACTGAAGCACCGCTCCTTCTGATTTTTGTGCCGCTCCCAAGGATCAGCAGGGGGAATGTCCTGTCCCCAGCAGTGAACTCTGTCATGCAGTTTACACTTGATGCTCAGGCCTGCTGAAGTGGGGGCTCACCTGTAACCATGGCCTCCACGGAGTGAAGTCTTCAGTTCATGCGACAGTACCTGGGAATGGGTGGGAAACCAACTGAGGCATTTTATTGCTATCGTGGTTCTTTTATACAACTATATATCACTATCCTCATTCTATAAAGCCACTGTTACTGCTTCTCTCACATTGCACTTTTGAAGCAAAGTTTGAAAGTTCTAAGGAAAAATATGATACAACTTCAGAGGTTATCATTGTGTTCATAGACCTTTTTCAGGAAAACCTTTAAATAAGACTTTATCCACAACAAAAGGAACAACCTTCTCCTCCTTCCCCCCACCCCACTAAAAATGTTTGGCAACTTTTGTGTTTACATTTAAAAATCATTTGCACCTTTACAAGGAAAAAAATAAGTATTTGGTAAACAGTTGTTTACGTGTATCATTTATGCTTTTTTCTAGCATGTATAACTTTTTAAAATAAAGATAGTACTTACCATAAAAATTTTTGGTTAATGCTTTTGAATGTTTGTATCTTTTGCTATTTGGATTTTCTGTTTCTATATCATTTATATTTCTTTTATGTAAAGTTATAAGTACTTTCACAAACCTGAAGGAATAAAGGGATTTCCAGCTAGAATTATATTTTAGATAAAAAGTTTGATATGTAACATAGTAAGGTTTATATTGTTTCTTTTATATCATTTAATTATAAATATTTAATATATTTCCTAAGCACTTATTTTCTAGTATAGGACTTAGAATCATACAATTTTGAGCTAGAAGGACACAACAATCGCCTAGTCCACACCCAAAATAAAATTTTTTTTTCTCTAAGACGGAAAATGCAGAAGCCCGCCCTTAGAGTGAACATTCCGTGACAGAATCAACATTAGAATCAGTTTCCCAAGCTCCGACTCCATTCCTCTTTCTCTGCCCCACTGCCACTGCCGGCAGACCCAAAACCACCTGAAACTAAATAAACTGACCTTAAGTAGTCTGGTTAGTTATGCTGAAAGAGCATAAACATTTTTGAGATCCTTAGAGTACGGCATCATTAACAGCGAGTCTTCAAGGCAAAATCACATACTTCTCAAGGCTCTAGTATTATGTATATTGGAAGAAGAGAACAACAATAAGAACAAAATTCTAGGGATTAGACTTTCCATAGATACAGAAGTCCCCAATGGGAGCACTTCATATGGCCGTGATTCAAGAATAGAGACCCAGGCACTACACTGCTGGCTAAAGTGTGTGTTGGAGTCAGTTTTTACTGAGTAAAATAAAGACACTGCTCTAAAACAGAATGTTTTGTTAACTTATTTGTATAGTTACTTCCTCAACACTATAACGGGATCCTTGGAGTTTTTAACTCTCCACACTGAGCCTCCAGCACTTCGGCAACAATCATTCTGATTTGCTCACCTCGGTGCTCGTTCCCCTGCAGTTTCCGCTTAGCGAAGCCGTGGCTCCCTGTCTCCTCTGCCTGTTTGTCTCTCCAGTCTGCCTTGTGTCCTGTCTCTCCTACAGATCTAAGAAGGGTTGTTTATTTTTTCCTTCTGTTCACCTTTTTCCTTGTTACTGGGACAGAGTGGCAACTTCCAAACTTTCCATAAAAAACTGGAAGTGACATGCAGTTTTGAGTTAAAAAAATTAAATTATAAATCATCTCAATAGATGGAGAAAAATAAATTTGACATCAACATCCACTCATAACAAAGACCCATCAACAAGTTAGGAATAGAAGAGAACCTCTCTAAGCTGATAAAGGCACCTATGAAACACCTATTTAACATCCTATTTAAGTGCCCATTAAGATCAGGAACAAGATGGGAGATTTTCACCACTTCCATTTCTTCTTATACTGAAGATTCTAGTCAAAGCAATTTAGAATGAAAAAAATAAGCATTCACATTTAAATTAAAAAGTAAAACTGTCTTTATTCACAAATGACACCAATCTTGTATGTAGAAAATCCTAAAGGAATTCACTGAAAATACTAGAGCAAACAAGTTCAGCGACGTCACAGAATACAAAAGCAATATACAAAATCAACTGGGTTTCTGTGCACTAGAAACAGCCCCAAAATGAAATAATTCTAAATAGCATTAAAAAAGTAATATTTAGGAATAAAGTTAACAAAGTGCAATATTTGTTGAAAACTACAAAACATAGTTGAAGTAACTTTGAAGATTTAAATAAATGGGAAGATATCCCATGTTCATAGACTGGAAAATTTAATATAATTATGACAATGATACTCCCCAAATTTTTTTTTATTCAAAACAATCACTATCGAAATCCCAGCTAACTTGTTTACAGAAATTGACCAACAAATGCTAAAATTCTTATAAAAATGCAAAAGACTCAGAATAGCCAAAACATTATTTCAAAAAGACCAAAGCTAGGAAAGTCATGCTTTCTGATTTTAAAACATCCTACGAATCTACAGTAATCAAGGCTGTGATAGTGGCATAAGGACTGACATATTTATAGATCAATGAAATAGAATGGAGAATCCAGAAATAAACATCTATAGCCAATGGTGATGGAACAGATGAATATCCACATGCAGTGATGAATTTGGATGCTTACCTCACACCATACATAAAAATTAACCAACATGGACTATAGACCTAAATTTAAGAGCTAAAATTATAAAACCCTTAGAAGAAAACATAAATCTTCAGGATTTTTAAAAAATTAATAAACTGGACTTCATCAAAACTTAAAATTTCTGCATTTCAAAAATAAATGAGTTCATTCTGATATTTCCAATTCAAATTTAGTACTATAGTTTCTACTTAGCCTACCTGATTTTACAATTTGTATATCTTTTTCTCCTACACTGTAAATCTGGTTCCTAACATTGTTACAATTACATGTTTCATCTCATCATAAACAGTGGTAAAATAATACCAATACTAATAAAAATAAAACAATGCAATTTAAGATTCCTTTGTTGTTCTTTCCCTAGGATGTAGACCACTGACGATACTGTCAAAATAGTACTGTTTAAAGATACTAAAAAATAATTCTTTGTGTGATTATAACATGAAGTGAATATGTTTAGTTCATTTTCAGTTTTTAAGGATTGCTTTTTTTCTTTTGGACCTAATTTCATAATTATATGAACCACTTATATGGTTCTCAACTATAAATAGGACATTCAGATAAGCCTTGACTTTTCTACTGCCCCTATCCAGTTCCTTCTTTTCCCCTATTAATAACCACTTGTATTAATTTTTGATTTGTCCTTCCCTTTTTTTAAAAACATAAGGAAATACACATATTCCCCCATTCCTTCCATGCCATACACTCTGCCCACATTTTGTTCTTTGACATAATAGACTAGTGATCACAGTATTAGATTCCTTCCTCAAAACCTTTTTATAGTTGCATAGTAGTAATTTATTGGGAGCTACACCATAATTTATTCAACAAACTCCTGTCTGATGGGCATTTGGATTGTTTTAGCCTTATTGTTTTAATAAATAGCCTTGTGCAGGCTCCATTTTGTATTTTTGCCAGTAAATTTTGGGGACAGAATCCCAGAAGTGGGGTAGGTGGTCAAAGGGTAAATCACACGTAATTTTGATAGTCAATTGCTAACTACTTCCCAGACATTGTACCATTTCTAAACAACCTTGTCGCTATTCTTCCTCCCCCACTCTTGTTCACCTACAGCTCATTCTAGACCTTATAAAGTAGGTCATATTACTCTCGTGCTCAAAACTTCAGTGGCTTCCCATTGCCTTTAATATAAAATGCCATCGCTTCACAGTACCTATGAAAACTTAGATGATGTGAATCTTGCCTCTCTGTATCAGGATTAGGCCTGGTTATGGGCAAGAGATCCAAAACATCAACAGCGGAAACAAGGTGGAAATTTATATTTCTGACACATAAGGCTGGAGGAAGACCACCCAAGACTGACACCAGGGTTCATCTTCGAGAAGCCCTCAGGACACAAGCTCCTCCCAGGCCCTGTTCCGTGATCTTCAAGATCTGACCCTCATGCCTGCGATCTAAAAGGGCAGCTGGAGTCCCAGTCATTATGTGTTCCAAGCAGCAAAGTTGGAAGAAAAAGGCAAGGTTACATATATGCTTTCGTGTTTTAAGGAAGATTCCTGGAAGCTCTACACAACACTTAGATGCCAGGGGTCAGAACTTAAGAGACCAACGAGAAAGGCCATCCTCAGCCACGTGCCCAGCCACGTGTTGGGAGCCACAACACTTGGAAGAAGTTCCTCCCGCATAACCTCCTCAGTTCCGTCTCACGCCACTCCACTCTCTCTCACTGTGTTCTAGCCACACACGTTCCCTTTGTCCCTCAGACAAGCTGAGCCCTCACCTGTCCCAAGGCCTTCGTTCCGGCGGCGTCCCCTGCCCAGCACAGCCATCCTCACATCTTCACGCGGGCGGCTCCTGCTCATCACTCAGGACTCAGCTCGACTGTCACTGCCTCAGAGAGCCCTCCTTTGACAACGGCACGTAAAGCAGGCCTGTCCCAGTCGCCTCTTTCCTGTCGCACTGCCTTCTTTCCTTTACAGCATTCATCCCCGCAGGAAATTATTTCCCTTTTGCCTTCCTCCATTAGAATATCACTTCCACAGGACAGGGATCTTTTTTGCTTTCCCCGCTACATCCCTATTATCCAATACAATTCTAAGTACAGAGTAGAACCTTAATATTAGTTGAATGAATGGAATGTCTGACTCCAAAGCCCATGCTTTTTCTACTACCTCAATATATAGGAAATAATACCATACTCCAGAAGCCAATATTTGTCTTTAGAATGAGAGCCTACTAAAGTTACTTTCCTCCACACAAGATTTTGAAAAACCTGGTTTCTAAAGTAAAACAAAACCTTCCTGTGCTCAGTTACTATTGATAAAAAAATAAGAGATTTAGATATAATCTCTTGGGCAAGTCCCTAAAGTTGGTATATTTCATAGTTTTCATCTGTAAAGTGGGAGTTGGTTAAAACTCATTCATTTTTATCTACAGGTGTTTACTAAGCACTGTGCTTAAAGCAAAATTAGGGACATGAAAGTTAAAATCTCTGACCTCAAAAGGGGTTCCCCAGTGCCTTCCAAGTGCACAACTACATGATCCTATATAATTGTTGGTTTGTAACCTTTGTGCTAAAGAAAAAGCCCATAATTTCCCATTCCTGAGACATGAATTAAAGATGTCACCAAGACACTGATAAACGCACTGTTTCATTTTAAAAGGGACTATTTAATTCAACATTGCAATAAGAATTGAATAATATTAAAAACAAAGCATAGTAGTGGCTTTAAAAATCTATATTCATCTTTAGTTTCCTTTGCAGAGGAGTTTTTGATAGCCAGTTCTCTACAGCAAAACAGTGCTAGGAAAATGTCTTTGCAAGACAGAAATTCTCTCTGAATGGAAGTCTAAAATGCTTACAAGGGATTAAAAGTTTTAAAGACCCAAATCAGAAATACTGAATATTAGAGGTATCCCATTTGAATTCTAAAAGCTTGACATAATAAGCATTACATATTTTTTAAGAAGATGGCAAACAAGTAACAACTCAGCCTTTTGCAGAGACTGGCACCCCCGAGCACCATGACTCCAGGGGCACCTGCCCATGGTTCATCCCTCACCACCTTCTGTTCTCCTGGGTCCTGCGTGGCTCCCATCCGGGCACCTGCAAAGGCACTGTGAGGAACAGGTGCAGCCGGAGGCCCATTTCTCCCCGCAGTCCCTCTCAGCACAGCAATTGGGCAAACGATCAATGAGAAGAAGGTTTATAATCCGTAACTCATAGTCCCCACAAGGCCTCACTCAATTTGAAAAACTGCCAGTTCTGTCAAATATGCCAGCACTCCAATAAGGTATTTATGACACAGAATCTGAAAAGAAAAAAAGGACATTTAAAATTAAAAAAGAATTATAATAACAAAGAAGTTTGTATTTGATTCATATTCTGGGCTTATTTTAAATCCCATATTTGCAAGCAAAGACATGAATAGGAACCAAAACTATTGCTGCTCTAACTTAAATAAATTTTACCTAATGAAAGACTAGCAACTTTAATAAATTTACAATTATAGTCAGTGGTGCTTAGAAGTAGTTAGACTAGGGTTCTTATCTAGCCTGGCTTCCATGCGTGAGCTAACTATCTGCCTACAGAGTGAAGGGAGGAGGGGGCATCTATGAACGAACCCCTCGATCTTATAAGCAAACTTTCTACACTTTCTAGAAAGAGGCTCCATAGTTGCTGCTTTTCAAAGGGACATGCAATTCGAAATGTATTTTGTAAAAGTGAAGCAGATGGCAGAGACCTGGTTGATAAATTAATTTCAAATTTTTGAGAGGCAGTACAGTGTTGTAGTTGAAAGCATAAGCTTTTGAGTTCAAATTCCAACTCTACTTAACTAGCTGTGTGATCTGAGGGAACCCGCTTTTCCTGTGTGTTATGGCTTCCTCTTTATAGGCTATGTAAATTTACAAACTGTGTATACAGATCGCTGTGAAGGCTAAAGGAGACAATATGTGTAAAACGTTAATGAAGCCCAGCACAATTTAGCGCTTAACAAACGCTGGCTGTCATCGTGGGGTTCTGAGAACCCCAGAGCCAGTTCCAGTCTTACACCACTGAGAGAGGCTCTTAGATTTAGACTAGACCAGATAAAAAAAATGTGTTTAACGACCACCTTCATACACATAGACGGATAACAACACATTATGTAAAATAGGCTTTAAATGTAGTTTACTAATAGAATGTGCACACATGGAAACAAAATTTTAAAATATATAAGGACTTCAAAAACATTGAATTCTGAGGTGCTAAAATGGAATTTCCCTTTCCAATGTCAAAATCACATGGTATAGTATAATCTTGTAATTTTTTTACTGTAAACCATAGTAAGAAATAAATTTAACGTCATGACAAAGTACAAATGAAGTATACCCTTACCATATACGATATTTTTGTTTTCTTATCTATTCTATTCCTTTTTGTTTTTGAAAGCTGGTCTCTTCCCATCAAAATTACTTCCCAACCTACCATTGCACTGTGACCTCTAGTTTGAGAAGCACTAGTATAGTGCTTATAGGCCAAGAATGGACTTCTTGGAACCTAAGAGATAAGCGTTCAGATCTCGACTCCTCTCACAAGGCTATCTTGCATACGTCACGTAAACCTATCTTGGCCTCATTTAAAAATAAAATGTGGATAAAAACACCTAACAGCAGGGTTACACTCCTAGCACAGTGACAAAACCAATATTCAGTTTATGGTGGTTGTATTTTAATACATTTAAGGCCCTACTCTCAGTTGATTTCTTTCTGGTACTTCCTCTAAAAAGGACTTCATAAACAGTAAAGCAATGTCTCCATTATTTCTTGTCCAGCAGGGATAGAAAAGCCTAAAATATAAAGATATTATCTTGGGTTATATGTTTCTGGCTATAATTTTCTTATCTACCACACAAAATACTCTACCTGATTAGCATTTCAAAGTTTGACAAGAAACTATTTTTAAAGTTTCAAAGTTACTACAGAATAATTCATATTTATTACCAAAATCTGTAGCACACAGCACACACTATCTTTCCATAATAAAGCTGAATTGAGAAGGCTAAAGAATTTTAGGTAAATCTTTTATAAAACATAAAATAAAATCTCCCTACTGCCTTGAATTGGCAGACATTCAATTAGCTTCTTCTATGTGGAAAATACACTTACCATACATTTTGAAAACTTTGCAAAAAGGAAAAATTACTTAAGTAGATTTGTTCAAACCAACCTTTATTTTTCCATCAGTATGTGCTGAAGCTACAGATGTTGAAACACGAACCAATCTTGTGGCTGACAGATGAATTTTAAAATGCCTATGGAAATGTGAACAAAGGCAGTCCATGAATAAGTCAACTTCCTCCTGGGTAACTTCCCCAGGTGCTTTGTGGACACTGTCCCATAAAGCTTTTGCATCCTCTGGATGTATGGCATAAGAAATATCCAGACTTTGAGGGCTACAGGGTACAGACCAAAGAAATTCAGTAGTAGCCACGTAGCGGTCCATTTTGCATGCAGTCCACATAGCCGCCATCCAGGAAAGATTAAATGCATTGATCGCTAAGGGACTAAAATAGCAGTCGAAAGTTTTCTGAAACCACGTTCCAATTAGGGCGGTATTAGTCTCTGCTCCACTTGCAAGGAATAAGGGGAGACAGGTGAAGTCTTCTGAAACAGTCTCCAGGAGACTGTCTCCAAATACACAGCAGAACCAACCAGTCCACAACACTTTAGCTTCTGTGCTCTCAGATGGCAACTGAGATTTTGACAGAATCTACAAAGAAGGAAAATAAAAAACAGGAGTAAGTACACTTACTCCTGCCCTGACCAGTGTGGCTCAGTGGGTTGGGCATCTTCTTCTCGTAAAGCAAAAGGTCACGGTCAGGGGACGTACGGGAGGCATCCGTAATCTGTTGGGGTTTATCAAGTTCACTGACCTTTTTCCCAATATTCTTACATACTAGGGACACAATATACGGCGAGATCTTTGTACAACCAAAATGCAAAATGAAGGATGCCAATATGGTACAACCAGGTACAGTATCATGAAAAAAAAATCTCAGCTTTAGAAGGGACAGCTTCTACTGTCACCAGAGGCAATGTGCTTGAACTCTTGCATTGAAGAAGACTTGCATATTTCCCAAGGCAGCTCTTTCTATCACCTTAAAGAGTTCTTTCATGTGAGGCCCTAGTGTTTTCACCTACTGGTCCTACTTTCTTTATATGCATGAAGAACAAATCAAAATCGAACGTCTATTCTACAGGAAAACTCTTCAAATATTTGATGATCCCTATCAATGTGTACTTCCAAGTTCAATATCTCCAGTACCTTCGACCTTTCCTCCTGGGACATATGTTCAAGTCTCACATAACCCCAGTCATTCTTCTCTGAAATTCTCTATGGGTGAACAGAAGTGAATATAATTTCTTCAAAAAGATCTGATTATTGGACTATCATCATCTTTAACCTAGATTACACTTCTGTTAACATTATCTTAGAGTACAGCAGTTCTCTGGCTTTTAGTTGACAGCTTTACATAAATTAGAGCCCTACATATTCAACTTTGCTGTTAACAGGTAAATCCCCACCTCCTATACCAAAATCTGTAGCACATAGCACTCAACCTATATTGAGACAGTAAACTTATCCCTATTAAAATTTCAATTTCTTTCAATTTGGCCCATTGTGCCAATCCATTGAGATCTTTTAGAACTTTGATTACATTTTCCAGCAGACTGACTAAACCTTCAAACTTTAAATTTGTAAATGACATGAAACACCCGCCTTCTGGATATTCATAGATATTGTAATTAAACTTGACTGATGCAGCCACCGTGGAAAGCAGTATGGAGATACCTCAAAAAATTAAAAATGGGTCTGCCTTTTGACCCATGATCCCATTTCTGGGAATAAATCTAAAGGAACCCAAAACACTAATTCAAAAGAACATAAGCACCCCTTTGCTCATTGCAGCATTATTTACAATCGCCAAGATATGGAAGTAGCCCAGATACCTTTCCACTAGTATCACCACGTAGGTGAGTAGATAAAACAACTATGGGACATTTACACAATGGAATTACTCAGCTATAAAAAAATCCTATTTATTGATGAATCAAATGTTAATCATATTTTATACTCTGCATAAAGGAAGGAATGTAAAATGTTACAATTCTGAAAGAGACGACCACAATGTGTAATATGTTACATTTTTTGCTGTTAAAATTCTACTTCTGGGAATTCAGTCCTAGTAAAAACCACAGAACCATAAAATTCCTAATGATATGAGTAATTACCTTCAACATCGATTATCAGTAAAAAAAAACCATAATGCAAATAAGTATGGGCAATGTGAACCCAATTTTGATACAGGTAGCCAAATACATGTATCTATGTTCATGAAAGATTGGTTTGTAGTTTTCTTATAAGGTCTTGATCTGGTTGTGGTTTAGGGTAATGCTGACCTCACAGAACGAGTAAGAAAGTATTCCTTCTGCTTCCATTCTCTGAAAGAGAATGGAGACAATTGGTATGCTTTCTTCCTTAAATTTTTGGTAGAATTCACCAGTGAACCTATCTGAGCCTGGTGCTTTCTTTTTTGAAAGCTTATTAATTATTAATTCAATTTTTGAATAGATATAGGCCTATTCAGATTGTACACTGACAAAAAGGTGTATACCCAAATGTTAAACTGTGGCGTTTAACTTTCTTTGTACTTTATGTATTTTCTAAGTTTTCTAAAATAAATATGCTTATACAGGGGTAAAAGTAGATTTTCCAGTTGTTCATATGGAAATTAATACAACAATTAATAAATAATAATACAAAAATAAACTGTTTCGCCCACTCAGAACTGTGAACCTACTTTTGCCCCACCTGTACTGTAATAGGGAGCACTGTTTTCAAGTTGACAACATCTAATCAATTTGGTCAAGTAAGACATAAAAGATGTTCTAAATTTACAAGCTTAAAAAATTTTAAAACAGTAAAAATTACCACAATTTTCAAACCAAAACAAGGCAGATTCTTTTCTGCTGGGAATCAAGTGTTGCTCACATGCTGTACCTGGACAAGAAGGGCGTCGGGGTCTCTCTGCGTTCCTTTTATTCCTAGGAGAGCAGAGAAAATCACCTTCACGTTCAGGTCTTCCCCCACTTCCACAGCAAGTCCCTTCTGCTTTTCAGCAGCAATAAACGCACTCAGAAGGTTAGAATACTCTTTGAGATTGGTGTAGGAGAAATTATACAGGGGAGTTACACTGTACAGAGTCCATTGCTTATGCAGAAGGAATGCAACCTTTTGAGGATCCAGATCTTCCTAAAAAAAATAAAGTCATAAAAGAAGTTTCAGAATTAGAAAACTTTAGTAAATAAGAACTTAATCACAGTATCTTCAGTATTTAATACAAATCTATGACTGGGTACCTGCTCTTTGCACTCCAGCCAAACTGGAGTTTGCAGGAGCCTTTGCGAGCCCTCGAACAAGCCTCGCCTGTTGCCGACTTTCCGCGGGGGCTCACCCAGCGCAACCCTTCCCTTCTGTCAGGTCTCTGCCCAGAGGCGGCTCGAGGCCGCCCCCCGCCCCCGCCCCCGCCCCCCGCCCCCGCCGGTCTTAGGTGGCCCCCACAGCCGCTCCAGCTTTTTGCAGCATGTGTCACTATCTGCTATTACATAGTTGTGCGATTTTTACGGTCTGTCTTCCCCCCGCGAGTATGTTTGATGCAATCTGGGATTTGGTTTATTTTATTCATCCTGCATTTCCAGCCCCTGGAACAGGGCCATCTAGAACAGGTGTTCAATAAACATTAATTGAAGGAATCTTTATGTTCCACTTTTAAAAACTTTGAATTATAGATTTTGAGAATAGTAATTATTCCTAGAGCAACTAACCTGAGTGGTTTTAAGTAAGCAATTTTTAAACTGCTTGGCAGCAACGCCACGCCCTGCGCGACGCGCTGCCCAATTCAGGAGACACTGACCGCTGCGGGCGCGTCCCCGCCGCTCGCTCTGCGCGGCGGCCGCGGGGCCTGGGAAGCCGAGGCGCCTCGCCCGCGCGGCCCGACAGCGCCGCCCAGCGCCTCCGCGGGGGCCCCGCAGGCTCCGCGTTTGCCGAACCGAACCGAGGCTTCGCGCTTCCTGCCAGAATCGCCCCGCGTCCTCGAGAACTTCCACCACAGTTGTCTATACACGAAAACACGCGCCGACTGCAGGGCTCCGGGCGATGGTTACACGCTTCGTGAGAGCTATACACTTTCTTTCCCGTTACCGTCCAAAGGTATGGCGAGATTCTTTGTGTCTTAGACGCAAGGGAGCACCGAACCGGGCCTTCCAAACTTTGGTTTGTACGCATTTCTGTTTACTGGTTGGGAAACATCACTTTTCATGACCAGCACTAGTAATTTTTCTTTAAGAAAGTTACCACAAAGAAGCAAAAACTTTCTCATATCGCCGAAGACACTGCGCACGCAACACTGACGAGACAACAAAGCGACAAGGCAGGCGCCGGCGGCTGTCAACCGGGCTCCTGGCTGAGTGACCCAAACCACCCGCCACGCTGGTACCGACTAGGGACTTGCTCCACGTCTCAGGACAATTACCGATTACTAACGAGGTGTAACCTCCGGGGTCGCTTCCGAGCCACCCAAACCGAGCATAATGCCACCCGAGGAATCTGGGCCAATTTAAACACCAAAATAGTTCGGTAATGAGTTCCAAAAACATGAAAAACAGGCATCGCGAATTCACACTGATAAATAAATACAGGAGAAGTGAGAAGCGCTTTAAATGGACTGTCAAAGGCCGGTCGGTGAACTTGGAGAAGACGCGGGCGGAGAACCACCGTCTGGCGGCCGCCCCGCGAGGCAGGCGGCCGGGCGGAAGGCGCCCGCGGAGGCCAGGTCCGCCGGAGACTCGGGCGAGCGCGGCGACGCCTGCGAAAGCGCCCCCCGCAGGCTGCGTCCGGTCGCGCAGGGGACTGGAGGAACAGCCGCGCCTCGACAGGGCGCCCCCAGGACGCAGCCGCGCCCGCCCAGTCTCCCGGCCAAGGCTACAGGCCTCGACCTCTCCCGGAGGGAACGTCAGAAAAATACAAAACGAGGCACATTTTAGTTCAAAAGGGGGGGGGGGTGGGAAGGCGATACTCTTCGGAAATGTCAATGCCACAAAAGACAGATACATCGTGTGGGAATGTCCCACATGAAAGGGAGTTGAAAGACATAACAAAGGAGATACTAACAGCGTGAATAACCGTTTCTTTGAGCTATTTCTCACTTATTTCATTACCTGGGCGATTGGGAAAAATACAAAAACCATGGAAAGAGCGACACAAACGGAGACGTGGCGTTCGCGCGCACGCCCCGTGACCGAGCGGCGCCGGGGAACACGAGAGCGCACCTGCGACGGCGAGCGCCGGGGAAGCTTCCTCTGCGACGGCGTGGGGCCCAGCGGGGGCGGCTTCCGCGCCGACCGCGGCGGCAGCAGCGGGGTCGCGCCGCGGACAGGCGCCTTCAGCCGCGAGGCCGCGCGCGGCGGGGGCGTCGACGCGGCCGGGGAGCCGCCGGAATCGGAATCCATGGTCTGCGCGAGAGGAGAGAAAGCAGAGTCCTGAGCGCTCGCGAGCGACTCGCCCGCGGGCGGGGGGAGAGGAGCCGGGGCCGCAGTCCGTCCCTTCGCTGTAAGTTTGCGCGGGGACACACGGTGCCTAGAATTAGCGGCCTGATCGCACCGCAGGGCTCGCAGATGTCAGAGCGCCGCTGTCAGATCACTCCACTGCGCACCTAAAGCTAATACGACTAATGTAACAGTGCACAGCAGCAAAACATAAATGCGTAAATAAATAAAAGTTCAAAACCCAGGTACATTTCATCTATTTACTAAGTAGTTCCATAAGTTTTAAAACTTAGTTTAAAATTAGCTAGCTCTCCCGCCAAGTCCTCCCTTCAGAACAGAGGGTTACAGTTCGGCTGTTTTTCTGGTGCCGCATCCGTGGCAACCCTGACTCCAGTCGCTTTTCTACCGTCGTCACCAACCCCTGAAGGCAACCGCCCCGAGGCCGGGGCTCAGCCGGGGGCTGGGGACACAGAGTGAAACGCGCCGAAACGCACAAAACTGGAAAGATAATGACCACACAAGAGGTCGAAATATCAAGTTCACTGCCAGTCCTGGGCCAGCACAAAGCATCTTACCAACGAAGTGCCGTGAGGACGCCGTCGCCCGTGCCGGCTTCACGCATCGTTCTTCAAAACTGGACCCAACCCTTCGTAGACAGTGAAATCCCCAAAAGGCCGGGGGGCGGGGGGGGCGCCGCCCACACGCCAGCTAAGGGCGAGCCCGGAGGAACACTCGGCCCTCCCAAATTCTCTTGCGCTCTACGACAAGCGGGCCACCAGGAACACAAACGTGCCCGCTATAGAGACCTCCGCTCCCTCAGACGCCAGGAAAGCCCTGCGACTTCAGCCCCAGGGACATTTCCGAGGACCCAGACACCCAGTTCTGCGACCCTCGCTCCTACCAAGTCGGCCTCTGCCCACGGAGGAGAAGGGCAAGGAACAGTGTGTCCCGCCTCACACTTTCCTCCAGAGCCCCTCGGGTGCCAAGCAAGGCCAGGGGCGAAATCCCGCCCTTGAGAAGCCGCAATAAACTCGCCAGTCGCCGCCTCGGTTTAAAACCGTTTCCCGCCTAGCTCCGCGGCCCGTCACCGGAAACCTCCCGGGCGCCGATTCCAAGTAAGAGAAGCAACTAAGGTCGCCATCTTTGTTGAGGGCAAGCTCGAGCCGCCTAACTATTCGCTTCAATTTTTCTAAGCGTGCGACGGTTGCTCGACACTACCGCCCTTTTCTACCGACGTGAAGCTTCCCTTCCAATTTCCGTCCTCACTAAGCATGGCGGCGGCTACTCCGCGTTGATTGGCTGGTTGTCCTCACTGTAATCTTGGGCGTCCGCGGGGCGCTTAGAGGAGCGCTTGGCTCCCCACGGGCGGTCCGTGGGTGGGATCGGGCCCTCAGAGCGTTTGGGATTTGCACTCTTTCTCATTTTGAAGATCCGAGGTCGGCGCCAGGAGATTTCAAACGTGAGGCTGAGTTCTCCTGGTTTCCCGGTTCTGCGGCGGAAATCTTCGGGGAAGCGTGGAAGGAAGGGAAGGGCGTGCGCGTCTTGACCGGCCCCTTCCGTCACTGCGTGGTCTTGGGATTCCGCCTTGCGCTGCTGTGTGGAAGCATTCTTGCACATCTGGCCGCAGCTGTATTTGTTAATACAAGTGGAAACTGATGCATGCGGGGGAGGGGGCGGGGCAAAGATCTTCTACCCACTTTCCAAGGGCCCCAAAGACCTCGCAGAACGACCTAGTGCCTAGACACGTGTTCAGCGGAGAAGGGCTTGAATATTGGAGCAGAGAGTGGGAACTCCGACCATTTTAAGGGATTCATGTATATTTACAAAAATGATTGTTGACCACCATCCAACACTGGCAGCGTGGAATTCGTGAGCGTCTCTCGCCTTTCTGCTGCACCAACATGTTCTCCAGTTGGTTAACTCCGCTGCACAGGGGTTTAGCCACACCCAACGGAAAGATCGTCCAGCTGATCTGGGGGTCTCTCCCCAGAAGTCTGACACTGAGTTCACAGCGGAGAGTTCCAGGTGACAGCACTGAAGAGCTCTTTCTTGTCTCTCGATAGCACTTCCTCCTGTTCTCCATTCCCCCTAGTTTTAACTGGATGGATGGCCTTATGGGTAGAAGCAGATCATTCACTCCATTTCTTATAATGGAGCTTTGTTCTCTTTTGTTTTTGCATCCTGGAATTTAAAAGGAACAGAAAATTTGCCTTATATGCTATTCTGCTTTTAGTTGATGCTACCATGAAGCCCTGAAAGATTCATACTCAAGAATACTTGTTTTCTAAGTGTACATAGTGACTGTTTCACTCAAGGTCCATACTAAAGCTAGTCACTGCACCGTTAAACTTCTGTGATTCTGAAGATCCTATTTGATTTGGGAAAGATTATGGGCACTATTAAGAAAGGGGTAACTTTGGGTCAATGCAAATGCTAGATAATCAAAGCAATTTAGATCTCCTAACATAAGGCAAAAATTTACATTAAGACGGTTTATATTCTGTTGGCTTTTAACACATTTGCAGGTAAATTTAATAGTGATCAAATCAAATGACATACTTAGATTTACTTTATAAATTTTCACCATTAGCATGAAATACCTAAGATGATGTAATTTGAGAGTCTTTATTTTTAAGCAGTTGGGAAATAATATATTTTTTAATCTAGCTTTTTCTTTTTCTTTTTCTTTTTTTTAAGAACTCAGTAGTTTTGTCACCCGGACCAACACGTGTGGAGAGTTGCGTTCTTCTCACTTAGGCCAGGAAGTCACCTTGTGTGGATGGATTCAGTACCGAAGGTAAACTGAGGTCCAAGAATGCATGGTGGTGTTTTTCCAAGGCAATTCCAAATCTTTGTTAATTTTCAACCTGTCAGAAGAATAAAAGTTTTGCATCTCCTGCAAGATTCTCAGATTCATTGAGTTTTCAGTTTTGTTTTGAAAGGCCCAGTGTCTCTCTCTAAGTACCAGTAACACCTGTAGAAGGGTATAATAACAAAGTATGATCCACTAATGGACCGAAATGTCCCTTGGCTTACAAAGGTTGGAGAGTCCTGACAAGGAGAAAATTCTGAGATGTTCTAAGTTAAATTACAGTGGCCAGAGGGTGGAAGGAAGAGACAAAGGGGTTAATTGGTTAACAGCTACAGTGCAAAACCAACAAAAGAGTGCTCACGCTCCTGAGTATATGTTGGAATTATAATTAACACCGAAGTGGAAGCCTCTGCTTCATGTTCACACATGAGCTTTACAGATCCAGCTGCTGGGCCTAACCCACAAGTAGCCCCGCTTGACCTTCCCCCATTCCATTGTCTATGTCTGATGGCCGTTCTTTCAGAATGGCTAGTGTGACACCTTTCTCCCCCTACATCATGTGTAAAAAGGCTTTCAAAACTCTAGGGTGACGGACATGTTGTCTTTCCTGTCTAGCCATGCTGCTGATTTAGACCCCATGCCTCGACCAGTCTTCTTTTTTTGCTAACAAATGAAAGTACATGTTATTTATTTTAATAAACCTGAGAAATTACGTGGGTTTTTTCTTTGTTTTGTCTGCTTAAAGTTGGGGCTCAGAGATTTCATCCTAACATGTTTATTTTCTTCATTAATCAGGCAAAACATCTTCCTGGTCCTGAGAGATTTCCAGGGACTTGTTCAAGTTGTCATTCCCCAGGATGAGGTAATAGGTTTACTGAAAGCCTCTTTGTGGTTAGCATAAGCTAAATATGTTTGAAGTTTGAAATTCAGAAGTTAATGAAAAAAAAAAAAAGCATCATTGAGAACAATGACAAGCTGGAAAAAATACTCACCTTAAGCATACGCCTATATAAATATAAATGACATTTTTTAATGAGCTCATCAAATACAATGGGTTAATTTCTCGAATATCTAAAAGTCTACTAGAAATAAAATTTCAAAAAAGAAAAAAAATACTAGTGACACAGTAGAGGTATGAACCCAGGATACGAACATAAAATTTACAGAAAAGATAATATAAAGGGCTTCTAGACCTATGAAAATGTGGCCAACCTCACGCAGAGGCAGAGAGATATGCACTGTAACTACACATAATTGTTTTTGACACACTGGCTTGACAACACCCGGGGAAAACAAGTGCTTGTGCCTCCCGGAGGGAATCCCAATGGCGCTAGTTCCATAGAGGGCAGTTTGGTGCCATCACCACTAGCAACGCCTACCGTATATTCCCACGTATAATGCGCGCCCACCTTTTTGGCCCAACTTTCAGGAAAATAATCTTTAGTTTTAATTTGTTAATTCAATTATTTATTTGTATTTAGATACTTGTTTTTTGTATTATAAAGGAATTTTAGCTTTTTTTTTAACGTATTATGGTACAAGAAATTTTATGTAACAAATAATTACAAAACAATAACAGGTATTTCAGGTACTACCCATGTATAATGCGCATCCTTAATTTTTTTCTCAAAAAGTTGGGCAAAAAAGTGTGCATTATACATGGCAAAATACAGTATATCCTTGCAACCATCTTTTCCACTTCTAGTCAGTTATCTTACAACTGTCTTACACCTCGACTTACACAGATGTAAAGTGATGTAGACATAAGGCTTTTCATTGTAGGATTATTTTTAATAGATAAAAAAAATTGAGAACAACCTAGATGTTCCCCAGTAAGAGACTGGCATTTGAAAAAAATAAATGTACATCCTGACAGCCATAGAAAGAAAGATTAAAGAAGCTCTTTATGTATTAATATGGAAATAAACCAAGATATATTGTTAGGTTGAAAAAGTGGGATGCAGAAGAGCATGCGGAGGGCTATTATGTGTTAAAAGGGGGTACATATGTATCTCATGACATGTCCTGGAAGGATACATGAGTGTCAGGTAACATGGGTGCCCTGTGAAGGTACTGCTCAAAAATAACTACCATTAAAATTAGATAAAATAAAGATCTCTCAGCACGACCGTTGGGCAACAATGGTTTCTATCGTAATGTTTACAAATGTTGGTGTGCCAGAGAAACGTGTGATTTACTCGGCTCTTCGTGTTTTGAAGTAAGAACGATGAATGGCCTCAGGATCCAGAGATGAGCATAGCTAACCTTTGGACTCCATTACTGCTATTGGACCTAGCGGCCCCTAAAACTAACCCTGCAGACAGTTGCCTTTAAAGTATGTGGTGCTGCCCTGGCCAGTGTGGCTCAGGTGGTTGGAGTGTCGTCCCGTAACCAAAGGGTTATGGGATTGGTTCCCACTCAGGGCAGATACCTAGGTTGCAGGTTCGTAAAAGCAATAAAAAAAAAATGACCTTGTGTGAGGAAAAAAAAAATAAACATAAAAGCGTGTGAGACTCATTTGCATTAATCATTCTTCCCCATATTTTCCTTTAAGGAACACATTTTTAAACTTTTCATTAAGAATCTGACTTGCTGTATTAACTTGAGCCAAAATGGGGGTGCAGTTGACCAAATTCTTTAATAAAGTCATCAAGGACAGCCCCGGTATTTATAGCAATTAAGCTATAGGACTATTATCATTTTTCTAAACCATAAAGTAGAGTTACTACGGGTTCTTTTTTTTAATAGTTAATTTTTTTTGTCTTTTTCCCATTACCATTGATCCCCCTTATATCCTCTTCCACCTCCACCCACCGCCCGCCCTCCAGATTCCTTTAAGTTCACGTGTTTCTTGAAACTTTTGTGCCCTCTTTTTCTGCAGTCAGCTGCTTCCGTGAAGAAGATTTTATGCGAAGCCCCCGTGGAATCTGTGGTGCAAGTGTCTGGGACAGTCATTCCCCGGCCTCCAGGACAAGAGAACCCAGTTAGTAGTTTAGACACTGTGTAATTTTCACCTGTACACATTGGCACTGTCTGTCTACACATTCCGGCAACAAAGGGTGGGCCCTTTGCACACCAGGCACTAAAGCTGTGAGTCCTGTGAATGAACCTGCAGATCTCAGACTCTTCACCGCAAACACACACACTGATGTAAGGGCGCACGTTCAGGGTCAGGGGTCACATCAGCCACGGGTATGCACAAGAACGTCAAAATTATGCCCAGACATTGAGACGGCACACTATAAGCACCCATGCATTTTACACATGTAAATAAGGCACGTGTTTTACAGCTGTTCACTGTGACATGTCCTGATGAATGAATTTGAAAATAGGTCTTTTCTCTCTCTCTTTCTCTCTCTCTCTCTCAGAAAATGCCAACTGGTGAGATTGAAATCCAGGTTAAAACAGCTGAACTTCTGAATTCCTGCAAGAAGCTGCCCTTTGAAATTAAGGACTTCGTGAAGGTGCCATCCTCTGTTACTAATAAATAAGAATATCTAGAAAATGGCCAGTAAAGTATTTTGAGTTTTTTAAATAAAAACTTTAACTTTCACAACATGAAACATTTTGTTAGATATATCATAAAGTGTCCTGTCAGTTCTATAATTCCTTGGTGAACCCTTCTTAACCAGGGACAATCCATTAAGCTGTGGCAGTGCCTAAACACCTCGACTGTTTTTTTCAGATAGCTTGAAACATCTGAAAAACAGCTCTGTCTTTAAGACTTGGGCTGTTATTTTGTTCAAGTTTACTTGCCACTATTTCACATTTTGAAAGGAAATTTATGCCTAGCTTGGACATAGCCAGATGGCATAGGAGTTCCTGCATCTATAAAGTTTAAGCCTCTAACAGTGACAAAACGTTCCTTGGCTTGATACATGTAAGTATTCCTGTACTTCAGGATGTCCTTTACCGAAGTTTGAGGGGCTGTGGAAGCCAGACAGTACTGGGTGCGTGTGCCCAGGTAAACCGCAGCTATGCAACAATTACCTACAGCTGCGCACCTGCACAGTCTTAGTCGGTAAACTGATCTCTGAAGGGGCTTTTAAATTCATTGCAAGGCCACTTAGCCTTACGTTTAAGTTCCCAATACTTAAATCTTTTAATTAGAAAAAAGCAATATACAGGGTCTGGCAGAAGTAAGGCCATTGAGTGTGGTTGGTAGGGTACATGAATGTCTCACACGAGAGGGACAGCAATTTGAACATTTCACTAAAATGTCATATGGTGTGCTTGAGTGTGCTTTTGTTATGTGACAGAATTACATGCTTATGATTTTGTAATAAAAGATTTTTATGTAATAAAAAGGGGGTGTTATTTGTGCCGGATCCTGTAGTTACAGAGTTCGCCCTGTGGGGGAAAGAATAATACCCACTTAAGCTTTCAGAAAGAGCAGTGACAGATAGTTCTTTTGTTTTTAGTATCAATCAGTGAAGGGTCATATTAATAACCATGAATCGGAAAAACTGTAAAATCTGTCCCAGTAACAAACTTAGAAGCGGTAGGAACCAGGGAGGACAGTGTACACCCAAACGGCTGAAGCTAAAGATAGGGCTCAAGTTTTTGAAAATTCAGACTGTATCTAAAGTTAGTATCTTCTTAATATTTAAAAAAAAATATGTAAACATAAAGATCTTTAAATTTGTCTAGAAAACAGAGGCCCTTCGTTTGCAGTACCGCTACCTGGACTTGCGCAGTTTCCAAATGCAGTACAACCTGCGGCTGAGGTCCCAGATGGTCATGAAAATGAGGGAGTATCTCTGTAACCTACATGGTAAGAGATGCCTGCGTGTTCCTGGAGCTTTTTAGAGTCTCTTCTGTTTTATTCGGGGGTTTCACTGCATCCTCTCCTTAGCATCATTGGGTCAGATGCTGCCAGAGGTCTGGAATTCACTTAATGTGTAAAGCAGTTTTTGAAGTTTCATTTCCAGGTGTTTTGTCCTAGAGCATAACGTAGCAAGCTGGAGCATAATTCAGCTTCCTGCTCCGTCACAAACACAGCCTTTCAAGGGTGACAGTGCCTGTTACAGGACCTCCATCGTTGCTGAAGGCCAGGCAGCCCTTAGGTTGTCACCTCTGTAAGGTGTTACATTCTTTATCTTGCTTCTACATCGTTAGTCGTGAGTTCAGGAATGTCATGGGGATTAAATTCCACTCTTTAATCAGTCTTGGGGTTGTTTCCTACTCTATTTGTGTTATTTCTACCCTGTAAGAATATCTAAAAAATCAGAACAATTCAGTAGACAAGAATCCATTAAGTAGTTAGAATTGCTGCCTGACAAAAGTATCAATCTAATGAACAGAATAGGATTTTATGAAAAGCTTCTGCTTTCTTCTTGGATTTATAGAAGCCAGCAGCAGTGGGCGTGGGGACTTATTTCAGTCAAAATTCCTAATTAAAGGGTAGCCTCAGATTTGTTGCACTGTACCGCAGACATCGTATTTGACAAATTCTCAATTATTAAATTCAGACGTTTCCCTCTTTTTAGGGTTTGTGGACGTAGAAACACCGACCTTGTTTAAGAGGACTCCAGGGGTACGTATCAGCCTGCTATAATGTCCTGGTCATTAGGAAACAGGACCACTTCGCAATTCTCTTCACTTGGCTGTATTTCTATTACTCATTTTACTGCTTCAAGATGGTCACATTAACTAGATTTCGTAAGAGCCGAGAAAATCAACAGCAACACAGAGGTGCTAAGAGGCAAAGCCATGTCCGGGTCCCATCCGCTCCCAGCCATTTCCTCCCTGGGGATGGGAGCGGCCCCGTCGCCAAGGGCGGCAGCCCTGCCCCCAACTGCTGTGCGTCCCTCCCTCGGCCAGCGGCCAGCGTGGGCCTTGAGGGCCCTGGGCCCGCCCCTCTCACCTGCTGCGGGCAGAGTGTCGAGCCTGGCCTGCCCGGGGCAGCCCCTCCAGCAGGGCCTTCGGAACTTGGAGAGGGGCTCCGCCATCCCTCGTCCGTGGGTCTAGGAGAGAAAATAGGACATAGGGCTGGGCAGAAGACCCGCCTGCTGCCGTGGGCGCCACAGCTCACTGAACCAGGCCTGACCGTGCCCTCCCGGCTCTGTGCGCTCCGGGTCTCGGTGTCATTCACTTAAGAGGGGTCCAAGGGCTGCAGCCCCCAGGACCCAACACACTTCCTAATCCTGGGATCTGCACTGGGGTTCCTGGACATTTTAATTCAGGATTAACTTTTTCACATGGCAAATGCTAACAGAAGCTTAGTAACAAATAAAATAACATCTTCCAACTATTCAGTTCATAGTGGTATTGAAGAGTTGAGTGCAGAAGGGAGCGTAAGTGGTAATGGAAGGAGACTTGACTTGGGGTGGCGAATTAACCAGTGTCACCCCAATAAATCCAATTTAAAAAGAAAGGGTTGAGTGTGGCGACTGTGAGGCAGATGAACTAATCTGGAACTAATCTGGGAACAACAGGCCAAGACAAGGCCTTCGGACTGTTTTTAACCTTTTATTATTCTAAATGTCAAAACTAAATGAAAAGAAAACAGATAGGATTTTGATTGCAGTCATTTTAATGTGGGTACCACTGAGGCCTTCCTTAGATCCTTTAGTAAAACTATATTTTTCATTAAAAAAAAAGTTGAGAAAATTATGTGGGTCAATGTTTTGAGACAGAATTCTTGTATTCTACATGAGTTTTCTTTGAGATTTATAGATGCAAATCAACAGTGATTTGGTTCCTTAAATATAAATCACTTGTTCTTTAAAAACTGACATTTCTAAACTTTGATATTTAATCTGTTTATATAATCAGTGGACTTATATTTCCTCTCTCTCTCTCTCTCTCTCTCTCTCTCTCGTTAAAAGGGTGCAAAAGAGTTTGTAATCCCATCCAGGGAGCCTGGAAAGTTCTATTCTCTCCCTCAGAGTCCACAACAGTTTAAGCAGCTCCTGATGGTTGGTGGTTTAGACAGGTGAGCTGTCTTTATGCTAGCAGTTGTCAGGAAAGGAAAAGTGGGAAGGAGAAGGGAAAAAGGAATAAAAAAGCTGTCTGAGCTGTTAAAAGAAGGTTAGAAAATGTACATGAAAGTTTGGAAAATGTGTGCAAAGAAAAAATACCCTAAAAATTAGTAGTCATCACTCAGTAAAGATTTTTGGGTGGACTCCATGTGCAGAGCCCTGCGCTGAAAAGCAACTGTGATATACACCAAAACTAAGTGCACTGAGACTAGGTATTGCAGAGTAGGTATTAAGAGGTTTGAAAGTATATTATTTTAGGAAATATCAAAATCTCTGAGCGGGCCTCCTGGGACAGAGCACCTGTCAGCAGATGAAGATGCGCGTTGAACAGCACGGCACAGGCAGCTCCCTTGTGTTCCTGGGCAACGGGTAGTTCACTTGGGCCAAAACGAGAGTCTGTGTGAGGAAGCGCGGACCACCTTGCATGCCAGGCTACTGTATGAATATCCAAAGGTGCCGTTGAGTATTTCTAAAACAACACACACTGTAGTTTTGTTCTCGCAGGTCAGCTACGTCTGGTTAGGTTTCTCCTGTGCCCATTAGATATTATTATTAATTTATCTCATAGCCCGCACTGCCATGAACTTTTTTTTGGGGGGGGGGGGTGTCTCTTGGTAGAATCATTCCTCAATTAATGCTATTTTTTTCAACTGTAGATATTTTCAGGTTGCCAGATGTTACCGAGATGAAGGTTCGCGACCTGACAGGCAGCCCGAGTTTACTCAGGTACAAAGCCATGTTTGCTTGCCTCTCGGTCGTTCAGCCTTGCTGCGGCCAAGTGTTTCCAGACCAGGGCAGCAATGACCCGTTACTTCTCATTGCATTGTATCCATCAGATAGTTAATGAAACTAACCTGCAGTCGAGGCATTCCTCATTTGATTTCGGACCTGTTTCACGTGCCCTTTTTATACGGAGTGTGGCCACCAACTGAGGGAGGCCAGAGGTTCCTACAGTGTTTGAATGGTCACAGTAACATTCGTAAAAGACCTCTTGTACATTAAGAACTAACAGTTCTGTATGTCGGTATTTAACCTGTCTAGTCTGTGGACTACTCAGAGCTGTTATGGTTTAGTTTCTGTTTGATAGCATGTTAATCAGTATGGGGAAGCTCTGAAATCATAGGCTTTGATGGTGGACAGGCCTGGGATCAAGTGTAGCTTTGCTGCTTCCTGGCTATACGTACACAGGCAAGTTACGTAGCCTCTCTGAGCCATATGCCATCAAACGGTCTTGGGAACAGAACAATTGATCATGTATGTAAAGCATTAGCATGGTGCCTGACACAAAACATGTATAATAATATTTATCCCCCCATGTATTACGTATTTATGTCCAGAATCCTATGGCAACTTAAAACGAGAGAAGTACATAAATATGTACATATTGACATTGTGGCTGTACAAGTTAGCTTCTGTATGTTATTTGGTTTCAGATTGACATAGAGATGTCTTTTGTAGACCAGACTGGGGTCCGGAGTCTAATTGAGGGTCTGCTCCAGTATTCCTGGCCCAAAGACAAAGGTCCTGTGGAGGCCCCTTTCCCTTCCATGACTTTTGCGGAGGCCCTGGCCAGCTACGGAACGGATAAACCCGACACTCGCTTTGGGATGAAGGTACTGACTCTTCAGGGCTCCCATGTCCGCCCTCGAATGGTCCCGCAGTCTTCCCAGCCGCTCTGAAATCTACAGCCAGCTGCGACACGGTCATGCCGTATTTTTTGTTGTTGTGGTTACTTTTGTGGTTTTGGAGCTACAGCAAGAGAGGATCATAGCGTGCTACCGCTACAATACTTTTTTCTCTCTGCTGGGTTCTAAAACTCATTCCCAAGAAGCAAGGTTCTTACTAAAAATTTGTATTACCGACAAGTTATTAATCATATGGACACAAATCATAAATTAAACGGAAAAAAAAAAGTGTGCTTTCCTCTTCAATTTTTCTTAAGCTAAAATGGTACTTGGAAGGCAAATGATTAAGTTATTTATTCTTTTTCCAAGGTCTTTAAAGAGCTCAAAGATATGGAAATGTTTATTCAAATTATTGAGATCAACACATATTTAACTGAGGGTGAGGGCAGAGCTTACATGGAGCACTTTCCATCAGCGAGCCTCTCGGTATTTGCTCTTCTTACAGAGCAACAGCCTCTGTCTCTGTACTGCTGGTGACGACTCTGTCACTCAGGACAGATGCCTTAGAAACTGAGTTCTGCCTGGTCTAGGCATAAGCCGCAGCGCTCCCTTCTTAGAACAAGAAAAACACAGCACGAAACAGGCCTAACTGCCGGCCCCCGCTGCCGGCCTCCACCCGTGTTTCTTCTTCCAGGACATGGACTAGCGGCTCTTCAGGCCGGCTGCTTCCATTCCGGCTCTGCCACTTGCTGGCTCTGTCATCCTGGGCCGGTTTTCCCCTTCCCTGTGCCTAGTTTCCTCATGTATTAAGTGGGGATAATACGAGTGCCTCCCTCATACCTGTTTTACAGATGAGATAAATTAATACTCATGAAAAATATGTTGGCATTTGCCATAGCACCCAACCCATGGGAACCACTCTATAGATGTTAACAAGATCTACTTTTTTTTTTTAACCAATTTTCCAGATTGTAGATGTCAGCGATGTGTTCAGAAACACAGAGGTTAGATTTCTCCAAGATGCACTTAGTAAACCCCAAGGAGCCGTCAAAGCCATATGCATCCCTCAAGGAGCAGTAAGTGAAGCACAGCTCTGGGTTTTCTCTCATCTGGGTGCGGGAAGTCATATGTTCCGCGTGGGAACATTTAAACTTCAGAAAGAATGGTCTCTTTAAATAAGTGTATTTATCTTTTCCCAAAAAACTCATAAAAATAGTCCTAAAAAAAGAATATATATCTTTATGTAAAGTCTAACAGTGTCCCTAAAACTATAGTAGAGAAAATAGATGAATTTATAGTCAAGATCAAGAGCTTCTTTCCTCATTTAAGCAGCACCGTAAGGCACACCTGCCTCCTCTGGGTCCGATTCTGCCCAGGATGAGCGTAAAATCGCATTCCTGTTTTCTCTCCGGTCTCGGGTGTGTCCGAAGCCTCTCTGCTCAGCCCAGGACAACCCTTGCACATTGGTTCTTGATTAAGGTTGCTGTTTTGAAAGACTATTCATTTGGGTATGTAAGCATATTAAGTAGGTTCGAAATGAGGCTAAGAATTCTGCCTCATTACATTTTATTCACTTCATGTGTTCAGTGGAAAGTTAGTTGGTGTCCATACTCTAGTCCAGACGTATGAATGTATTTGGGTAAGGTCTGTACTCATACAACATACATCACCTGTTGCTACCAGCTACACTTGTTGGGGGATGTCCATTCCTCCCCAAGGAGATTGTTAAGACCTGCTGGGTCGTGAATCTCCCACAGCTGGTTAAGTGGCCCATGAATATTGGTGATGATGGCAGTGTCCCCGTTAGAGAGTCAGTGAGATAATTTACAAAAAGTGAGATATAAAGAATTTTAAGAGGCCTGAAATAACTAAATTCTGAATCCTCCTATTGATCTGAAAGTTATTTTTTCTTTCACAATTCAGTCGTGAAGATTTGTTTTGAACATTTATCCTGCTAATTACATGAAATGAAAGCACAGCTATTTGCAGTGGGAACTGCATATTAGGGAAAAAATAAACCCTGTAACAAGTTTTAAAATTTTGACATTTGGCAGCAGAAATTAAATTTTAATTGAATCCTATTATGGTGATGGAAAGACACAAAATATATTTGTATCCCGTTTGCTATCATAAACATGTTTACAAAGCTAAGTGTCATATTGATGAGTTTACTTTGATTTTCTTTCATCAGAAATACTTAAAAAGGAAAGACATCGAGTCAATTAGAAAATTTGCAGCTGACCATTTTGATCAGGTAAGGAGTTAAGAGTATTTTTTTCCCTGTCTTGTAGGGATTTAATATTGGAAATAATTACTTAAGCTCTTTCACTATCATTCGTTTTGACAGCCTTGTCATTTCAGATCATTCTTCCATTTTTCCTTTTTATTTTTAAACTTACTGTTACCCAGGGGTATAATTCTAAGACTTCAACTTAAAAAGTCAAATTCACCACCAGTCAGCCCTGGCTGGGGTGGCTCAGTGGACTGAGCGCCTGCCTGGGGACCGAAGGGTCACTGGTTCCGGCCCGGGCCGGGGCACATGCCTGGGCTGCAGGCCAGGTCCCCAGCTGGGGGCGTGCGAGGGGCAACAACGTCAATGTTTCACTCCCTCTTTTTTTCCCTTCTTCCCCCCACCTAAAAATAAATAAAATCTTTTTTAAAAATTCACCATTAATCAGAATGTAAGTTCAATCGTAAGATTTTAAATAAACAATGGTACTTTAATCTGGTTAGGAAAATAAATAGAGCCCTGTGTGCCCACAATTTTCCTTTTTACTTAAAGTAACAGTAACGGTGAAACGCAGTAAGGGTTTCGCCGTAGCTCGGGCCACTGCAGTCCCCCAGCAGGGCACCTGATTGCAGAAATCGCGTGCATGTCTACATGCTGCCTGTTTAAAAAATCTGAACTTTTATCTGTTCACTTCCTGCACTGGGAGACGAGGCTCCCAGACACAGGCCTCACCTGGCTGCTCTGCCCCGCCTGCACGGCCGTCTTTCTGGGCTTTCCTCCTTTCCTCCTGGAGTGGAAGCCGCACTTCTCCCGGAGCCCAGCCCTTCCTCTTTCTCGCTTGTGCAGGGGTCGACCCTCACGCACTTCCTAAGGAAGGGTATGAGAGAGAGACTTTCTGAATCCGTACAGGTCTGAAGACGTCTCTGCGTTCAAAACATTACCTGCTTAATAATTCTGCTTTGTGTAAAATTCTGAATTGGTGGGCACATCCCTTTAGAACAGTGCTGTCCAATAGAACTTTCTGTAATGATGGAAAAGTTTCATGTCTGCAGCGCCCAGCATGGCAGCCAGTGGCCAGTGCAGCTCCTGCATGCATGAAATGAGGCTACTATGCCGGAAGAATTGAACTTTATATTTCATTTCATTTAAATTTAAGGTTATGAAGCTGCATGTGACAGGTGGCCAGAGTTAGACCGCACAGCCTTAGCTCATTAAACGAGCTGCTTGAGTTTTAGTTTCTTCTTGTGTCTGCTGTTACTGATGAGAAGCCTGATGCCTGCAGGGATTGACTCCTTTTTAGCGAACCTAACTTTTTTTCCTTTAGAAGCTTTCAGCCTCCTCATTCTTGATGTCCTGAAATCTCAGTTGGTGTAGCTTTGGATCGTTTTTCAGTGTGTCGCACACGTGAAGGGCCCTTTTAATTCACGGAGGCGCATGTCTTTCAAGCAAATTCTTTTCTAACTATTTTGACCTCATCATTTTCTCTAGCGTCCCTTTTTGGAATTTCTGTTAGTTGTGTGTTGGACCTCTTTTTGTAACTTGTATGTCTCTTCCCCCCCCCCCCCCCCGTGTCCTTCCTCATCTTTTCCCCCCTGAGATTTGTTGAACTCTTCTGCTGAATTGTTTTTTTTTCAGCAACCATATTTTTATTTCCCAGGGGCTCTTTATTCTTTTCATTGCATTTTAATTTGGTTTCATTAAACCAAAGATAAACATATATTTGTGAATGCCTTTGAGGTTGAAGTCCTGTTTTTGGTGCCTAAATTACCTCTTTCCTCTTGGGTTCCTTCTTATCTTGGTTGCTGTTTGTTTTGGGGGGATTATACTGCAGTTTCCTCAATGTGCAGTGATTGTCGATTGTACACACTTAAGAATGAGGCATTTGCAAAGCTGGCTGGAGCACAGGGTCCTTGGCGGGGCTTTGCAAATGGTTAGGTTCAGATGAGGGTGAGCAGCAGGGCCATTGGCCATCCCCCTGGGGACCCGAAGCTTCCGGAGCCCTGAGCATCTCTGGGATGCTGCAGGGGAAAGCGGCGCCTTCTGGCGCTGAGGCTGCTCCCTCGTTCTCTGGGCCCGAGCTCCCTGCGCCCTGCTGCCTCAGTCGTTCCTATCCTGCTCACTTGCAGTCCCCCAAAAACGTGCGAATTCTCTAATCTGCTGACATCCCTCCTGACCCTTCGTTCTCTTTGTTTTTCAGTATGACGAGATTACCCTTTACATTCCTTTAATACCATTTTGAAGGGGTTCAGGGAAGGAATAGATATAATGTCATGTAAGCTCTCTTCTACTGGGAACAAGAAATGTTTGTACTGTAAGATTTTTCTTACAAACCACTGCACTTTTTTTAAAAATGTGAATGTCTTTTGCTTTATCCCAGGAAGTCTTACCTGTGTTCCTGAAAGCCGGTCAGAGCTGGAACACTCCAGCTGCCAAGCTCGTGATGGAGGAACAGGGAGGGGGACTCTCGGGACGACTGGCGGCCGGGGCGGAGGACGTGGCCCTGCTCGCTGCCGGGGAGCACAGGAGAGCAGTAAGGAGCGCGGCCCAGGCTCCGGGCCGCTGGGGCTGCGGGGCGCTCCTCTCCTGTGCATGCAGAACATACTGGAAATTGTTTCATAAGCCGGAGCTGCTCTGCATGAGTTTTTATATGAAAAAAATACCTTTCAGCGCTTTCTAATGCACTGTAGAATAACTCAGCTTTTTTCACTACCAGCCTCCATTGGCACTGCTCACACAGACCAGCTCTGGCTCGGATGAGGAAAGCCACTCAGGCAGGGGGCTGTTGGTGCTCAGGGTACAGCGATGAGGACATATTTTCAATTGCAAGGTTTTGCAAATTAAGAAGAAGTGGTAGTCACTAACTTTTGCACATAATGCGCTCCTGAAATGCTGCTGGTGTGGCAGGATCCTTCTCCTCAGGAGCAGCTGCTGGGAGGGGCAAGCGCCACCACACACTGGCTCAGTCACCGTTCTGCAGGGGACACGCGGAAGACCAGATGTAGCTGCAGAGGTCACGGTAAAACACACAACAGTGGTGTCAAAGTCAAACGAGTACTGGACGTAGATGGGAAAGGTCAAGAAGTACTGACACCGTTACCGTTGTGGAGATAAGAAAACCGAGACTTGGAGGTGAAAACGTCGCCCACACACGGTTGGCAAGTGGAGGAGCCAGATTTTTTTTTTTAACTCTTCAAGTCTGGTCCCCAAGGCCACACTCTTAAGTTAACCCCTAATCCACACTGCCTTCCTCATAGCAGCCAACGTTCACTGAACTTTAACTACACGCCAGGCTCTCAGCAGATCCTCAGCGCAGCCTTCAGGAGCAGTGAGGAAGTAATTGTCGGAGGCAGGGCCCACCATATTGCCCCTTCCATGTCTTGTCTCACTGAATGGCCGCCCCAGCCTTCTGGAGTAGTTGCTTTTATCTCCACCTCCCCATGGAACAGGGCGCGGAGAAGTTAGCAGCAGGTCCCAGGTCCCTCAAGCTGATACCTGTGCGCTCAGTCCCCCAGGCGCTGGGTCTGACAGTCCCCCTCGGCCTATCGCAGTCAGATCGGGCTCAGACCACTGTCTCCTGAGAAGCTTAGCGTGTCTCTTCTGCTTGGCTAACCCTTTCCCTGAGAATAGCCTGGCTTTAGAATCTGGACCGTGTCATTTGCTGACTACTCTGTCCTCGCAGTTACCTCAGTGCTCGTACCTTCTGTTTGCAGTGCTCTTTGCTGGGAAAGTTACGCCTGGAATGTGCCGACCTGCTAGAAGCAAGAGGAATGGTGCTCCGTGACCCAGCCCTGTTCTCATTCCTCTGGGTGGTGGACTTCCCACTGTTCCTTCCCAAGGAAGACCATCCCGGAGAACTGGAGTCCGCCCACCACCCGTTCACAGCTCCCCATCCCAGCGACGTCCACCTGTTATACACTGAGCCCGAAAAGGTACCGTCAGGACCTGGGAATGAGAGGGAACGTGGAAACGAAAGCAGGGACTTCAGATTTCAGTCCGAGAGCCCCTGGAGAAACTGCCGGGTCTGAGCGACCAGTTAACATTTCGTAATGTAAAGACCCTGTGTGTCTTCTAGGTCCGTGGCCAGCACTATGACTTGGTTTTAAATGGCAACGAGATAGGAGGTGGTTCCATCCGAATTCACGATGCTCAGCTCCAGCGCTACATCCTGGAAACGCTACTGAAGGTGGTGTCATCTTCTAATCTGGCCTTTTTTTGTGTTAAAATTTGTATGAATGGAGAACTCACTAGATACAGGAGAGTATCAGCTTACCTTCCTACCTTTCGTGTAAGACTTTGTAAGCTAATAGCTGCTTTTTAGTGCTTATTTTATGCCGGGCACTGCTTAAGTACTTGATATGCATTGACACATTGAATTCTCACCATCTCTTTTTTGAGATAAGTATTCTTATCCCGCCCATTTCACAACTGAGACCCTGAGGCTGCTTCATTTGCTGCCCCAAATCCGGTGACCTGCCTTGGCCCTCAAGACGTCCCACCAGCGTTTGACACCGCTGCTTCCTGCTTTCCCCCCAGCCCCCGCACGGGACAGTCCCCACTGTCACACTGCCGCTCTGCGCCCGCACCTCGACAGCCGTGCCTGGTCCTGCTGTCCCATCATCAGTATAATAGTAGCTGCATTTCCTGAGCTCCAGGCGTTGCTCTGCAGGTGTTAACACCTGTGACTTGTCACATTATCTTACTCAACTGTGAACCTCTTGCGGTCCTTTTTGAACTCACCTTTATTTTCCCTTTCGCACCTAAGCACACTGTGTGGTGCTCAGTGGACCCTCAGTGGGTACTGATACGGAATTATCTTTGGAATTTCAGGAAGATGTGACATTGCTCTCCCATCTGCTCCAGGCTTTAGACTCCGGGGCGCCCCCTCATGGAGGAATCGCCTTAGGTAAACAACATGCCCTTTTACAAGCCAAGTCTCATTCTAGTGCACTCAAATCCGGGCTCCCAGCTTAAGGCGGGGTTGCGGGGGGCGGCGGGCGGGCGCAGTAAAGACGACCAGGGATGAGCCCAACAATTCTCCAGAATTGAAGTTTTGATTTTCATTTCAACAATATACCCGTACTTTAAAAATACACTTTACCAGTGATAAAGCTAAAACTTAGCTGATAATTTGCATTTGAAAGATGTTTTTAATAGAATGGAACCACATGGTCTCAGTCACTATTGCTCAACCCCTGGGGCTGTGTTGGTAGGAGTTTGGAGCGCCCCCTGATGGCCAGGGGCGCTCACCTCCCTGCTCTGAGCGGGTCAGGAAGAATGTGAAAAGTTCTAGAAAGCTCACCTGGGCTGTGGACTCTCCGCCGCAGGGACCTCCTTCTGTGTTCTGGAGCCCCCTGCAGGCCCCAGGTCTTGTTCAACCTTGAGTAAGCTGTCACTCTTCATCCCAGTAGACATGAATGTTTGTCCTGAGCGTTTTTTCTAGAATGAGATAGAAAATAACCTCTCAAACACACTTCCCTAAAAAGGCAGTGAGCTGTGACTAGCTGCAACCGGTCAAAGATTCTTTTTTAAAAGTTCTCTACAACCTTTATAGGAAAACTAAGTCACCCCCAGCCTCAGATTACATTGCCATCCGTTAACTTTGTATTTCGCTCGCAGGGTTAGACAGACTGATATGCCTCGTCACTGGTGCGCCGAGCATCAGAGACGTCATAGCCTTCCCAAAATCCTTCCGGGGGCACGACCTCATGAGCAGTGCCCCAGACTTCATCCCTCCTGAGGACCTGAAGCCGTACCATGTCCAGGTCTCCTGGCCGACAGACTCAGAAGCAGAGAACTCGCTGAATCATCCACACCGTCCAGAAAGTTGAGCTTTGGATTTCATCCTCTTTGCTCCCTCGAGGCTAAAATCACATCTGAGTTCGGCCGCAGATCTGACCCATCTTTAGGTGGAAGGACTCCAGGCTACATTCTTCACCACAGAAAAGAGTCAGAAGGTAGCCAATCTTGGCTTGATAACATGCATTATTAGGGCTTTTTTTGAAGTTTTCTTTTTTACTTGGAGAGGTGTGAAAGAAGGCTCTTTGTTGGATAATATAATGGCTGTTTCCTAATCATGTTATTCATACCCAGATAGTACACTGTTCACTTAGGACAGAAGTAATCAAAATCGTGTGGAATGTGAGAAATATTTGCCGCTTTAGACTGGTGAGTTGATGGAGGAGTTGGTTTAACCAGTGTCGTCAAGAGAATCCTATCAGTTGAGCTGGACTGTAGTATTTCAACTATCAATATAAAAGAGGGAAAAGCAACATGATGCAACACAAAATGTCCCTGAAATGAAACCCACAGAACCTTAGTCACTGCTTCACCTTGAGGAAGCTGCGTAAGTCTCTCGGCCTCCCTCCTGCTTATGGGAAGTGCACACGGTGCCCGCCCTGGCACCGCACCTGGCCACGTCAGAGGGGCTCATCTGTGCGGAAGACCATGCAGGTGAGAACGCTTTGGACAACTGTAAGGCGGGACACAAATGTAAGACTCCGCCCATCTGGAAACAGATACAGGTGTACCTCTGTGATTTTGTAAGTTAAGGTTAAACAAAACTGACTGTAGTGAAAGAAAAACAGTAAATTTATTAATCAATATTGTTTATATTTGTTTTTTAAAATAACTAATTCCTAAATAATTTTCTCTCAATTTTATTGAAACTATTGATCTTAGGCCAACCTCAGAAGTATAGAAAGACGAACACTGAAACTCATTGTGATTTTTTTATGTGATCTGTTGACACAAATAATAAGCTTGTAACTAATAAATATAAAATGGAAACAAGGCCTTGATGAATGAAATCGTTCTTTTCTACATTATCTTCACTTTTGCCTTGACAGCCTTTTGATTTTTAATGTGTGAACACTGAGTATCAGCCTGTATCCCTGCCTGTTTTCCTCAGGGCTCCTAGTGATGCGATACTATAATCTTCTATTTGAAAATAAAAGCAGCTTCACTTCCAGGTCTGATTCCTGCTGCTCAGCAGGCTATGAAGAGCGTCAAGACCCTCCTCCACTACAGAAATCTGTCCCCGTTAGATGGGGTGTTCCCCTCAAGCTGGCCCTTAACACAGTCACTGTCCAGCTGGGGGTGGACCATGGAGCCAGAAAACCCTTGCTAGCAGGTTCTCCTGGTAAGAAAGGCTGTCCAACTCTGCCTGCCCTTTCTCGGCAAGAGTTGTTTCTAGAGGTGCCCTTTATTGGGTAGGAAAATGCAGTTTTAAATCTGCTTATCCCACATGGATGTTACCTAATTTCTAAATACAATAAATTCACTATTCACTGTTTAGAGCATCATTCTGATCAAAATATCTTTCTGTGCTGGGATGAGTGACAGAAAACACCCCAAATCTGTAGGATGTTTTCTAGGCTACAAATACCAAAGGCCCCCAGAGGTCAAACCATCCTGAGTCAGCACCGCAGAAACCGTCAAACGGGGCGTCATCACCCAGCTTTCCCTCAGTCCTGCCTGTCGCAGGGGGGAAAAACGTGCTTATTTTGAAATCCAGGGAGATGCCACTATTTTAGGTCTTCATCATTGAGATGGAGTAAAATTTTTAACATTTTAAATCCAATCCCCAACCTTCTAGGCAGTTTAGACTTATGCTGAGAGTTTTAAAAACTAGGTAAGCAACTGCTAACTACATGGATAGTTATTAGCTTCAAGAGAACTTTGTCTCGTGAACAAATTCTCCTTGGGAAGATGTGTCAGGTGATGAGTCTGAGGCGATGTTTTATGCTCTTGGGCTTTGGTTGAATAAAACAACGCGTCTATATAGCGGCTCTTTTCCCAGAATTCCCCTCTGAAGAACCAGAACTCTGACATTACTCACATTCCTTATTGCTTTTTTGTTCAGCATGGCTCATCTTAAGGATACTACCTTAAGGACACTTTTTCCTCAAGGGGGAGTTACTCATGAGAAATGACCACGTACACAACAAAAATGTTAAGAGATCTACGGAACAATTGCATATATACGTCACGCAGTAAGTGCACGTCTACATCAGTTCTCTGTATTCAAGACAATGGACTCCCCCCCCCAAAACGAGCTTGTGTGACCTGGAGAAACCTGGATTTAACGACCGGATTTACCTCCCTCTAGTTACACAGCCTTAGTCCAGTCACTTAACCTCTCTAGGCTCCTATGTCTGCAGCTACAGTAACAGTTCTCAAGCTTTTTGGTCTCAGGACTCCTTAGTCTTTAAAATTCTGAGGATCCCAAAGAGCTCTATAGAGGTCTACGACTACAGAAGGAATTCAGATTTTTTTTATAGACTGTATTAATTTATTTTTAGAGAGGGGTTAGGAGGGAGAGAGAGAAACATCTATGTGTGGTTGCCTCTTGCCTGCCCCCTACTGGGGACCTGGCCCACAACCCAGGCACGTGCTCTGACTGGGAACTGATTCAGCGACCCTTTGGTTCGCAGGCCAGCACTCAATCCACTGAACCACACCAGCCAGTGCAGAATTCAGATTTCTTAAATACTTATTAACCCATTACATTAACACAAATAGCATGTTTTTGTTTAAAAAATTATTCTCTAAAGCAAAAATTAGAAGAGCGACATTGTTTTACATTTCTGCAGATATTTTTCAAGTCTGGCTCAAAAGATGACACTGGGCACTTGTCACATCTGCCGCACTCCATCATTTGGGTTGAAACATATAAAGAAAACCTGGCCTCAGAGATACGAAGATGAAGAAAGGAGGTGTATTTTTAATAGCCTTTTCTGGTAATTATGGATATTCTTCCTCGATACTACACCAAAATTGGGCAAGTTCCTTACAGGTTACTTGCAAAGTGGAACCTGAATCTCACAGATAAACTTTTTCAAGTCTTCTGGCCCATCTCATATTTTGAATATAACTTTTACTTCTGTGTAATTTTCTAACACCAAACATTCATCATTTGGAAATTATTGGTCCACCGAATCATGCAAATCTTCCCAAAGTTGGCATATTATACAATTCCTAAAATATCACATTTTGAGTATCACTGCTGATTTCATCACAAAAGCCTTAAGTGTGGAAAGCTGTGAGCTCAGTGACAGACACAAGCTTTCTAACATTCTCATTTTCAGTTGAAAGCTTGAATTTTATCACTGGCAACAAATACCATCAGTTTTTTCCACACTTGTTCACTTCTGAGAAAATAGCAGCCAAATGCCCAAATATGGATGATCTTAATTTTCTCAAGTAAAAATGGTGCTCTGAGGGGGAAGGCTGGTAACTCTGCTGCTGACTCGCTGGCCCGTGACTTTTGTAGAAAACTGCACTGTGCATCGTGGCCTGAGTGTTTCATGTGTACTTCCCACTGTCACACAAGCCATTAAGATGACATGTATGCAAAGTCGAGATTTAATGACTGGAATTCCATAATACAATGCTGTACAGATTGTCAAAATTTGTATTGGGTTAGCCAAAAAGTCCCTATGATTTTTTTGCATAAAAGACACAGTGTTCATTTTCACCAATAACTTAATTGATTTGGCTGTTCTGAATATGTTGGCTATCTACCGTGTAGCGTAATTGTTGATTGTTCTCAATGTCTCAATTTGATCGTTCTCAACTTCTTCTGGTCCACCGAAATGTGGCGCAACGTCCAATCAGAAATCTCCAGCATGAAACTTCGCAAACCACCTCTGACACGTTCAATCAGTCACAGCACCTCCTTACAATGCACACATCTTTTTATGCGTTTTGGTTGCATTTTTGCCTTTCTTGAAATAATAAAGCATAATATGCCAAAAATGTTACATATTTTCTTCCATCTTCAGTGTTAAAATTGCAACACAAAAAATCACCAATTTTTTTTTTTAATGCATGCTGATATGACAGCTGTCACAATACAATCTGACAAAATTGTTTCAAATGATGTTGAAGACAACTAAGTGCTACTAGAGCATCTTACGGAAAAACCCAAACTTCTTGGCCAACCCAATAAATGCCTCAAAAAGTTTTCAAAATCCCAAAATGGCACTTTTATAGGAGAGAACATATAAACTCTGTATGCAAGAATGTAGAGAATTCCTTACACCATGGCAGTCAGGACAGGCAGGATGATGTCACTCCTTTGCTCAAAAATTCCAGCGGTTTCCTCTCAGAGGAAAGCGTCTGCACCAGAGCTCCGAAGCCTGTCACCCTTGCTACCTGGCCACATCCTCCCACGCTGCACTGTCCCTCTGCTCCACTCACATGGGTGTCCTTGTTTTCCTGTTCACCAGGCACGACCCCAGCGACTCTCCAGTATCTGCACTCTTCCCTCCTGGTACTTGTCTTCCTCAAATGCTTCCTTCTCAGTGATTTCCCCCACAGCCGTATTCAAAAGAACGGCCCCTGCCTCCCACCGGCACCCTCTGCCGGCTTTCCTTCCCTCTGCAGCAGTAACAGCATCGCCATCTGATCCTCTACGCTGGAGTTTGCCCTGAATGCAAGCTCCAAGAGGGCAGATTTTATTTTTGCTTTGTTCTCTGCATTATCAACTCCCAGCTCCTGGAAGACTCCTTGGCACGTTAACAGGTGTTCAACAAATATATGGGGTCAATAATTAAATGAGTAATTGAGTAACACATGCCAACCCCTGGGTTAGGAGCTGAAGATGGGGAAGTTGTGGTCACCCGAGCTTTTAGCCTGGCAGGGGAGATACACAGATCATAGTGACACGACGCCATAAATAGATGAGGTCACACAGGGAAGAGACCCTGAGACCAACCTAATCAATAGGGAAGGCCTTGTAAATCAGAGCCCTCACTTGCTGGCAGCCTGTCGCTACGCGAGCTCCTTGGCCTTGACCATTTCAATTCCAGCAGGCCACTTCAGCAAGAGTCAGGCCTCAGTGCTCATCTGTACGGCGCAGTACACCGACACTTTCTCTAGCTTTCCTGCCTCGAAGGGTCAAGTTTACCAGCTTTCAAGCCCTGATGTGTTTGAGTTTGAAGATCCCTTTAAGTTCAAGATGTATCTGAGAAGCTAGGGCATTTGAAGGACAAGCAGTCACCACGTGCCGCGTCAGAACTGCTGCCGCCGCCCATTTCCTCAAATGAATTACAGGGGGCGTCTAGTGCATGGCTGCAATTTTTCAATGATACTGAGTTACCAACCTGGCAATCCGTGCTTCAAACCAGTTCCTAGGGCTTAACACCTTACGTACCTGTTCTCCCGTGCCTTCCCCAACACGGACAGGTTACAGAAATGAGTTTCCTGGTATTGGAGGGAGGCCAGCTTCGCACTGCTTCCTGTCTAAGGTCACATTAGTTTTGTCCGCCGTCCAGTCCCTCTACTGGACACTGGGCGTGTGTTCCCTAAGGCCTCTCCAACCATCTGGCAAGCCGGCTTCCCCCAACCACACCACTGGGACTAACCCTAATCCTCCTCACTCCAGACTTTCTAGAGGCTGTGCCCTTTCTCCCCGCCCCCAAAGATCTTTCAGTGTCTTCTACCCCATTTCAAAATCAAGGAATTTCATCTTCAGCCTTTCAGTCCCAATCACCAAAAACTTCAAAGATTTCACCTGACCATATCTAATTCTCACAATAAAACCAGACTAACAGGCTTGGAAACACTGTAATCCCAAAAAACCAAACCCCCTTCATGGAGTTTACGTTCCAGTAGGCGAAAACATGAGTAACTGAAGGGCTAGTGTCCCTGGGTAGGGATGGTCCCATTTCACACAGGGCCTCGGGGACTTTGGGAGGACACCTAAGTATGGGTGTCAATGTGGCTACAGCCAACAACTTCAAGTATTTCCTCATCCCCTAGAAGTGTCACCTTAACCAACAGCACCAATTACTTGGAGAAAAGGAACAGCCACCTTTATCCTGATTCATATTTGTAATATTTACAACTCTTAAGTTATCAAGCAGGAAGTCCTAAGAGAAACTGCAACCCAATGTTCCAAATACATTAGACAGTGAGCTGCAATTTGGCTTTTCAGTGCTGCAAGCAGCCCAAATTAATGGTTTCCTTCAAGGAATTAGCTGGTAATTTAACTTGGTTAAATTAATAGTCTCATTAACTTGACCTAAATGCATGTCTACAGATTTTTATTTGTAAAATCAATTCTCCTGAAGTGATTTTTCTAAAGACAAGGACATTGTTTTAACCACAGCACTTAATGGCTTCAAAAAATTTAAACATGCTTAATATGCATCTTTTGGGGGCGATCCATCCCTGAGACAGCCAGTCACTCCAATTTTGGCCAGAGACCCAGCACTGTGTGCTTACAGCAAATGGAAGGTTCCACTTTCAGCGCTTCCCACCACTAGTTGACATTAAGAGCATCTGCTTTTCTTTGCAACTTTATTTGCTTAAGCTCCTGTTCTAGCAGTTCAATGGCCCGTTCTGTACACTAAGACCACTGAGGACATGCTGTGGTTTATTCCTCAGCATAAACTGCACCTCAAAACCTAAGATATAGTGTACAGTGCACATGAAAACCTCACTGAGCAGGCTGTCTTGGTGAAACGGGCTGCCGTGGGGGTCTTACTTACAAAGATGTCCTATTTTCCTTCCTTCATCCCATTAAGTTGAAATAAGCAAACTTGATCAGATGGTTTATAAAAGTTTATTAAAATTCAGTTATTTGATCTTCTAACTCATGAGCATCCATGCAGCTGCCTGCAAAAAGAAAGCAGCTGTTTTTAGTCACAATTCTGTATTTCAACTCTAATGGCATTTGAAGTATACAGAATATCAGATCCTTTATGATCATCAAGTGGTCAGTGAGAGAGTTCAAGGTGGGGTAGATCATCATGTATTCTGGAGGAAAACAGAGCCGACTATTTTCAAGGCTTACCTTTCAACTGGTCAGTCGGCGCATGACCGCCACCAGAAATGCCTGAAAGCAGAGACGTCGTGTCAGTGATGATAAAAAAAAAAGCGTCTGTGTTGCTTGTTAGTCAAGTAACCTCAGAATCAAAATGGAACGGTTTTATGAGTGATATCATTCTACTTCATTTGGCAGAATCAGTACATCACTGGTTACAGTCTAATTTATGACAGAGATCAATGACTGACTCACCTAGAAATCTTCAAGGTTAACAGGTCTGCCTGAAGGTGGGGGGGAAAAAGGACAGTCGTTAGAAATTGCCCTGCCTTATCTCCCATTTTTCACTTTTAGGAAAGTAACATTTAGGGCAGTGAACCTATTCTGCACAATACAATGGTGACTTTTATTTCATGTCTGTCCATACCCAGAGTACACCCTGATTGAACCCCAGTGAGAACTAGACTTTGAGTGGTAACCTTGTGTCCTTGTAGGTTTGTAAGTCTAATAAAAGGCCCACTATCATGCCTGGATGTTGACAGTGAGGTGCGTAACTACAGGGTACACAGGAACTCTGTACTTTCTGTTCATTTTTGCTGTGATTCTAAGTGCAAAATTAAATTTAATGAAGTAAAACTTATGAACAGCTAAATAATTCTGGTATGACCAAACAGACTTGTATGTACTCCATAAACATTTTTTTCCACTACGCCCTGGCAGGACAGATCCGTTGGTTAGAATGTCGTCCTGATACGCCAAGGTCATGGGTTCAATCCCCAGGGTCAGGGCACATACACCAACTCATGTATGCGTAAGTAAGTGGAACATATCAATGTTTCTCTCCCCTTCTCTAATCCTTAAAGTAATACCACAGGGAGTATCTGTATGACATTAGTTGTCCAACCCCCTACACTGCTTTGGGAGATAAGGGCCAGCCCTCCCCACTGTAAGGTTATCAGTGAGTGCTGCAGCCAGATACATCAGATAGGAGCGAAAGACAGTACTGCTCATCACTGTTAGTCTGCTGAACTATGGTATCATCATTGTATCGGCTTTACACCACCTAACATAGAAACCGAACTCAAAATTACTATACCTTTGCTTAAAATCCTTCATTCCAGGCCACCTTGTCGACAACCCAACTCTTCACACCTGCAGAGGTTTAGTCAAATTTAATTAACGGATAATAACAGGCAAATTTCTAAAATTTTCCAGGTACTGTTTCAGTTATTAAAAAACTTCATTCTTTTTCAGAGAGATTCCCATCTGTTTTTAATTTCAAAGATCATCACTAACAGCATCTTGCTCAGTAACAAGCTAAGACTAATAAAATAAAGAACACATTACCTTTAAATGCCTCAAAAATCTGCACCTGAAAAATAAAGTATTTCTTTAGACTATTTCTCAAAACCATCCATGGCTTTTTCACTGCCAGAAAACACTAAGTTAACAATTACTGAGACCAGCACATTTCAGCAATAACATAAATCTGAGTATCAGAAGCTAGAAATTGTTTTCATGTCTTACCGCAAGCATGCCATCCGCAGGTGAAAACATGTCTCCAACTGCTAGAAGATACACAAGACATCTTTTATTAATGTTAAATATCAATAAGTTCTTTGTTCAGTGTTATTTGTCGCAGGGTTTTTCAGTGTTAAATCTGTCTACATGCTCATTTCAGGTCAGACATTTGATCAACATCATTACAAAAACCCCACTGAGGGCATGCAGAACATGCATTCAGCAACCAAACACCAAGACAAAGAATTAGTAGCTTGTTAAGTACTATATTTTATCAGTATTCTCAGTACATTTTGAGCCTACTAGAATATTTTTAATCATTGATACTCACCAGAAAAAAATAAAGCTGGTCCAGACACATCCAAAACTCAAGTCCACCTAAAAAAAAAAAAAAAAAAAAAAAGGGCAGTTTTACAGTAGCCCAAGGTGAATTTTCCCCTCACAAATCTACAAAAAACGCCCGAAATCAGGTAGAGCTAATAAGTAAGACCTTCATGTTTAGTCCGTGTTTGCTTATCATCATACAGGCTGCTCTGACAAATCACGACACAGTGGCGGTAAGAGGACCAGGCTCTGCGATGCCCTCAGCACACCAGTCCAGCCCGCCACGGCGCGTGCTTCCCACGCGCCAGGAGGCAATCCCAGAAGGCCACAGCTGGCCGTGTCCTCTGTCCAGTTACCAATGTGCAGGTTTAATTTTACTTACCATTTCAGCTTCCAGTGGGTTCCTCTCAGTGCCTACAAGAACAGAAGCTAGGTTAGCAGCGGGACTTTCCTTATATTATTACCACCAAAGCAGTTCTCTACCAGACACATCAGACAAGTGGTACGTCTCTTCAGGACTCAATCTGCTGAACTATGCAAACATCACAGTATCTGTGTCTTCAGGTGGCACCCAGCGTGAGACCCCCGAGCACAGGAGTTCACGTTTGCAAAGGGGAGGAGGAAACCCCTAAGTTATCAGCAGTTTTGGCCACCATTAATCCCTTAGAAAAAAGCGACCGAAGAGGGACTGCGCAAAGATGGGCTGTAAAAAGGTTCCTCACCTGTCTGCCCGCGGCCCGAGTGGGATACTTGTGCTTTAGGACCTGCGAAGACAGTTTCATTTCATGTCAACTTAGGCACATCTTTAGCTTCTGTAAGTCACCACTTTGTGTGCCTCAGTTGGGAAAATGGTGGTAATAATTCTCGTCATCCTCACAGTCAAGAGTAGCAAATAAAATGTCATCATTGTGGCACGTCGAGTGGACTTTCAACCTAACTTCCTCTGGCAGGGAACTTCGGTAACTTACCTGGGCAGCCCTTGTCATCCCTTTGGCACAGAACTGGAAAGAGAGACACACAAAAGAGACGCAATGACACATACTGTGCAGCCACGTAACACATGAACGTCACAAATATTTATGCCTCAGAATAGTTTGTCAGAAATCCCTTCTGCCCACTACTCTTAAACCATCACAGGCTTAACACAAAGGCCACAGCAAAGCAAATTTCGTTCTTCCCACTGTATTTACCAGTTTCTTACCTGTCCATCAGCCACCATCGAAAGCCACATTGCACTCGTGCCTAGCAACATTCCTGGGAAAAAAGATTAGGTCTTAATTCATTTGCTTTTAATTTTTGTCCTTTTGCATCACCTATGCAAGTCGTTTACACCACCACCCATAATTTCGTGACTGTAGTTGGTACACTTTATGTCTTATGAAAGAGCACTGCACAGCTAAGATTAAGAACGACCGACAGAAATAGTGCACTGCGGAATACAGCCACTTTGAGAACCACGTGGACTACGCCAGGTACCCGCCTTCCAGGAGGAAGCGGCTCCAGCCGAGGTCATTAACAAAGGCCCACTCGGTGACTCGGCATGCGCCGCCATCAGAGCTGTTGGCATTCATCAACAGTCTCAGATGTCCCTACCAACATAAGCTTCATCAGAGGCAGGACACGTGAGCCGAGGTTCTTCCGCAGTTCGGCCCAACAACCCGACTGGAGTCTTTGTCGAGCCCTCACCCAAAACGCCATCCTCTACAATCCTCATCCTGTGGGTCCTGCACAGGCTTGCGACTAGCCTACAAGTGCCAGGCAGTTTACGGTGAATTTCGCTGCCAGGACCTGGCAGACTGGAACCGAGAACCCACTCAGCAGCTGCAAAAGAAAACTAATACACTTACCCATCTAAGACTTCTATCCGCGAAAGACCGAGATGGCGTCCAGGTGCCTGTATATAAGGATTTCTTTCCGTGACGTCATGACGCACTTGCCCTGACAGCGTCTGCTTGAGCTCCTCCCCGTCTCCTCCCTTAGTCTCCTCCTCCAGCCACACCTCCTTCCCTACCTCTAAGCCCGCCCTTGGCCCCGCCCCTCGGCTTGTGGGCGGGGCCACGATCTCCCGCGTGACGCAGGGCTCCCAGCCTCCTACCGACTGAGGAGGAAGACAGGACAGGGGAGGGGGGCGTGAGGGACGGAAAGCGCTGGGGGAGGGGGAAGGGGGACGGTATAAGGGTGAGTGATTTCCTTCCGGCACGTCGCCCGCTCCGGAGGAGGGGGCGGGGGGTTTCACTTCCGGGACGGTGTTCCGGCCCATTCCGGCCCATTTCCACCCCCGGAGGTAGGTGCTGCTCCTTGAGTGGGCTGGGGCCCCGCACGCCGGTCCCGCTGTCCTGCCCCGGGACCGCCCTGCCCGATCTCCGCCGCAGCCTGCCCGTGGGGCGTTCAGCCTCTTCCCTTCACCCCCGCTCAAGGCACCCAGAGACCTTCCAACCCCTTGGCCCCCGGCCGCGCTTGAGCTGCCGGACCCGCCCCCTCGTCTGGCCCCTCCCTCGGGACCCCGGGATGGGCGGCCCCCTCCCCCATCGCAGCCGGCCACACCCAGACACACACACCCACCCGGGGCAGTCCCCAGCCCCCTTACACCTCCCGCCTGGCCCGGGTCCCGGGGCGCCGCCCCCTTCCCGGCCCCGGCCCCGCAGCAGAAGGCCCGCTCCCGGCCGCACGAGCTGCTCCCGTCACTCCTTCCCCCTGCTCCTCGATGACATTTGGCGGCTCAGCCAGCCTCCCGCTCCCCACGCTTCCTAACGCAGACGGGAGCCACTCAAGTACCGGAGTGGCCGACCCCACGCGTTCCCGATTCTCCCTCTTACAGCGCTCACCCTCCAGTGCCGACGGGAGAGAAGGACCTTCCTCCAGGGGCCTCCTCCTCACTGGGGCATTAACCGGAAAGAGCACACAAAAAAGGCGCTGGTGTAGGCGCCAAAATAAACACATCTGAATTCAGGATGGCATCGACAGAGGCTCTTACTGGATTAAAAGTTTTCAAACAAACAAAAACGCTTTGGAAGAAGGTCAGATTGGCTCAAGTTGGTTCTTGAAAGCAGTGTGCACTTCCCTGTTTACTGATTGTGTTGTGAATGCCGGGGGATCCTGTGAGCTCGTCAGAAGTTCCTGCAGTTTCTTAGGTAACTATGTAATGTCATAAGTTTACAGATAAATGGAAACACATTGGGCTGTAGTCAGTGTCTTTCCTATTGGGGTTTATGCAAACTGTACTCTATAACCATTGAAGGCTATTGGATGCAATTATAGGCTTAGTGTTTTCACCGTTTTTAGAAAAATCTTGTGATGTATAAGTATTGGCCATACTTGGTAAGTGCCCTATTTGTTACCAACTTTGGGGAACTAAATTTCAGAATCAGAATATCATCACCGCCCTGAAATTCCCAAAGGTGAATTTAGATCATGTAGATCAGGTCGGGTGTACATACCCTTTCCTAATTCTCAGACAGAACTTCAAGGTCTCTGCACTGCAGTTGAGTCCTGTGCTCAAGAGTCCTAAACCCAAAGCCTCTTTGGGTTACAATGACAAATAATGGCTTACATTCTTGTGGAATATGAGTGACTTTATAAAATAATAAACGGACACAACATGTAGGAAAATGTTAAGAGGCGTATCTACTCGGCCTATGTGTATATGACATTTATTCCAAAAACTAATTTTCTCCAAGGAAAAGTTGTCACAGGATTTTATATTCAGTGCAAATACCTTATGATTAACACTTAAAAAAAATAAAAAACTCACAACTGCTTTTTTCCCCTCTATTCTGTTGAACTTCTGTTTCAATATTGCATCATTTATTAGTAAGGAAAGCATAGGCATAGCTTGAGTTCTTAGCAGCCTTCCAATCACTTTTTGGTTTTAAACTGAAAGACCCGTTGGTACTTCTCTTCCTTATCTAAACATAAGGCATGTATCTGTTTACTGGGAGTTTTTGACATTTAGCCAAACAATGTTTTCAAATAGGTTTGAAGGGGAAGGCATGAGGGGGTGCAGTTCTGACTGTCGGTGAGAACGTGCTTCCTTGTCTCAGCAGGGTTGAATGCCTGCCTACACCCTCTGGCCCCACCATGGAGAAGGGTGGTAACATACAACTGGAGATCCCTGACTTCAGCAACTCTGTCTTGAGCCATCTCAACCAACTGCGCATGCAGGGCCGGCTCTGTGACATCGTGGTCAACGTGCAAGGACAAGCTTTTCGGGCTCACAAAGTGGTGCTGGCTGCCAGCTCCCCCTATTTCAGGGATCACATGTCCTTGAACGAGATGAGTACTGTCTCCATTTCAGTCATCAAGAACCCCACCGTCTTTGAACAGCTTCTTTCTTTCTGTTACACGGGGCGGATATGCCTGCAGCTGGCGGATATCATCAGCTACCTGACAGCCGCCAGCTTTCTGCAAATGCAGCACATTATAGACAAGTGTACACAGATCCTGGAGGGCATTCATTTCAAGATTAACGTGGCTGAGGTCGAAGCAGAATTAAGTCAAACGAGGACCAAGCACCCGGAGAGACCTCCAGAGTCTCACAGGGTTACACCAACCCTAAACCGCTCCCTTAGCCCGCGACACAATCCCCCAAAGGGAAGCCGGCGAGGTCAGGTGAGTGCCGTGCTGGATATCAGGGAGCTCAGCCCTCCCGAGGAGTCCACCAGCCCGCAGATAATTGAGCCCAGTTCTGATGTGGAGAGCCGCGAGCCCATCCTTCGGATCAACCGAGCGGGACAGTGGTACGTGGAGACGGGAGTAGCAGACCGAGGGGCACGGAGCGACGACGAAGTGAGGGTTCTTGGAGCAGTCCACATCAAAACCGAGAACCTGGAGGAGTGGCTGGGGCCGGAGAACCAGCCTTCCGGGGAAGACGGGAGCAGCGCGGAGGAGGTCGCAGCCATGGTGATCGACACCACGGGCCACGGCTCCGTCGCGCAGGACAGCTACCCTTTGGGGTCCTCGGGAGCCAAGGTGGCTCGGCCAACAAGCAGTGAGATTGACAGGTAAGTTTTGTTTTGTTCGTCCATCTGGCTCACCTGATGCCACCCCTGTGTAGTACAGAGAGCATCTCCCCTCCTTGACGCTCTTGGCCAAAAGAAGCTGATGGTGGGGAACTGGAGGCGTGCCAAAAGACTTGTGTTCTTATTTTTTCAAGGCAGGAAGCTCCTAGTCCCGAAGAATTCAGTGTTGTGAGTACTATGGTAAAGGTGGACGTTTCCAGGAGTCAGAATAACATCTGCAGTCACGCTAGTGTCAGCAATTGGCACTAGTGTCAGCAATTGGCGGGCTTCCTCGGAATTCCAGGCAGGGGGCTGGTCATCAGCTGGGAGCCAGACAGCTTCGCCCTTCCTTGGTCTCTTACTGCCCAGGTCGGTGGCCTGGGAGGCGTAGTGCTTGCTTGGGAGTGCTGTTTACTTCCCTTTGCCCCCCAGCTACCACGTGAGAGCGGGCGTGGCGCCAACAGTGATTGTTCTTCTGGCATTAGTGTAATCACAGTAGTTACTCCAAAGGGAAGCTTTTGGGGTGGTTTCCCTTCCTTTTTTTCACTTGTCATGTGATGTCTTCCCTTTGTCTTTCATTGGTGACAGCTGCTGCCACGGGCCTGGTTTTTTTCACCAGCGCTACTAAGTCCCCTGGCTCCCTTTTCTCTTTCTAATCACAGTGAGAGCATTTCTTTATGGTGGAAATAGCAATAGTTTTAATCTAAGTACATTGAAAGTCTCAATTGAAAGAAAGAAATGTTACCAACTTAGAACGATAATGTTTGTTCTCTTTCCCCTCTTAAAAATAAATTTAAATTGACTGCATGAACAATGAATGCTAAAGAAGCTATTCTTTGGTGAACACCCAGTCTTGACAAGCATATGTGGTACAGGCTCAGAAAGTATATATTGTATCCACTTCAAGTGGTCTTGAGTATTTTCCTTTTTGTGTCCTTAACAGTTAAAATACTCTTTTTTTTTTTTAAGATTTTATTTATTTATTTTTAGAGAGAGGGGAAGGGAGGGAGAGAGAGAGAGAAACATGGACATGCAAGGGAAACCAAACAAGGCAACAGCTAACATACAAGTCTTGGGCACAGTATTTACTGCCCCACTGTGTTAGCGCCGTATCAGAAGTAATACCTGACCCGTGTGGCTCAGTTGGTTGAGCATTGTCCAGCAAAGCAAAAGGCCACTGGTTTAGTCCCCTGTCAGGGCACATGGCTTGGGTTGTGGGTTTTGTCCCCAGCTGGGTGCTTACGAGAGGCAACCAATCGATGTTTCTCTCCCTCTCTTTTTTCCCTCCTTTCCCCTCTCTCTGAAAATAAATAAATAAATAAATAAATAAGTAAATAAATTTTTAAAAAAAGTAATAGCTTGAATGCAAAGACATTCAATCTTATTGTGTGTAATCAACAGTCTGAAATACCCATATATAACAAGTGCTGTAGGGGCCTGGGAGAAGGAACAACCAAAAACCTGATAGTTGCTTAGAAGAAACAAAATTACAAACCCAGTTTTAATTTATTTTTCTATGGTCTCCTCAGTACTTACGTAAAGACGGAACTTATGTTTAGCCTCAGCTTCACCGGGTCACGTGGTCTATCTGCTATGTCATTCTGTGTTTCTTAAATTTACTGTGGCAGACCTTTCCTGTCTTACTTCAACCCAGATCCTTATGCACTGACTTCCCGAAAGTGCGTCTTAGTTACCTGTTGTTCAGTTCAGTCCCCCTTCCTCAGCCACGGGGTAGAGAGGATAGACCTCACCGTTATCTAAGTGCCTTGACACTACCTCTCTATTAGTCCCCTCTTTGCTCCTCTTCCGACAGATTTAGCCCCTCCGGCAGTGTTGTCCCCTTGACGGAGAGACACAGAGCCCGAAGTGAGTCTCCTGGGAGAATGGATGAGCCTAAGCAGCCCAGCTCTCAGGTATGTAGCTGTGGCTGCTGAAGAGATTGCCACTGTGTGGGAATCGGAAAGGAAAGACGTAGGAGAGGGAACAGGGGCCCTGTTAAAGAAATACTCTATTTGATTACTTTTTTTTTATTCTTGTTCGTAAGCATGCAAGAGATACACTTTTGGTGTCAGCAGAGTTTGGGAAGTAGAAAAGATGAGATGGTGGAACTCTTTTTCTGAACCAGCCTGTAATCCCGACAGTAGAAATAAAAAAGTGACCCCTGCCAGCCACACCCAGGTAACTTAGGGCCTGGGCTGGAGAGTCTGATTCTGTACGTGTATGGGCCTGACCCTACACAATTACTACTTTATGTAATGTGACACATCGCATACAGTTGCTTTTGCGTTTTTGTACGCTGGTATCTTTTCGTTTATTTTCTTCCTGAATATTTTGTTGAACTAAAATTGTTCTAAAAAGGACAGGAATAATGTCTCCTATTTTCTTTGCAACTCTACTTAACAAGAAGTGTAAGTAGTTGGTTGATAGTTTTGTTTGTTTGTTTGTTTTTCCTCACAGGTGTCTCATTGAAGACTGATTTTTAAAAGGATGGTGAACTCACCAAGTAGAACATAATACATTGCAAATACATTTGTCCTTTAAAAGGAAGCACTGGTTGATTAAGATTGCATTGCACAGCTAATTTTTCTAGCTTCTGGATTATACCAGTAGAATCTCGTTTAGTTTTTACCTAAACATTGGGTGTTTATTGTATGCATAGTATAGTAACAGCAGCAAGACATTCTTATAAACTATACTTACTTGCATATTAATCACGCCCATTTTTTGGTACCAGAAGAGGAATTGTAACTATTTTAAGAATTTTTTTAGTTTTAATAAGGTGTTAGAGAAAATGTTAGGAGCTTGGAGGAAAAGTAAGTTTAATGATAAAATTAGAGCCCCGTTTCTCCTCATCTTTCAAATAGGACGTGATGACTGTGTGAAATGACTGTTACGCAAATAAGTACAACAATGAGGCGGACCTTACAACTTAATGGGGGGCATAAGGCAGACCCTCAAATACACAAAACAGGTAGGGATGAGGCTCTGTAGACTCAGTGACAGTGTGGGGGGAGTAGGAAGTGCTTAAAAGGCAGTTAACTGGAATCAATAGCCACTTAAAGAAAGCCGTTCCTCGGGAGAGTCTAAATGCAGTATTTAATGAAGTAATTAGAAAGGGCTAACTATCCCTCTGTAGCTGGATACGGATAACAGTCGGAACGCCGAGGGGTGTTTACCTGGCTCTAGCAGAAGGTGCAGCCTATGGAGAAATAGAAAAGAAGTAGCGTTGCCTGGAGATGATATTAAGAGTTAATATATGCCTTAACATGTATGAAGGTTTATTTTGGTGAGTCTACTCACCGGTTATTTTCTCCCCGTCACAGACCCAGAACAGGACATGGACTTGCATTACAGTGAGAACAAGTTTTGACAGACTTGAAGAGCTTCCTGCTTATGGGGTGATTAAAGTGGAACAGACTCCTAAGGACCCCTATTTGCTCAAAAACGTTCTGTAGCTTTTTCCCTTTTTCTGCCATGTGAAGGTTAAAATATGTGGCCTCGTGTTCCACGTAATTCATAATCTTTCTAACAGTTTTCTCCCCACTCATGGGCACGCACTGTCCGTCCCAACAGGCAGACCTTCTCTGGGTGTCAGGACCACATCGGACTCCTCCTCCTCCTGCTCCGCGAGTCTGGGGCGCCCCTGTCTTCCCAGGTGCCCGGCGCCGCCCCAGTCCCAGCTCCTGGAACCATCTGCCCCGACTAACCCAGTGCTCTCTGACCTCTCCTTAAACCACTGTAGCATTTGCAGATGGTGTGATCTCATTTTTCATTTGCATTAATCTTGTGTCTCCATCTAGATTGAAATCACCTTGAGGGCAGAGCCCGCTTTTTTCATTTTTGTATCTGACGTCGTCTTCTCCGGTGCCCCCCCTCAAAAGGGCTGGTTTTACCACTAGGTAGTTCTGAGTGAGGTTACTAAGTAGGTGCCCAATAAATAGGGGATTACTTACGTGCCTGTGAAATCCCCAGTTTCTGAGATCTTTAAATAAAATTAATGAACAAAATCAGATGATCTTTGAAGTTCTTTCAATTCTTTGAGTCTCTGAATAGTAATTGAAGGTTAGGAAGGTGAACAGCTTTGAAGGCCATGTCAAGAATCTAGACTGTTATTTGTTTTGGAAAATAAGAAAATCATTTATTTACATGGAATTTATTCATTATAGAATAATTCATTTTAAAAAATAGTTCTTGTCCTGGCTGGTGCGGCTCAGGGGATTGAGTGCCTGCCTGCGAACCAAAGGGTCGCTGGTTTGATTCCCAGTCAGGGCACAGGCCTGGGCTGCGGGCCAGGCCCTCCCACCCCCCACCTTTTCCTGCTTCCCCTTAGGGGACTCGCGTGAGGCAACCACACGTCGCTGTTTCTCTCCCTCTCTCCCTCACTTCCCTTCTCTCTAAAAATAAATCTTTTAAAAAATATTCCTAGGTATTTTTTAAAATACAAATTAAAAAAAATTAAAAAATAGTTCTTGAACAGCCACTACTCACTGCTTAAGCTCTGGGACATTCTGCAGATGTCCCTGTACTCACAGAGTTTACAGTCTAGGAGAGAATTGGCAAGTGGGAGGATTGACAGGAGCCCCCCCCCCCCCCCCCCGGCCCCAATGTCAGAGAGCCCAGGGGCAGCCAGTTTTGTCCTTGCTTGTTAAAGTTTAAACAAATGAAACTATTGAAGATGTTGCTGCTGACAAGGACCTAATCTACATTTTATGCACATTCACTTGCTCTTTTATTGCAACTTTACTGCAATAATTTTTTGGATGAGCTTGATCTTGGTATATGTATTTTGTGATTATAGTTCATCACAGATAACTATGTTTACTTTCTGCTTGTGGACCATACTGGCATGACATTATGTTGTTACTTTCTTTAAAGTTAGGTGGTTGTTTCTTTTTTATAGGGAACTGGTACCCTCAAGATTATGAATAATATCATTTGTAATGTTTAAGAATGGTAAACATTCATTCCATCTCAGTAAGCACTTTAACTCATTCAGTGCTTATAGCAACTTATGAGGTAGATGCTATTATAGTCGTTTTAAAGTTAGAGAACTGTCACATAGAGTAGTTCGATAACTTCCTCAAGGTCACACAGCCAGTAGGACGCAGATTTGAACCCAAAGTCCAGCAAAGCGCTTGCTAAGCCTCAGACAAGTTGTTCTGGCCTGGTCTGTGGTCACCCAGCACCTTCTGGTGGGGTCCCCCCTCCTTCATGGGAGTCGTCTTTCCATTAACCAGGGAATCGAAGCAGAGAGAAATTTTACATGAAACAAGTCAGAAACCAGGGAAAACCTCGGTCTTACTGCATAAGGCGGGCCTTCCCCTGCTGCTCCCACGCCTGCTGAGAACCGCCCCTGCGGGGCTGGAGGCGCCGAAGCGCATTGGCCGCTGCCGTGTGAGGGGCGCGGCACAGCGGCGGACACACGAGGACAGGGCCTGAGACTGATTGCCAGCCAGGTGACTGACTCCAGTTAATCCAGAGTCAGCTTTTACATTTTCTCCTCTTCGCATTGATACTTTAGCCTCTACTAAACATACACAGTTCCCTCCTGCATATGCTTATATACATGTATAAGCTTTTCACTTGAAACATGTATGTTATTTACATCAAAATTTATCATGATTTCAGAAGCCAACAGGCTAAAAAAAAACTACTGAATGGTAATATTTTAATACAAGTTTTGAATCAAAACCACTTATAAATCCAACATTTTCAAATTACCCATTTAATGGAATATATTTCCACTCCCAGCTTTCAGAGAGGGGCACCCATGTTTCTCTCATATATTAAATACTTTGTTGAGATTATTAATGGTCAGAACAGGTAAAACAAAATTAAGATCTTATTTACTTGATATTAAGGAATAACATTTTTTAAGGTGTGATGGTATTTTGATTATCATTAAAAAAAGAATCCTCATCTCTTAGAGATACATACTAAAATATTTGTGTTTAAACTATGTCTGGGATTTTCTTCAAAAATAATATGATAAAGGAGAGAAATAGGTGAGAGTGAAGAAAAAATTGTCCAGGGGTTAGTTGTTGAGTGATGGTGGTTTAACATACCATTCTAAAATTTTTAATAAAAAGTCTTTATATGTGTGTATGTGTGTGTGTGTGTGTATTTATCATTTGACCTTCATAAAGTAAATCAGAGAAAAACATTTATTTTGCAATAACTTAAAGGGTTAATTAACAGCAGAGTTCAAATGCTGCTTCTATAATAATTGCTTTTTTAATGTCCTAAGTAAATTTATTATCACAACATAAATTTAACTTAGGCAGGTCAGATACTTTATCAACTAAGAGAGTGGAGAAATAACATAAATCACAGATTACTCTATTTACTTTTAATATTTTTAAATCAATTTAAAAACACTATAAAAAAATAGGTGTTTAAATTAGGTGATAATCTGTCTGTGCACTGTAAGTCCAGGATATTTACCTATAGTATAAGCAGGTAGAAAAGTGAATGAGCAGCATCATTAGGAAAATGTATTATACTTCCCATTTCTCTTTGTCCACTTTGCTCAGAGTCTTGTCTTCAGAGAGGAAAACCAGAAACCAAGTCTTGCCCTTTCTCTGCGGTACTTATCATTGTATTTGGTGGACAGTGTCAGTAAATCAGTACTTAGTGAATATTACTGTTTGAAAGGCTTATAGGAAAAAATAACCCAGTTAGTAAATTCATAGCTCAGTCTAGTTTGCTTTCCCAGCTCTTCCATCCATTGGCTCGGAGGTCAGTTAATCTGTGAGTAGTCTCCAGAGCCAAGTTAATATGTTGGTACAGTACTAAAGTACTTCAGGATAAAAAGGAATGCTGTCACCTACAAATTATTTACATTTTTATAAAGCCAGGTACTGTTGGACTAAATTTTGGTATAATTTATTTTTGGTATAATTTTACCGTAAGTATAATTTATAATGTTCTGGCCGTAATGTGTTCCGTATGTACAGTCAGATATAGCAGCTATTAGCCAAGTCGCATGCGGCTATTTAAATGTTAATTGAAAGCAATTAGAATAAAAAATTCCGTTTCTCAATTGTATTAGCATATTACAAATGCCCCATAGCCGCCTGTGGCTCGTGGCTGCTGTATTAGGTGGTGCAGATAAGGGACAGGTCCATCACCACAGAAAGTGCTTGTGGGCCAGCACCGGCTAAGCACCTCCCCGGCTGCTGGCTGTGATTAAATCAGAGTCCAAGAGGATGGGCTGCGTGGGCTCAGACTCTCCCATTGCCGTGAAATAGAGCACTGAGTGGGGGTTTCATGAGAAGCATGCCGTTTGTAAGCAGGCAGCCAGAAAGTAACCTGACCGTACTGTTCTGTTACGGTAATGAAATACATGTCCTCAGATGATGTGTGGTTGTTATGTTAACATCCTTACTTTTTGGTAGTAATCTTCTGTTTGGATCTCTACTAAAAATAAGCATAAAGCTCGTACCAGAGGTAGAAGTAGATTTGATTTCCTTCACTGTGTCTCTTATGGCGCGTGTTCTTCTGTGCTTACTTGCCTCACGGCACAGGTAGAAGAGTCAGCGATGATGGGAGTGAGCGGCTACGTGGAGTATCTCCGGGAGCAGGAAGTGTCGGAGCGGTGGTTCCGGTACAACCCCCGGCTCACCTGCATCTATTGCGCCAAATCCTTCAACCAGAAAGGGAGCCTGGACCGGCACATGCGCCTGCACATGGGGATCACACCATTCGTCTGTCGCATGTGTGGCAAGAAGTACACCCGCAAAGATCAGCTGGAGTATCACATCCGCAAGCACACAGGCAACAAGCCCTTCCACTGTCACGTTTGTGGCAAAAGTTTCCCCTTCCAGGCCATCTTGAATCAGCACTTTCGCAAAAACCACCCTGGCTGTATACCCCTGGAGGGGCCCCATAGCATCTCCCCCGAAACAACTGTCACATCTCGAGGACAAGCCGAGGAAGAGTCACCTTCCCAAGAAGAGACAGTTGCTCCTGGGGAAACGGCCCAGGGCTCTGTGTCCACCACTGGGCCCGATTGAAATGTCGAAGGGGAGGGGCCGACCTGCTCCCCATCCCCCCAACCCCGGGCCGTAAGCAGCCGGCATCAGGGCCACGAGAATGCCACAGCACGAGGTCAGAAGATGCTCCCAAGGTGTTGCCAAACTAGAGGATCAGCAACATACCCAAAAGCACTGGAGGCTTTTCCCTCCTCCTCCCCACCTCACACTCTGGAAAATAATCAAGCAAATCAACTTTCTAATTCAGGGATCAACAGCCTTGGTTTGTTAACTTTATAAGAAAAAAAAAAATTTTAACAGTGATAAATGGCCGTTTATCTACCAGTCACATTTGAACACTGTCCTTTGGTCCATGTTATCCTGGCTGTCACTTGCCCAGATCTAGAAAACACAACAGGAGCCTTGGTCATCGGAACCAGCCGGCCACAGGAGAGAAGGAAGCTACCGCGATGGCGACGATGAGGGACTTCTTTCCTTCCTTCCTGCCGGAACGTGCAGTTTCACCTGTCGGGGGGGAAAAAAAGAATCCTGGTGCTTCTTACTGTTTTGCAAGGTTAGACCTTGTCTCTGCCCTGACCGGGCATCCCATCGTTGCCGGACTGTGGCCCGAAACAGCCATCTGAGCGCGTTGGGGGGCAGCCTCCCCTGAAGCACTTCAGGCAGCTGGAAGGGAGGTGACAGCAGTGATTGCAATAGGTACCGCAAAGCTTGGGGGCCTGGGGGCCATGTGGAGGTGCGGGGAGCAGGGAGGGGAATGTGGGGTTTGCAGATGTAGAACGGGAGAGAGCCTACTGCGACGTTGGGAGGGGCGTTTGTAAACCACAGTGCTTGTAAATCGCTGGGAAGTAGGAAATGGCTCTGGTCCAGATGAATTACTGTGTTAGGCTGACTACCAAAGTTTCGTCCAGTCTCCTTGGCTCCTAAGTTCACCTAACAGCAATACGATACATCAGAAACATCACTTTCCAGTGAAATGAGCCTGGATTGTATTTTTAAATCCACGGGTCTCCCGATTTGATAACTTTTATACGAAGTTTTAAACATTTTTTTCCTGCAGTATTGTGATTGAAGAAATTCAACACTATGGTTCTTATTGCGACCACAATTCTACTCCCTTCTGCATAAGTAACAGTTTGTATGTTCAGTGCACTAGAAGAACCTCACTAAATCCGTGTGTCATGTCTGCAAACCTAGTAATTCATTAAAAAACCAACCATCAGCAAATCGCTGGTGACCCCAAGAGCTTTGCTTTTTAATAATGCAGTACAGGGCATTTACCAGAAAATACCAGGCACAGTCACGTTGCAATAAGTTGATCAAGGCATCACTTTTGATCAGATTTAGTTACTTAATCATTCCTAAGATTTTTGAAACTTCAAAGAGACCTTTTTGGTAATTCTGAGATTCTTAATCCAGCACTGAGAGTCGGAAAGAACTTACCAGACACGTAGAGCTTTAGATGCCCTGTTGTGCATGCAGAGAACGAGGAGGCTGGGTGGGGGGTGCAGGCCAGTAGGGGCTTACAGTGCAGGTAGAAAAGAGAAGAACCTCCAGCTTCTCCTAACAGTCGCAACATCGCTAAGAGTATTGAAATGTGTAGTGGTATAAGCAGTTGTTTTGGTGCGAAGGCACAGGCGATGGTAAGCGATTTGGGAGGCCCTGCCTGCACTGGTGAGCCATCTGTGAGCCAGCGGCAGTAGTGCGCCCCCTTCTGAGGACGCTTTGTGTCGCAGGGACGGGGGTGCTAGTAACGCAAAGGGTAACTCTTCAGCCGTCTGAGAATTGTACATATACATATAGCTACACTGTATCACTAGGGAATGGTTATTTCGTCTCTTCTGGACAAGCAGAAATGTGTCTTTTAATAGGAATGTAATAATGCTACCATTTGTTAAGAGCCTCCCCTTAAATGTAGTGTTGAAGCTGTATTTTATCTTTAGAAGACAGACTGGGTGGGACACTGTTCTCTCTTGAGCTGGGCAATAGCTTGATAGGGGGAAACTCTTGCCTAGGGCCACCTTGGGGACCAGCTAGGCTCTGGGGCCTAGAAAAAGTGAAGTTTTAATTAGGTATAAATCTTTAGGGAAACATTTCAGCTGGTCATCAAGGCTTCCAATGGACAGGCCTTGCCATTACTAAGTAGGTGAGAAGTGCAGAATGCCCTGCTGTAGACGGAGCTTTTAAGCCTGCCAAAAAAATACGAAGTCCATCCATCCTACTTCTGAGAAGTAGTATGCTGGAAGATTCTTTAATACTTTGTCAGTTTCTTAGATTTTATGTGAGAAAATGGAGCTTTTAAAACTATTACCAAATTGTAAAGGTGAAGTGCAGTGATTTCTGTAAAGAGAAACTTGGCAGCGTTTGTCAGCTCTCCATCCGGGGTTGGCAGCCGACACTTCAAAGGGAGCAGGGACCGTCTAATGGATGTGGACGTGCTGTGCGCGCGGGGTGGATTCCCGTCCTTTCCGTTCACTTCTGATAGCCTTTGCTGTGTTCATACTGTGAATAGAGCGCTTCCGGGTCAGCTAGGGCCCTTCAGCACAGCCGTGCTTGCTGGTTCTCTCCTCTGCGTTGGTCCAGCCCGAGCCATGAGCTTCGTGAAGATTCCAGCCACGCTAGCTGTTAAACAGACTCGTTTCCAAAAGTAATTTGCCCATTTTAGCTAGAAGAGATGTTGTTGTTCTGAACAACCACGCAAGATTCTTCTCCAGGCTCACCGTGACATTGACCTAGTTCCTAGCTAACGTCCCCGTCGGGTCACAGGGGTTAGTAGTGTTCTGTCTACGTTACTGAATAGCTATATTGTTGTGTGCACAGAGGATACCTCTCTTAAGGGTGTACTGAGTGGACTTTAGCTAATTAATGCTGAAAACTCATTACCAAATCTTAACTTGCACGTGTCACCTTGTGAAGGGAACTGCATTAGCAATGAGAGCTGAATCGTGGCTAAGTACTTAAATGCCAAAAATAGCAAACACTGGGACCGTTCATTCATCGAGTGGCACTTCATAGCAAAGGAGCTACCCAACATCTTCAGCAAAAGAAGAGAGGTGGTAATATATTAATCTCCTTCCCCTCTAAGAGGTACCTTTTCTTCTCCGTGGACTTGTGGACTCTTGATACCAGGTAAAAGGCAGCACTGGCGTGAGCAGCGGCTCTGTACTTAGGCAGGAAGGCTCTTTCTAATGACCTCTTCTCTCTACTCAGAACCATATTTACCTCTGAACGAAGCTGAGTTTTATTTCCTGTAAGTGAGAGACCGCCCCCAGGCCGTCTCATCCTACCCCTCTGAGGGTGAAGTCTGATTTTGAGTATGTGAGAATAAATGACTTACTGAAGGATGAAGATTGGGAAAGAATGGAGGTGGCACTGAAGGGAAGTTTTCTTGCTATTTTATTTTTTGGTATTTTTTTAATGTTTCCAGCTCCCTCTACATCAGTGATGGGGGTTTCCAAAGAGGGTTCAGCACTAGAAATAAACCATTTTCCTCCAAATTCAATAGCTGAAATTTGGCCTTGGTTGGCGGTGGCCTGGCTGAAGAGAAAAAGTAGGGACCTTCCTCCTTGAGAGCTGAACAATCTCTGCTCAAGAAATAACTTTTTGAAAGTGTTGGCTGTTACGGACACTGGTTTTGTTTCTTTTAACTGGTAAAAACTCTATTTTGTTTGAGTAGGAGATCTAATTTAAAGGAGTGGCAGCAATGAGTAATGGAAAGGAATTCAAAATGGAACAAAGACAAAATTCTTAATCATAGTGGAAAGGCATTAATCAAGAAGGAGGTGGAATCCTGGAAGTTCTTCTTTTCTCAGATACAAGAGATGTGGTTTTTCCTCTTCCTCAAACATCCTTGTCTGCGTACTTGCTTGTTCAATGAACAACAGCCAAGTCTTAACTCAGTCTTTGAAAACACGGCTCTTTACTTAAGCCATGCAGGGAGGAGTGCAACATATTGAAATAGTTTGGTTCCTGAGATTGAGAAAAGGGACAGCAAGCAATTAAGTGAGGTTCATCCCTAAATTTGAGAGGATGTCCTTGAGCAAAGTACATCTCTGGAACTGTGAATTAGATCAGGCTTCAGCAAACTACAGCCAGCCCCGGGCAAGTGCCTGAGGCTGCCTGTTAGTGTAGAGTCATCGGCGTTTCTGGCTGCCTTATAAGAGCAGAGATCCGAGCAGTTGGCCTGCAAAACCTGATAATACAGTATTTACCTGACAGAAGAGTTTGCCAACTCCAGAACTGAATTGGGAGGAAATACCTCCCAAATTCATCAGTTCTGCTATTTTGCTTTTGTAAATCCATAAGTTAAAAAGGTTTTAAGTTCATATTGCCGTGTGTGCATGTTTCTTAAAGAGTTTGCCACCCTTCCCTGGTTCCTTTCTCGCTCCCCTCTTTGCGCATCATGAGGATGCCCGTTGCTTTCAGAGCATTTAGGACAGGCCCCAGGATGCAGCCTTGCCTGAAAGGTGCAGGTAAATTAAAGTTTAGGACGATTTTTACAGATGTAACAATTCAAATAAGTAATTCCCATGCATAATAATGTGAGGTTAGAAGAGTACCATGTTTACATAAAATACTGTAAAAAAAAAATGTCTTTCTAAGTCAGTTTTGCCATTCCTCTGAGTTAACTTGAACTTGCTTGCGTAGTGATGGCAAGGACGAATTTATTCCCACTAGTATTAAAATTTTATATCTGTTATGAACAAGTGGTTTGATTCTTATCCAGAGTACTGTTTTTCTAAACTAGAAGCTTCTAACTTTTCCCTGTACTACAAATTTCATTTTAATTTCCTCAAGTAAACCCGCTCTGTGCCATGTGGAGTGCTTACAGGCCAAATCTTCCCTGTCTCCTTTTAATGAATGTTTTAAAACATATTGAAACATCTGAGGGTTTCAAATTCTTGTTAGGCCTATCTTCCAATTTCTGTTACTGTCTGTAATACATTCTTCTGCATATATGTTGGGCCATTATATATTTGCTTTGTGAATATTCATTCTTACTGTTCCGACACCTTATTTATGCTAGATATGGGGAAAATGGAAAATGTTAGGATAATAACAAACAGAATTCCTTGCTAAAGGAGAATGTAGTCGTTCCCCATCTGAAAACAACGCACGGAGGTCTGTGTTAAATGTCCTCGTCCGAACGAAATGCCCCAGGCCGCGCTGGTGCGGGGCGGGGGTGCCGCTGACCTGGCCTCCCGTAGAGCACTCCTTCGCTAGACGTTTTATTCTTCAAGTTGTCTTTTTCTAAACTGTGTAGCAGTAAAAAGTAATCTTCACTGGTAGGGTTCCAGAAGACTCGCCGAGATTAGCTCCGCTGTGTCTTACAGCGCTTGTGCTCGTCGTCGGGTGGGTCCTTGAGATTTTGGAGTGTTGCTTTTCTGATTGATGTAAGATTCTGATGAATCTGGGGTGTTGGACTTGTGAA